AGCCTTAATATCGTAACGTAATCGGACCGGATGAACATTACGCAGATTATTTGTTGACATTTTCGGAAGGCGAAAAAATACGCGCGTGTCGCCGGTTCGTACGAGATTAGAAAATAAAATTCGAAATCCCGAAAGAAAACGACGACAACAGGAAGGCGATCCGGGAAGGTTTTCGTTGTTAAAACGTTTTCCGGCCTGTCGCGTCCGAAACCGCGAGTGATAGGTACCTAACTACCTACACGGCAGTGACGGCGACAGTTCCCACGGTACCCGATCACCGCGCGGCATCCGCGACTATTTTATAGATACGTGATCGCGTCGTACACGTTATAAACTCCGAGGGAAATCCGAATTTTGACACACATTTTTACCAAACGGATTTAACGCTGTGGCGACCGCAAAATAGAAAAAAAAAATGGAAGAATTTGACACGCGCGTAAAATAATTATGCCATTCGAGAATTATTATTATTGCGGTATTATATTGTATGTACCTACACATATTATTTATAGTTGCCTATTCGAGAGCATTATGATTAGGTAGGTATGATATTCTTCAAAACGACCGTATATTGTAACGATGAGCACTATACTGAATAGCTTGTGTTTTTCGACAGTTTGAACGAACTATCGAATGTTTCATTCCGATATTTTTTTCTTCCAGGCCGAACGGTTCGAATACGATCAACTAAGTATCGAATGGTTCGTTAGTACCTAACTATTCGGTTGTGCCCATATCACTATAATAATTATATAGTAACGAGTATAAAATCATTACAATAAAAACACAATGTACGGGAGACGCTCGTTTCTCCCCGGGCTTTAATATTCGCATTCGGTTCCTACTCCCTACCGTTTTTAATTCCCAACGTACAACAAGGAATATATATTGGATTTACTATGACGTGTTCTATCTACAGTGCTTGACTCGGAATAGAAATAGTAAAGGTGTCTGCTCTCAGATCCTGATTTGGACATTTTAAGTCACGGTACAAGCACAAAAGAGCCGATACAACACAACATGATGGCCATCAACAAAAGATTATCCTATAATACTATAGTACAATAGCTAGTTGTTCGTGTTCTTCAAATTTTAAGATTAATTCAAATCAAAATAATAATTAAATCCATTAGGCGGGCCCCTCATCCGGACAAATGCCTACAATGTCCTTACCCCTTGCGCAGATAGGGCACTGCTGATACTCTGATGACACATACAAATCGGGCATCCATAACTAATTAAAAACCGAATATGACAATGGGGCTTTGCCCATCCCGCAACTTCTTATGACATGCTCAACATATTACCACAAATCAGTAACGCCGAACTCGAGCTACCGATCGAGTGACCGCCCGAGCAAATATTTTGTTGGTGGGTGATGCTAGTGGTGAGAAATATACATAATATTACTCATACTATTTAGTATTTGAAGAAAATATAACTATAAAAAAAAAAAGCTGATACTGGAGATGAGAGCGGCCACTGTTGTAGGTGAAAAGTTGGGTAGGTATGATGTATAAGGTTATTTCATTTATATCTGTAAACAACGATAAACCATTGCTTGACGAAAGACAATTCCGAGCGCAGTTCAGTTATACAAAATTTTTGCGAGTTTCGTTTAAAATTTATTTCTAAACGCCTATTAAAAAAAAGTCGTCCGATAATTCCCACTGAAGTGTTTTTATTTAAAAAAAATGACGTCGAAAATCAAAAAGTGACTTTTTTAAAGTACCGTCTTCAGAAAAGTCGCTACACGTAAAAATCGGAGCATGTTTACTAGGAAAAAAACGTGTACACACAGACTAGAACAAAGAAAAGTAAATTCTTATCAGTTTCTAGACATCTTAGTAAAACCAATAGCTGCCTCGCTACGCTCGGAATCTAAAATAGTAGGTACTAATTACGTAAAATAATTTATACATTGTTATACTAAAAGAATCGGGGTTATTTGCCCGAGTATTTTTAAACTACTTCGGCGCCACGGTCACAGATCTTACAGAGAGATCATCACAAAGCGCATACTATTATCAATACTTCGAACAAGTTTACCTGCGATAATTTTTGGTATTATTAACTAATGGAGCTTCTTTAAATATTACATTTCGTTACGTAAACGTTAACAACGCGTATCTTCATTTTGTTTATTTTCCGAGAAAACAAATTTATAGAATTGTTTTGGTCGTTATTTTTTTTAAATCTGGAGATACGTGTTGTTTACGTGTACGTAACGATTTGCGCATACATAATTCGTTTTTTCGGTTTTCGGTTTTTGTCTCTTTTTATAACACATATAAACACACAAAACAGAATTCGGGTTTTCTCCTGCCTTTCAATTGCAGGCACGAATTCATAAAATATAGCAGCCAGCGTGGCCTAAATTTTGCACACCGGCATAATATATTATACAGTGTTCTGTAGAAAATACAGAATGTGCAGTAACCAGTGTATAGTAGCGAGCAGTTTACTATGATTAGTACACTATTTTAATATATTATGTCATATTTTATACGATTTTCCACTTAAAAGTATTTTTTATTTGAAATCGCTATCAAAATTGTCAATACTTTTTCCGGTTTTTTTTTTACGCAAGAACTTTGGAAGATGCGAAATTTTCATTCTATAATACGACTTTACGTAAAGAATTTTATTAAATTTTCAACAGTTAACCCTTATAGATCCTTTATTTGCTTTTATTCACGTAAACACTATCGGTTATTAAAAATACTCCTAATTGTTAACAATTTAGTAAAATATTCTAATAATAATCTAATATTAAAATAAATAAATTTATAATTTTTTGTGGAAGCAGTGAGGCATGTGTTAGTACCAAATTTTATAAATTTCAGGAACAGGAGTCTACTACAAAGGAATGGATAAAATATAATAATATATATAGTATACATAATATTTACCTACTATATGAATGTAACATCTTTACTTCGTGGTTACTTATAAATCATCAGCCTATATACACATAGACATAGTATACACCTTGCACACAATATAGGCATTTTTACATTGAGGTAACAATATTAATATTATTTTATGTACTTAACGTAATGGCAGTAGTTCGTGATCGAGGCACAAGATCGAGTATGCCAACGAAAATTATTTTCGTTCAATCGGTCAACGTTGATATTTGATTATCATCTATCATTTATCACGAACTAAGATAGTCTACATACTGTATCAAGTGACCTAATTTGAAATAAGTAGCGGTACGCTATAATGAATATGCTTAAAATTTAGCTAGGGTACACTAGAATGTGTTAAAATTTAGTTGAGATACTCAGTCTCCCTGCATCTCTTCTCCCCATAAGTCAAACACTGTCAATATATGTTCCTCCTTAGAAAAATACAAGTTATATTGGTGGGAGAGCAATCGGAGACTGTCAATATGGCTTTAGAAAAAAGAAATCGACAGTGAATCACACATTAACAGTAGAAATCACCTTAGCAAATCCTAAGTAAACATTAGGAACGTAATAATATTGGTGTAGTGTTGTCTGTGTTGTTAAAAAAGCGTAAATATGACGACATAATTCGAAACAATTTATGGAAAAGCCTCACAAACTCGGGTACCTTAACAAAAATCGTAAATTTAATAAAACTATACAACAGTAGTATGCAACAAAACACAAGGACCGCAGGTACCGGGCTGTGGTGTATTTAGGAGGATGTATCGTCCATGTCTGAACACCCTTGACTTAAAAACATTAGGCAATGCAATGATATTATAATATTATTACTCATATGAATATCTTACTCATGAACTAGATTAAAAAAGCAACAAAAAAGGTCTCTTGTTATTAATCTATTGGAGCAATATTTATGGTATAAAATATAAGCAGTAAAAATTTGAAATAATGAAATCGTATATTTGAAAAATACTTTTGATATCGAAAAACAACTTACTCTATCAGTGGCGAAATATTATAAGAAAAAAAATCGATCTCGTTTCATTTTTGAATTAGAGCCATATTTTTGGTAGAAAACATCGTGTAAAGATAATAAAAACAAAGAAAACGGTACCTAACATTCCAGCGCGTCTTAAATATTTGTCGTTTCACACAAAATTTTCTTTCGGGTTTTTCTCAATTTATTTCGGATTAAATTATTTATAATATTTTACTTGGAAAGTTTGTACATTCAGATCAGTGATGAAATTACTGCGAGGGCAACTAAGGAACTGCCTTCAAAACGTGAAATTATTTTGGAGGTTGTACAGATGTGATTGAGATGCGCTGGTGATTGTCAAGTATTTGATAAACAAATTATGATTAATAGGACGTTAACCCGCATCTACTATCTCAGTCCAACTACCGGGTAACATACAAAAGCAATGCTTACGCAGAATAAGTAAAAGTAGCTTGATTTTAATTTTAGGATAAAAGTAAATATTATGAAATGTATAATAGATAATAATATTTTGGGGGGGGGAATATCATCGGTGTTTTTTTAATTATGAACTATAAATAATAACAGTTATTTAAAAAGCAAAAAAATTTCAACATGTATATTTTGAATAATAAAAAAACTCCCTCTAAAATATTGTTCTCTATAAATTTCATAATAGGTACTTTTACTCTAAAATCAAAATTAAGCTGGTTTTACTTATTCTGTGTATGTACATTGATGCAGTAGATGTGGAGTAAAACTTCTTCTTAAAATGAAATCAATTTAAACGGACACGTGAAGCAAGTCTAAAAATGAGTTGTTCGTGCCAATTTAATTTACTGTGATTGATGTGTAACTTGTGGTAACAAACTGATAAAACTGACCATAATATAAATGTATAACTTGTAATTTTATGCTCACATGGCATATGTATAATTATTTACATTTACAACAATGTGGCTTAATGTAAAGTACTTAGTATTTTCTATTAAAAAAAAATGAATAATTTAATTAATATAACAACCATTCATTATTCGAGAGGGATACACATATTCACTGGTCAAAATATTTCAAAGTGGTCAAATATAGTTGGTTCGTGTTAACTGTGTCAGCCCTTTGAGGTTACCGCCACGCAGTACTGGTCAAATCTGGAGTAATTATACCACCAAAATAGTTTTTGAATATTTCCCTCAAAGTTATATAGTTTCTGAAATACCCATACATTATAATAAATTGCAATTTATAACAATACTTAATCATTATTAATTAATATACTAATAATATAGACAGGTACCTTCAATTCAATTTCATTCAATAGGTTCAATTTTTAATTTCAATAAAAACAAAATAGCAATTCTATTTATGAACACTTCTTACTTTGAACCTATGTAGTTCTAAGAACACTTTACTGTCTAGTATTTCAGGTGAATCACAACCTTAGGAGTTCAAAAGTAAAACTTTTTTTTTGCATATTTTAAATTTTGGAATTTTATAAATATATATAATATATGCAAATTTTAAAATAAAATTTTACAAAAGTTTTAAGACATTGTTCAAAATTTCCAAATTATGTCAAGAGAAGAAACAACATTAAACAGCCTTCCAGAAGATCACCAAATTAATGATCTCATACATTTCAATTATGCTCCTATTTCATCAGTGGATGTAGAACGGAGCTTTTCTCTTTATAAAAAATATGTTAACTGATAACTGCAGTTCGTTTATATTTGATGTTCAAAATTCCTAATTGTAACTGCAATTCTTAAGGTAAATAACAAAATTCAATATATTTTGTATTGAGTAAATTGTGTAAAAAAAAATATTATATATACATATTCAGACCATATTTTATAATATTAACTGCATGAACTTCAAGGTCCTAATTATTACCAAAATTCTTTCGTTGGCATTCTTTTTACCAACCTATACACACTCATTCACGTAGGAAATATAAAACCATATATTATACGAAATATAATATTATAAATTATAATATTTGTGTAATAAGTAATCAATAAATCAAAATAGAATATGTATAACAAGAATTTGACATTATTTGACAAATATACTTTAATGTAAAATTTTGAATCCTCATGATATAGTTAAATTCACATACAGTGTTGGTAAAAATAAATTATTGTTAAAAACTAAATTTTATTATAATATTACTTATTTAACTACTAATGTGTTTAACTAATGTGATAAATATATTCAGTTCATCACCATTTTATATACTATAATTTCAATGAATTTACAATTTTTTTTTTAAATTTTACAATATTGACAAGTGACTTTAATGTTATTATCATACTCAATTAACCATCTTTTCAACAAGTACCCTAAATAACAGTTTTCATTTGAATATTTACAATACAATATAATAAAAAACAAAGTTAACTGTTATAAATGCAATAGGTAGTGATTGTTTTTTTTTTTTTTTTATAAATTATACATATGATTCATTGTATACAAATTATAATAATATAATTATCATTTAAATGTCTTTTAAATAGCATACAAACAAATATACCTGTCCTGTATAAATGTATGCATTATGACAATGTAATACTTATTTGCTACCAGCAAACTATTATGGCCTGCGTATTACTATTAAATAATATTTACAAGCCTGGATTAAGGGTTGTGGGGGCCTAGGGGCCCAATATCAATAAGAGGACTTCATCTATTAAAATGGAACAAACAATCAAAAAGAAATATTTTCTTCAACTCATAATATGGTCTTTGAAGGCCCCAGGGACATTCTCCCCCTCCCCTTAATCCACACCTGATTACTTGAACAATTTTCAACTAAATTCCAATACTACATTTTTATACTAAAATTAAGATGATACTAGATAGTAATATAAACAATTCTATAATATTAAAATTGTTTTAGGTAGCCACCTAATAATTTTATATAATATAATTAAATATTACTATATACAATTTGGGGGAAACTGATTTATTCATGATAAACTTGTTTAAATTAAACCATTTTAAAAACTTAGAAATACATTTTTTTGAAAATGTTCTGCAGTATGATTTATAGTTTTAATACTGCAGATTTAAAACTACTATTCAATATTCATTCATCAGAAACAATGTCTTAAGTAGATAATATTAATTTTGAATGATAAATTATAAACGAATACCAAATTTTCATCTCACAAAAGATTTTTGCACTAGAATACATATATTATATATATACTTTTCCAACTCATTTAACATTTCAACACTCTGTATAATTATTCTGAATCAAACATCAGATTAAATATTTCAGATAACACAGTAAAATTGACACAAACACATAGGTCACCAGATGTAATAAAAGTGAGACAAATTAAATTAATTCTCTTTGCATAATTTTAAACATGGATGATATCATTTAAAATTATAATAATTATTGATTGAAGCAAATTTTTAGAAAACATAATATGAAGAATTGTATTTATTATAACAATATTACAATATGGTGTAACCATGGATAGTTGAAAAATTTGATAAAATATGTTTATGATTAAAAATTATAAATAAACAAAAATACTATGAAAAACAATGATTTGATATTTATCATATACTATATTATGGTATAGGTAAATAATTTTTGCCAAAAACAGTAATAAAATAACAACTTTAAACACGCATGTTTGTAGAACGAATAATAAAACGTAGGACAGGTAACTAATTATAATGAAAGACTATAATATTCTTTCTTAAAAATAACACCTCACCAAATTTTATGACCAATGCTATAGGCTGCTAGTCTGCAGTGGTGTCATACATTTAAAATAATTTAATATTAATAACTATTCGGGTCAATACAGTATGAATAACGATAATGTAACATTCATAATGCACTAGACACAAAACCTGCTGAAATCAAAATAGATCGGCAACATGGAATGTGTTGGATGATTACATTATTCAACAGATTATTCTTTAAACCTCTCGTCAAATGACAACAAACATCCAATCGCACCAAAGTAACCCTGAAATTAATAAATTTTTAAGATTAATTAATAGATCAAATTTATGTATAGGTAAAATCATTTATTTATTATTTTAAATTATATTTATTTATGATGCATACATATATTATACTAATTTTAGTTAAGAATAATGACTTTTTATAAAACCATTTATCAAAAATATTAGCTACATACTATACAATTATTTTATCATAAACCAGCGGATATCCAAAACCACGATTTTGATTAAATATGATTTTGGTTACTATATAATTGTTTAATAATATTATTTTGAAAATATGGGTCGCTATTTGAAAATCAATAGTTGATATTATATGTCTATGGTAAATGAAATAAAGGCAAAATTGAATATTGATCAAGAGATTTATTATTTTGAACTATAAGCATTTAAAATTCAGATACAAATTTGGGTATTTCTCTTAGAGAACACAACTAGTTCACTTAACCAAATTCTCAATGTAAATACCACGGCAAATGCACATCAAGTTTTGATTGACATCCTCAGTTTGCATTCTTTCGTGGAACGGTGCATATATAATAATTTATAAATAATAAATATAATGTAGATATTAATATTATATTTATTATTTATAAATTATTATACATACGCTGTTTCACAAAAGAATACAAACTGGGGATGTCAATCAAAAGTTTATTTATTGTTATATTATTTATTTTTACTATTATATAGATGATAATAAAATATATTATATACATATATATATTTTTTTTTTACTTGATATTAGTGAAAATATTGCATTGTTATTTAAACAATGCCCTACACAATACTCATATACATATATATTTTTAATTTTAAATATTAATTGAGAATGTTGATTGGGTTACTTCTTGATTAAATTTTGTATTGTTAAATCCATATTAATAAAAAAATATGAACCAATATAACAATACAATAATACCCATAAAATATATGAAATATACTATAATTAAGATAATTATAATAATTAAACATAATGGTAATATAACATGATAGTAACATTATAGTAATAATACATGAAAAATAATATAAATAGTTGTGTTTATTACCTCATGATTTAAAAATATAGCTTTCTGCGAACCCTTTGACCAATAATCCATAGCATGGGACAATAATTTCATTGATATTGGATTTACTCGCAAAAAATTACCAACAAAACAAACCTTAAAATAGAGAAATTGATTAAAATTCCATAACTAAATTCTAAATTATGACAAATAAAACTATTTAACAGTTATTATATTACTCTATCAATTCTTTCATTTAATGCACACATCCTTGCAATTGATGCTATATTGTTTGTAATTGTAACTAAAGTTGTTCTAGCCAAATCTTCTCGAGAAACCTGAGCTCGTTTCTCTTTGGAGTTCATATGACCAAAACTGTAACAAAATAAACAAATATGTTTATAATTTTAACAATTAGATAATATTTAATTATATAACCTGCTAGCAACTAACTCTCCAGGCAATCCAAATTTACTGTAGCTGCCTCCGTAAATGTCCCGCACCAATTTATCAACTTTTGTATTATCACCATTTGCAGCCAATTCAATTGCCTCATCAAATGAATTACACCCAGTTAACAAACTACATAAACCTAAAAATGTACCACCTCCTATACTAAAATAATAATAAAAAACATGTTTAAAAATAATTTCAATATAAAAATATACTTTATAAGATTTGAATATAATTAAAATACAATTTGTTGTCACTAACCTTGTTCCAGATATTCTTTTATAATTATTTGGACCGTAAACTGCCAAAACACTTACACCAGAACCTATATTTACTACCTAAAAATAATAGTGAACAATGTTAAAATATTCGCAAAATACTAAATAATACAATGCATGCATTATGTATTGTTTATATTACGCACGATGAATGGATATTTTTTATACTGGAATGTGTATTCCTGTTTTGAACACTGTTCATCTGCAGTACATTGTGACCAAAAGTAACATTCGTTATTATTTGAAGCAACTGTAAACAATAAGCCGCGGATTAAAGAGTCCAGTTCATCACATTTACACAACTTTAAATTCAATTCCTGTTAATAACAAAATACAAAATGAGAATTATACATTATTATATACTAATAAATTACTTTAATGCTGTATATAATGTATATTATACTGTAGTTTTATATAAATGTATGATTACATTACAATTTTAATCAAATACCTATCATATTTTATAATGATATTTAATTTAAAAACAATAAACCATTGCTAACAAAAAACGACTCGGAGCAAGTTTCGGTTATAAATGTTCTGAAACACCGTAATACATCAAAATTTGATTTTAAAACTCTTATATAAAAAAAAGTACTACATTACACTCAATTTTTTTTTTTTTTTTTTTTATGACCACTAAGTATGAATTATAATGAACCACCTGTTAAATTTTCAAGCATTTCTGTTTAATTTAATAATTTTGTCGGCATAGTACCTACCAAATATAAATGATTTAAAAAAATCCCAAATTAAAATTTCTATAAGTAGCATAAAAATAGCTCAAATGTTTTAAAAGTTTTTCACATCTAGAAAAGACACATTTAAATTTGTTATCACAAATTTTAAGTCTCTACAAATATTTTTAACTAAAAAGAAAAAAAAAATCAAAATTGTTAATAATAAAAGCATTATTTTTGTAAATTTTCCTCTTCATTCTATATTTTTTTTTTTTTTTTAGTTTTGCTCAATTATTAAAAAAAATTCAAGAAATTTCAAAAAACGACTTTCATATTCACAAACTAGATTAAAATTCAATACAAAAGATCTCTCATTTTTTTTTCTATTGGGACATTATTTATAGAAGGAAATATAAACAGTGCAAATTTGAAATAAAGGAATTGTAATGCTGTAAATTCATCAGTTTTTATTTTATTTTTTTCTGGTTTTTTTCAAATTATTATGAAAACCAAATAGAAAATCAAAAAATTACTTCCTTAACACACCAACTAGATAAAATTTCCTTTCAAAAAAGGTGCAACAATTTATACATAGGAAAGTAGTATTCCTTTTTGAAAAGTTAACAAACAGAAAAAAAAAACACTCACACATCATAGTGAAATCAATAGATCCCTCCCTTCACTACACTCCAAATCTAATAAATAAGAAACTAACAACCGGTATAATTCTACAGACATTAAATAAAGAAGTTAAAAATACAATAGCTAGATTATTAAAAAAATTACTTTTTAAAACTTACATTTTTAAAATTTTCTTCAAATTTAAACGCCCCGCCACCAGTAGCGCAAACTGTAGATACACTAGCAGCCATACCTTTCTTTTTGGCCAATTCCAAAAAATTGTTCATCTCGCTAGTTGGAAATCTAATAAAATGCAGAGTACCAACCCTGTTGCAAATTTTAACATTGTCCATCTAAAATCAAATTATTATAAGGACAACTATATACAATATATAAACTTGAATTTATGTACAGTAATTTTTAAGCATGTTCACTCCATTTTTATTGTTAAATTATACATAAAATCAAATTCTGAGATTTGGCATTTTAAAATGTAAAAGATAATATATTTAAATATTTATAAACCTATAAATAAAAGTATTCGACATGTAAGGAGTATTCTTTGATAATACCAATTTTGGATTTTCAAATAAGAACTTATACATATATTTTAATTCAAATAGTGTATTAGATGATTTTTCTGAAAATGTTGACACATTGTAATCAAAATTTGAATAAACAGTTTCCATGTTATTATACTTTAAATACTAAGAACTAAAGTCCTTAATACACTGAAAATGGGCAAGTATAATTAAGTATGAAATATAAAATGATTACTTAGTCAAGTATTCTCAGGCAATTATTACATTTTGTATGGATAAAATTGGGATGAGCATACTTAAAAAATTGCCCCATGTATTATATACTTGAAGGTGTTCATCTCTGTGTCCGGATTTTCCATAAGCAGAATTTTTCGTCAAATATTTGGTAACATTAGACAATAATTGAGTTTCATCTTCGGTTTTTTCTACAATTGAGTCTTTTGGCTCGAAAAATACTAGTTTCGAGAGTGTTCCCCCGATATCCATGCCGAACCATGGCATAGCTAAAAAACAAATCAAACGAATTAGTTAATTATTTTAAAATTTGTGTATTTTTCCCTTATGACAATAAATGATATAAATTCAGTTTGAAATCCTAGCTAAATAATAATTATTATTAAGCGTTGTATTAAAATAAAATATAAACATGTTTTAATGTAGCGTTAACTCGAATGACTATAAATAATTGCAAGTTGTATACCTCACAATGAATACAAATCAACTTGTGTAATTGAAATCGCAAAAACAATATTCAGTTTCTATACGATAACAAAAAAAGATGATAACTGATATTATAATTGAGTGTATAGTATTATAATGCACATAAACACGCGAAAATTCCTAGTATCCAAAATAATTGAGTGGGCCGGACGTGCGCGAAGCGTGACTTTTCGATAAGCCGGCTGGATGAACCGTGCAAAGAATTAAGGATTGACGAAACAGCAACAATGTGCAGGACGCGGAGGAAAGAAATAGTCTGAGAGACCTGGTAAAAGCTGCGAAACGATTCCACGGTGTATAAAGCAAAAAAAAATAAACCATGTATAAATATTATAATTTTACATTGAACTCATAATATACGAATTGTGCATAGACATATAGAATTTTAAACGATAATAAATATTAATAGGACCTTTATGTCCTGAAATAATAAAAAAAAAAAAATAGTTTCTAATATTTATTTACTTCAGTTGTGAATCCGGATGGTACACCCCCCTCCCCATTCCCCAGTGGAAATAATTTACGGATCCGCTCCCGGTTTAAAGTCGTCATCGTCGAAAATGTCTGTACCCGTCATGCTCGTATGATTATATGATTATTATTATATGATTATACGTCAATTCCGTGACATGGAGTCGAGTTAGGTCAGTACACGTTTTCATGTAAAACATGATTTTGTGCAAAACAACCATATGAGCAAGTTTATTATATCCACGGTACATAGTAATAAGAATTTAAAAATGCGTTTTATTTTGTTTGCATAAAAGTGCATAGTATTTTGATGTATACCATACAATATAAAAAAACATTTCGAGATTCGCAATCGTGCAAAGTAACCAAACCTTGCATACCTATTTTATTAATGTTTTTAGAGAATATTATTGCAAATAGAGATGTTGATTTCACTGGTAAATCTACCCTGACCCTGGATTTTTATTTTTTTTTTTTGAAAAATCCGCAATCTTTACACAAAATTAAAAACTAAAATGTTGAGCTGTATTCTTAATAAATTTGGCGCAATAGGATAGGCACTTTGTCATGTTGACAGTGTTACCGGTATTAAATATTGAAATATGTCATTAATCAAATGTTATTGCACGTAAAATTACAATTGACACGAGGAATTATATCTATATACAATACAAATCTATATCTATCACTCGATTTTTAATCGGTAAAAAAACTTTAGTAAAACGATACTACCGGGTAAATTTACCGAGCCCACAACTACCACGCTTGTAATCGTATTTTCAAACGTTAAAAGAAAATATAACACTCGGTCTATTTCAACAGAATACATAAATCCGGGCTCCGCCAGTTTTAAAGAAAATAACAATTATTATATTTTTACGCAATTGTCGGTATATTATATAGCTATATATAAACGTCTATTATGTTTTCCACGTGTGTGAATTACTGAACTTCAACGCACATAATTACAATGGAAATCAAAACACCTGTTTGAAGATACGGGTAACGAAATCGATACAATGTAATAAAATTAAGGATAAAAATAAAATTTTTATTATCCAATTGAGTAATTATGATTTTATTGAATTTGTCGAATCGTGTTGCGAGATTGGAAAAAAAAAAAAAAAAAAACCGCTCCCCGCCGCAATAGTTTTCGACTTTGCGCTTTATTTTTGCCAGCAAAATAATGTTTTCTGTACCGAACAACAAACGGCCAGTGAGTCTGTATACTTGCGTGGCGCCTCCCGCGGTGTACCCGCAGCCACTTGTCCGACCGGTTCGCGTGAAACACTACGATTTATAATTTATCCACGCGGCGATCAAAATTAACAACACGGATTTCCGACGGGCAAATTTCATATAACAAACTTCTACTGTGTTACACTGCTGCTGCTACGGCGCAATTCGAAATGGATTTGGAAATCCCGATCGGCCGCGTCGCGTCTAAAACGACAACGAGTACAGGCACGATATCATGTGGGTATAGTAGTAGTAACATAAGACCGACGTTAATAAAGTCGCCGGTCAGCGAAACGGCCGCAATACGTAATTAAACGTCATTGAATATTATTTGTACATAGTTACCGAGCGAATCTGGTTTTAACGATTCCCGAACTCTTTTTTACACGAATAATAATAATTGTATTGTATACCGGGTAATAACATTGGCGGAGGAGGAATTCGAAAACCTTCGCGATAACGAACTGCGGATGCGCGTACCTATATTATTTTTATACGCATGCGTACGTATAATAAATTATTATGCCTATGAAAAATCGTACCTTTAATTTCCAAGGCAATCCACCGCAATTATTATTATTATTATTATTATTATTACTCATTACCGAACGTACGCGATAATAATAAATACCTATTTCGCTAAATGCCCACACGCAATACAACGGGTAGTGAGGCGGTTGTAACTTTTTAAGATATTACGATGTAATTATATGCATTTTACTGTACCGTTAAATTATGCGTCGACAATACAGCGGTTCCCAAAGTGGTCTATATGTATAGAACCCCGGGGGTTTATTCTGACCCGCGAAGGGGGCAATTTCATCGAAAGAAACAAATTAGGGGGTGCAGGAGATGTAAATAGGGGTTATAAATGATGATTTTAGAGAAGTCTACGAAAAACAGAACAAATTAACGAGTGGTGCACGGGGAAATAAAGTTTGGAAACCTCTGGCCTATAATTAATAGGTACGCGATTGTTCAATTGTCTTATTAATTTATGGACGGTTATTTTTTTTATGCAAATAATAAATTCCCTCCGCACGCCTTAATTATTTTCCGGCTATTATATCATGACGTCGAGATTTTCCGATTTTTTTTTTTTTTTTGTCGTACTGTTTTTTTCTTATACCCTGACCGCCGAAATGCAATTCCCAGGCAGACGGTCATTAACCTATCGGCGGCACGATACCATCATGACCCCCATCGTCGGCTAGACACTTTCCATTTCACTAGGAACCCGAGGGCTGAGCCCCCTTTCTTTAAGTGGACCTTGAACGGAATGACCGAAATCCATGAACGAGTGGTAAAATAACAACGGTAAAAAAATACTCGCGTGTATTTAAACAGACCTGTCGGGCATGACAAAATATGTCATGTAAAATTAAAATCGCGCGGTTTTTTTTTTTTTTTTTTTTGGAGAACATTAATTTGACTACACTACGGGCTACTAAATCGCAACAATGATAAGCAATCGAGTTTAATGTGATATAATACGATGAAAATTAAAAATGTTATGACAAATAATGTATTAAAAAGAGTACACATTTTTTTTTTAAATTGGCAACACTGGCGGAAGACATATTCTGCTGTTAACTCGGAAACTAACTATCGCCACCTCTTTATTACTCAACGGATGGCCCTCGTGCAGTACTTAAAAAAATCAATAAAAAAAAAATCGTGAACCAATAATCAATAACCGTTTATTGGTTCCGATTGTACGTTTGTACTCGTATACAATTATTTGTGGAATTATCATGGCATTTCCTTGGTATGATAATAGTCCAATAATTTTAGATTCTGAGTCGAGCGGAGAAACTTATGGTTTTACAAAGATGTTTTTGTTTCTTTGTGAACAACTTTCCTACCAGCAATTTTGCTCCAATTTTTAATGATAGCAATGTTTCAATAAAATTTCATTAAGGAGGTACTTTAGAAAGATAATTTTTCGATTTTCTCAAGAGTTTTCTCATCAAATTTAAAAAACCGAAAAAAAAACGGGAAAATATAAGAAATACAAGTATTAGTTAAAATATATTACGGCCTTCTTTTTTTATGTACACAACTTTAATACCAGCAAGTTTGCTCCAACTTTTAATGGCAGCAATTTTTTTGAAAGCAAATATGAAAAACCGGGATAAAACATGGAAAAATCGGGAAAAACATAGGAAAATTGAAAAAATCGGTACAAAATTTAAACAAATCTTATTAAAGAAAATATATAAAGCCTATTTAATTACTTTACTATAAAATGACATATATATTGTTGACAAAGCGTGACTATTAACTGAAACCCACTCAGAATCGTTTTTTCGTAAGCAATGGTTTATTGTTGCTTACAGATATAAATGAAATTCCCGTTTATATCCTATCTTACCAACTTCCAACCTACATCAGTGGCTGCAACCGTCCCCATTATCTTACCTTTCTTTTAAATGACATACAAGATATAAAAAAATAAATATTTAAGACTTATACTTGGGTTATGGACCATGCTTGACTAGACTACACTATAGTCTCGTTAGTCGTGGACCAGACCTGACTATAGATAATATGAAATGCATTAGACTGCAGACACCTCATAACATTTTATAAATATTGAAATAAACATATAGGTTAGGTTTGACAAGGTCTAATTAATTAAATCCAGGGAAATACTAGCAGAATAAAATGCATTACAAGCATCATAATATATATTAACAAAATAATTAGATGAAGTACTGCCATCCTGCAGCTTTTAACCGAGTATTTTAAATATTTAAAATAAGTACCCATATCAAATATACAATTTTATTTTCGACATTTTTCAACTAACCTAACTATAGGTAAATAATATCGGAAAAAACACGTTAACATACCGTCAAACGAGTTCAATATTCGAAAATTCTATAACCCAGTCAATTAATCATTCGCATAGTTTATCGAATTAAACAGCTACACGTATATATATATATTTGATTTAATCTACATAATTTTTCGCAATTATTAATGATACACACTTCAGAAAACCATATTTTATATCTAAGGCTGATTATACACAATAAAACACATCATTTTTTACTAGGTATTTAAATATATTTAATTACTGGAATGATTGGCGTGCTAACGGGGTATGCAGAATATAAGTCTCTGCACAGTCCAAAAATTGTTTAATATGCATCGAATAATTTCGGGGCTTGGGTCATAATGGGCCAATTTCAATTTTTATCAATTTTGAGAAATTAAGAATAAAACATAATTTTGGGCCTTTTTTATAGTACAATAGTAATTTTTCTAACATTGAAATGTTATTTGTCTAAATGTTAAATGTTAAATGTCTTTTCAAATCTCATAATAATTAAACAATGATTATTGAGATACGCCCTTTTACCACTAGTAAAAGCATATACAATTTTATATGATAACACTTAATTTCCCCAAAAAGTGACATTAGCCTTTTTGACCAAATTCCCAAAATTATACTCCGGGTCATTACATACATTTGCTATCTAACAAGCAAGATCAAACTAAAGACACATTAAAATGATCTACTGTGGTTAAACTTGAAGTGATTATGTAATTTTTGTTTTTTATTAAGAGGCCCAATTATTTTTGAATACCCACTCTAAAAATTACTGATTCAACATAATATGATTATTAATTTCAATGCTAATATAAAACGAATATTATTACGAGCGTGAAACAGTATTATAATTATCATCAAAGAACGAAAATCAATAGCAATTATCATAATTCGTCGCAAAATATGCAAAAGCATACAACATTTACGTACACGAATATTTTAAGATCGCGTCGTTTTACAACTACAGAATTCGACAATACTAATACATTATATACTAAATATTCTATAATATTCAATTAATTATTTTATATCTTTGGTCTCAAGGAAGAAGGGCCCAAGTTGATTTTGTATAGTTTTCAATAGAAACGATTTAAATTTTGAAAATACATATACTTGTATGAATACGCGTATGCCATTTACACGAAAAAATAAAAGGAAAATGTAATTTTACAAAAGAGAAAATCAAAAACAACATTTCAAAAATGTACTTAAGCCCTTCTTCCCCGCGGGGTCAAAGATAAATCGTCTGAAAAACAAATGATTAGCAAAAAAGTAAAAATACTCAATCGGTTAAAGGTCCAGTCCTATTTTATCATCATTTATTGATATCTATAAAGGTTACCCGTACAATCAAGACAGCAATTTATTTTATTTGTAAATGCATTATGTAATATATTATTAATTGTCATTTCGGTAGTCGGCTAAATTATATTATTGTATACATATACATAAACGTTTGTAAACATTTCCTGTTTCAATGCCCGATCGCTTTCAAATTCTAAACGTATACCTATGCATACATGTATATTAATATACGTACCTACTTGTCCAACTCCATAATAGTTAGGTATCCGGTTTCATAATCGTTTACGATATTATTTTATTAATAATATAATATACTATGCGATAATACCATGGTTTTTATCAAAATGACCCAATTCGTTTTCCAAGCTCGACGAAAAATTAAAATCAAAAATATACAACATCGTTTTAACGCAGAGTACATTTTTTACCGGCCTAATATTCATCGATTTCTAAAAACCTAGACAACTTACGACCCGTATAATTATATTTCACTAATCACTTACATACTTCCGTGATCAATCATTATCGGGGTTGCGAATCGAATTAACGCGTTTGCGTGCTTTTCTTTCTTTTTTTACTACCTATACATTCATAGATTCGGACGAAATTTGTTTTGTGTTGTTTATTAATCAAATACGAAATTTTGTTTTACACGTTCAACAGATTAGGCCACATTAATTATGCATAATTTCGTCAACTCTTCGTGTTAATGGTTTGTTTCTCAATTTATTATAAAAATCATATAAAATCCTAATTTATTTTTCCAGTCGTTCTGGGCTAAATTGGCTGAAATGTTTTCGTTTAAAATATGACTTTTGTGGTTTAAATGATAACTATAATTCTACACTAGAGTACACAGAAGTACGTACCTTCCCGTTTGAAAAAAAATTATACATGCTCAATAAATCGAGGTAGTATTGTAGTAACAAACATTCATATCACTGATATTTATATTGTCTTCAAATAACAATAATATAATTGTTTTCCATATTTTTTTTTTTTTCGAAAAATTAGTGGATGTTTTACATATTTAAAAAATTTGTTTTAGAGCATATTTTAGTCAGTTTTTAGGACATTAAATTAACAGCCCTTACTATAAGATACCAAACTTACAGTAGCGTATCTAAGGGAGGGATAATGGGATAATTACCCCCCCCCCTCTTAATAATACTACAATAAAAGATTAGTATGTCCTATGGACATAAGTCTAGATTTGATATAGACGAATTTTAATTGCCCCCTCCCTTTGAATAATTAGGTATTGGATCCGCTTCTGCATACTTAGAACAAGTTTTAAACAGAATTCAAAATGAATGAAGAAATTAACTTTCTCTAAGTGATTTCGACTTACGTGTTTTTATTATTAACGTAAATACTCAAATAGAATTTATAGATAAACAAATATAAACTCATTGACATCCTAATGAGTATGCTAATATTATTCATGGGTATGTTATACAATAAAATTATTAGTATATTAGACATGCATTATTATAGGTACGTGCAAATATTAATGTAATTTTAAAACACGACACACGCACTAATTAAATCATAAATTGTATAAAGAAAAAATAAAATTCTGTATTACTTACGTGGAACAATACCGTTAAAATGACTCTTGCGTATAGACATGCCATTGGTTAGAGAATTTGATATCACTTTGGTGTGGCTTTTTTCCATTATTTGTAAAGCTGAACACTCCTTACAAGTATAAGGACCCATGGTTATTACCTAAAGGAAAATCGGACATACAAAAAGAAATTGTTCAAAAACAAAATTACACCAAATATATGCTGTCAGAATTTCAAATATTTAACGTTGTATGACGCGTACGTGCGTAAGCTATAGGAAGCTCTCCTGTTCCTACACAAGAACTGGTTTTATAGTAAAGATTTCGGCATGTCAATATTGAATAGGATGGATTGCAGAGAGAGGGAACGCGCACGTGAAAGAAGGTGAATTAGTTTATTACATGTACTGATGTGCATACAGGTACATTAGGAAGGAGAAACCAATATACATGACTATAATCTTAAAATAAAAATGCATTCATTAACAATCGCAAAACGAAAAAAAATAGGTGGAAAGTTGAAGATGTTAAGTAAAGTAATACACAAAGTAATTTAATTTATATTTATAAGCCAGGATAAACCATTGCTAACGAAAACTGATTCTGAGCAAAGTTCGGTACAACATTTATGAAATGCCGAGATTTTCACGATGAAAAATAAACAATAAAAGTATAAACAATCATACGATTATAAAAAATAATTATTACATTTTAACTATGAGTTGAATGAACTTCATGATGAATTTTCGAGCATTTTTGTTACGCAAAATAATTGTATTCACATAAAATCAAATAAAAACGTTTTTAAAAAAACCCTCAAATATTTCAAACGACTACAAAAAATTCAAAAATCGCCAGAAAGTTTTAAAATTTGTATCGCATTAAGAAAGTGTTAATATAAATCTTCAGTGTTATAGGTATCTACGATTTTATCTCACTCAACAAAAGCAAAATTAATGGAAACCGCGTAAATATTCCTGTTTCCCTCTCCTCCCCTCAAATTATTAATTAAGAAAACTACAAGGCGTATCGAAAAATAACCGCTTCAATGCACCAACTAGAAAAATATGCTACCTGAATTCACATCTAATGTTAATGATCAGAGTAAAATTCCAGATAGAAAAGTTGTTTACAAAAAAACACACGTCATAATAAAACTAATACGCTCAAATCTAAAATGCGTAATGTATTAAGCATATTATTTATTTTGAGTACGTAGGATTATTAATTTAAAAAGAAACGAATTAATGCGGATTAATATTAAATGAAAAGATTATAATAATTGCTCGTAACGATTAAGATAATGTCATTAGAATCCGATACATTTTTTACTAGAACATAATCGGATTTAGAAATATTAAAAGCATACGAAATAGCATAAAAACGTCGATTGGTTTATTGTATAACATCCATAATTATTTTTAAGAACTTATATTGCTGATACGTGTGCCACTTGTAAATGGGAAGGTAATGTACATAAAGTTATAAATTTAATAATAACAATAAACCATTACTAATGAAAAACGATTCTGAACAAAATTCTGTTATACATGTTTTAAAACGACGTAATTCTACGATTTTCGTCAACATTTATTCCAGAATCTTATACAAAAAAAAAACTACTACATTAGGTTCAACATTTCTATTCTATATAAATGTATCCACATAAAACCAAATAAAAACTAAAAAAACAAAATAGTTAGCGCGGTAAATATTTGTCAGATTTTCCAGCTGTTTTTTCGGTTATTCCAATTTATAATAAAAACCACGTGAAAAATCAAAAATTAAACTAAATAAAATTGTCTTTGAGACAATATGCTAATCTTGTAATTTGAAACAAAATGTCTGATAGAAAACTTAAGTCAAAAAATATGTAAAATAATGAAATCATTATAATGTCGTAAATATTTGTCCGTTTTTTCCCCTTAATTTCTATAAAAACCACTTGGAAAATAAAAAAAAATAACCTTCCCAATGCATCTACAACTTTACATCCAATATTATGCTAAACAAATATTTCTCATCATTTTTTGATTTGAGCAAAATTCCTGGTAGAAAATTCGTTTACAGGTACAACAAATAAAAAATTCCATATCGCATAGTAAAACCACTCGGTCCAAAATATAAAAAAAATCTGCGAACAGAGTATTAAAGTTAAATACTGGTATCGGTTTTTATTAGAGATTTAGATGATTATCTAAGTTGATTTTGTTAATCACTATACCACTCTCGTTCCACATAATATCAAGTATAGGATTTCAATGGCGTATTATGGCTTAAGATTTAACTTTACATGTAATTTAATTAATAAAATATTAGCGAGAGAAGCTATCAATTTATTTTTTTTTTACATGTTATATCATCAGGTGCTGTACAAAAATCCACAAATACGTCACTGTAGCATTACATAAAAAAAAACAAGGAATAAATAATTACATATTATACAATAAACAATATACGATGAATATTTATGAAAACAAAAGAAAAACAGAATTATATTTCGAATTATTTTTTACCTAGTTATTTTGCACGTAAACCTGATTTCGATTTTTGGTTTTTTTTTTCCTAACCCGTTAACCGTCATCGAGGGTAATAACACCTATAGGTATATTAATAATAATAACAGCAGAATCAAAAAATATACATTTTTTTCTTTTTCTGTAGACTTGGTTGCTATTATTATTACCTACGTATAATACGCCTGAGTAAAACCGCGGTCGTACATGCGAAAATATCCAACTAAGAATTTAGACGATCGGAACAAGACTTTGTTTCCTGCGTGAATATATATATTTTAATTAATTATTATTTACGATTTTTCGTCATTAATTGTTTTCGTACGTTTCGTAAAAAATTCAACGTCGAAAAAAAAGCAAGCGATTATAACAACGCTATTAAATACAACTAATAATAACAGTTCGTTACTGCATATTATATTATAGCAATAATAACAATAATAATATCAACACGCATTCAAACACGCAGTCACAACCTGTTTGAAGGAAAGAGATTGACCTTCATGACTTCGGCATATTTTTTGTATTACATAGGACTCTGAACTTCGCTGGGTTAAACGCAATTTATGGAAATTATAATTTTATAATGCAATGGATTTAGAAAACGTTACTGTTTCGATACTATTATAATGATTTCTAATTGTACATATCTGTTTTTTAATCATTTCTAATAGTCGGTTAAGAAGAACGCGATAAATAAAAATAAACGTCCACGATTAATATTATTAACATAATATTAAGAATAATTTTTATAATACATACACTACTACTATATGGGCGATTAAACTGGAACAAAAATTACTATACATCGAATACCAATACATTATTATAACGTACGGAATACAAATATGCGAAAATAGTGTATACTCGAATCGTGGAAACTATTCGCTATTTGGTGTAATTAAATAACATTATAATAAACGTATACTTGCAATGTTATCATTTATTTATACTTGAATAATTATGAAACATTTTCTAATAATATATGTACCTATATAGCCCTATATATATACACCTAAGTAACTATTATTAGTATCTATGATATTGTTCTATAAACTACAAAGCGATGATTATTAATATGTCTACGTTTTATAATTATTTTTTTATTTATATACGAGCGTGTCATCGGTTCCCGCAAAAAAAATGACCTTTCCGTTTTCGGTCATCAATTATAAATTATAGGATTTTAACGTTTGGTAACCCCATTTATCGAAATATTCAATAATATTTTTCTTTTATTCAATATAATTCCATCACAGCATTTAGCTATCAGATAATAACAAGTCACATTTTGTGATACATAAAATATACGTATATAGGTAATTTATTTTTAATTGTATTACTTTCAAATTTTTTTCAGATTTGTACAATGCTATTTAAATATCAACCGATATAAGTTAACACAATAATTTTCAATAATTTTAATATATGTATTCTTATAATATCTAAGTTGAAAAAATCATGTGCAAAAATGTAAATAATATCGTTTACTTACAAGAAAAAGAATTTAGACAAAGAGGTTATTAAACGTTAAAATCCTATAATATTAATAACTGGCGAAAAAAGGTTTTGGCGGAAAACAGAAAGGTCATTTTTGGCGGAAACCGGCGACACCGACATATACCTATGTGTGTAAACTTGTTATTTTGTAGGTACACGTTTTTTAAATGCAACAACCAAGTGCAATATTATTATCATTGTACATTTCAAGTAGTCTAAACGCAAAATCAAAATAATTTAAGTACGTTTGTTAACCAATCTACACGGGCATATTAAATGTAACGAATGCATAATAATTCGCCATGTCATGGTGTGTAATTATTTATATGAAGATAGGTAGATGCGTTGTATTATGATTTAAGAGGAACGGCATAGACAGACACAAAATTCGATTTTAAAGAGCGAGTCTTTTTAAGCTTGGTACTATATTTAATATTATTTTTGTTGTTGATAATATTATCTACTAATTTGATAATGGATAATAATTAATACGTTAAATAAATAAACGTAAAAATATATATTTTCCAAAGAATAATGATAGAATAAATAAAATTAACAGTTTATAAATAATTATAAAAATAAAATGCTCAAGTATTATTATAGATATTGTCATATTTTATACAACGTCAAAATAATAAAATAATAATTGAAACTATATAATAGGTAGGTCGTAGGTACTACAGGCGTAATAGGCGGGTAATTTTGTAATAATCTCTTTAGAATTGAAAACTTTTCGTTTCTATACAAACAAAAAACTGGTCGACAGATAACTATCGAGTGTATCATATACGAACGATAATATCCGTACCTATACGACCTAGCTATATAATTATTATTACTTATATTGTTGTAATAAAATAATATTTGTCAGTAATTTTCGCGAGACTTACTGGTTACGACGATTGGTAATCTATAGGTACTCGATGATGTTCACAATATTAATTTATTTGACCGTACAAAAAAAAAAACGCACGCAAATACACCGAGAACACTCTCGAAACGCGACCCTACGTTACCACAGACTTGGCCAACTGGTAATACCTGCAACAGTCTTCGCAAACCACTTATAAATGAGTCAACGTCTCGTGACTATATACCGCCACCACTATCGAATTCAACATAGTAACACTGCTCGTCTATTATCGACGTACCAATACAACTATCGATACTTATATATGTAAACATGTATGCACGCAAATTATTTCTACAAAAAAAAAAACCGATTAATATAGAATTGATGTTAAAATTAATCAATCAAAAGTATTGTTTAAAATGTATATATTGGTCGCCAATTATTATTATTTTCGATACCAAACTATAATTACGATATCCAAGAGTACTTTAATTACAATTTAACACACGTATACCTACTTATAATGTTGTCGATACCTAACATATTTGAATTAGATAAATCTCAAACTAAAAATATTGCTAATTAAATATTTTTATTAACTCTACCTAATATTTTAAAACTAATTTAATCAGTTACTATAACGTCATTACTACGTCACACAATTAACTATCGCATTTCAATAATGTATTCTTTTACCCCTATTATTATTATTAATATTACCTGTACATAAACTAAATAAAATATCGTTGCTTTAAACAATTAATTTTTTAATTATCACACAAAAATCTGTAGGTAATAATAATACGTATTTTTAACAATATACTTGTATTACGACTAATGGTGTTCCCATGGGGAATCATCAAATAGTCTATAATGCCATTGTTATATTGGTATTTGTTGAACAAAATATCAGTAATTCGAATAAATTGTTAATACCCAAACAATCAAATTAATTGTATATTACATTGATTTTGGATGTAGCATTTTGTCCAAAAACAGGGGAAAAAACGTTAATTAAATTTAGTTATAAACTAAATGTATTCCTGAAAACGCTTAAAATTATGCACATCCAAAAATAAAAATCATAATAATAATAATTAACAAAACAATTAGAATTAGGCAATCAAAAGATAATATAACATAATGTACTGTAACTTGTATATTTTAAATTATAAAAATCAGAGAGAAAATGACCTTCTCTTTGAAAAGTTTATATGACTTTGTCCATTACCTTTATACATCATTATACGATAGATAAAGGTTAAAATAAATTTTAAATGCAGGTAGGTAGATTATTAAACTCTGATACTTGTAAATATCACTGATATCAATATAAAATTATTATCTAATCTTGAAATATCATTATTTTTAATACCATACAGATTTTATATTATATTTTTATACTATATACTTTTTTTATTTACATTTTAAAAATACTTCTCTTTTCAGGAAGCTTAATTTTTCTATAGATTTTTAATTCATATTTTATGAAAAAGAAAACTAGTTAACTGATGATACAAGTGCTAAGATTCGATTAGGATTTGCGTGATCGACAAGAAGTACAATATTCCAACTTTGTATACTCTTAATAAAAATATACTAAGAAATATCTATTAATCTTTCATTTTGGCACCCATATATTGTTATAATGATAGACCAATAGATTATAAAGTTTTTTACCAAACATAACCTATTTATTTCTTCAACCGAAACATAAAACTACCATCAATTTTAGACTGATTGACGTTTTCTGAATTCTTTGAATAATCCCTTTGAATTAACTACCTATTTGAGGTAACAGTATTATAGATATCTGTTTGAAAATCAAAACAATTATATTTATTTGGACAGTATATGTGAATAGGAAACCGATTTTTAAAATATTATAAAAATAACCCTTAAGTGATATTATGACTAAAATAAATAAAAAGCTATAAAAAAATATTTTTTGAATATTCAAGTATGAATAATAATTGTATTAACAATTATTTTTACATTATTATATAAAACTATTTTTGGCAAGACCAATAACGTCATAATACTACCATTCATATTACAATTTAAAATATTCAAACGTCTACGTATAATCGTCACATTTAATATTTACAATTTGTATAAGTTTCACTACATAGGTACTCCATAAATAAATTTGACCTTGAAAAATTCCGGTCTGGTTGAAAACAAGATTTTTCAAATCAAAATATGTAATTCAATAATAAATTGTAAACAACCCAAAAAATAAATAAATTAAGTACAAAGATTAACAACAAGTTAAACAAGAAATACAATTTTAGACTAAAACATAAACTAATCATACACACAGTTTTTTAAAAAATACTTTTCAAATTGTTTTTAAATACATATACAAATACATCCATTCAGAAAGTATTTCAGATACAATTGAAGAACAAATATAAACACTCAGCATGTTTTTAAGTATTTCTCAAATACTTTTTTTAATTTAGCCTTATAGTTAATTCAAGTAGGTTTGCAAAATTATTTTGAAATTTCTAATATAAAATTCAATATTCAACTGTTGAAGTAGGTATACCTATAATTAGAATTTTATACCACCTACTTCATTGAATACGGAAAAATAAAAATAAATAAAATGTGCTGTGCATTAATTCTGAAATAATTTAATACTTTGAATAAATTAAACAAATGTTAAGGAAATAGGAATTAAAATAGCATTCAAGTATTCAAAATCATTTACTTAAATACTTTATAAGCCTGCATACCAAGTGCAACAATTGTAAGTGTAAGATTTCTAGTTCACTATTCAAAAGGTCCTCAAAAATCAAAAATTAATATTAAAAATTGTTTTTCGCGTATATTTTTAGTTAGATGCATGCAACATTAATAGTAGATGTATAGACTATAGGTGATTCTCTAGCCATGCAACGAGGTGTTATAGAAACTCACATTACCTACTACACCACAATCACTTTCTCAAAGTTGATGAATCACCCGGATACGTACATCATAATATACAAACAACAAATTAAATTAAACTAATAAACCAATAATACTTAAGTGAAAAAAAAAACAATGAAAGATTCTTAGGGCACAAATAATTTAGCTTACCTATGAAAAAAATATCCTACGTATTAATGACTGCCAAAAACTATAGCCAATATATAACCAAATATAACCCAATTAAATGTTATATAGATACTTAGTTTAATATTTCTACTTTGTTTGTTTATTTAGATATTCTATTTTAGATGGTAATTCATTATGAATAGGCACCAACATTTGTTCACCCTTGCCCTTGGGTTCTAGATTTTTAAAAACATTACATGGATACATAAAAGAAAACCTATAATTTATCTTATAAAAAATAACTTCAATAATATTTGTTTACCTTTCTTAGTATTTAGTCTATTTTTATAAAATACAATAGTAAATAAAATATTCAAACTAATATAAACTTGAAAAACACACAACATAAACATTGTTAAGTATACTCATACAAATGTCTATGTATGAAAATTAAATAGTAACAATTTATCTAACAAATAAATTAATCGCATACTTGAAGTAGAAAAATTATTATATTAGTTCAAAATAATAAAAAATATAAAACAAAAAAAACAATCCTCTGGTTAATAGTCATTTTCCATACACTATCAACATTATTATTAATACACTGATATTTTGAAATCTTACAGAAAAAAAAAATAGGAACAAATTAGAAATATCATTACAAAAAAACAATTGTATTAGTTTTAGGAAAAACGAATACATTATTGTATTATTTACTATAATGTATATTATTATCTAGTAGTATTAGTTATAATTTTAAGTAATAATTAATAATAATATAACTAGTTTAATTTTTTTGTCGATGACGACAATCTAAAAATAATAATATTATTAAATTTTATAGGTATCAAATTAAATGTTCAATTATAAATTAAGTAGTTGGGTATGTATACAGTATTAAATTTAAATATGACATAATATGAAATCTATACAAAGTTTATCAAACCATCTCACAATAATCAAAATAGATTAATAGACACTAAAAAACCATACACCAATTTTCATTTTGAATAAATTAATTACTTAGATAATACAATTATTTACTTTTTGAGAAAGGTTAAAAAATTATGACCCCCAGAATTTTAACTAAGATAAAATTTGAATAAAAACATTTACTGTGACATATCAATGAGAGTATACTTAGAGTATGAAACCTTCTTTTAAAGCTTATGATAAATTGTCAGCTTTAATCATAATTTTGAAGAAGATATGAAAAAATGAATAAATGTGTATATTCATATTATATGTTTAGTTTTATTAATATACCTAACCAACAGAAATGAGTAGTTTAATATTAACCCAATCAAAGCACTGGTATGTGAAATAAATTAATAAAAAAAAAAAAATGGAATTATTTTAGGTTAACTTTTAAAAAATCCAGTGACACTACACCTCTATGGACAAAATTTATCACTAATATCAAAGCTGTTTGACTGATTGCTAACACAAATTAATTTAAGATTAAATTAGATAGACTATAAAAAAATAGGTATTATAGGTATTATAGGTATTTGTTTTTTTTTCAACTAATTTATCAAATTACAAAGTATAAAAATAGACAAAAACTGTTTTCAAATCAGAAACCAAATAAAAATCAAATGATATGAACTGTTACATATTTTCCTCAATTATAAAAATTTGTAATTTTGTTATTTAAGACTTAAAATAATATTAAAGTTAATTGTATAGTACGTAATATATCAAAAATTAACTTATAAAATTATTAATCCTTAAAATACTTTTTGTTTTATGAAACACTTAAATGATGTACTTTGAAATGCATAGTACATTATATCAAGATACTTTTTAAAACAAATTTGTTATTGAATTTGCAATTTTAATTTCAAAAGCTTGACAATTTACAAAATTATTCATAAAATCAGTAAGAAGATATTTTATCTTAAATTGTAGCATCACTAAACTAGCACCTAAATATGTTATAAATTTAATTTAATAAAGGAGACTATGAATTAAATAGTTTTAATGATTTTAAATGTAAAAATATAAAGTGTTAATAAAGCAACTAAACAAGTTTAACATGTCTATCAAACTATAAACAATACTTCTTAAGAAAATTATCTGAATAGAACAGTTTCAAAATAGTATTAGCAAGCATTTTTATAATACTAAATAAATTTAACTCGGTATCTCAATATTATATTTAATGTTAAATACTTAAACCAAAATGAAACTAGTGTCAAACACCTAAACTATAATATATTCTAAAATAAAAGGTTTGATTTTCAATAAAAAAAATGAATGTGTGCCTCAAAAGGTTAACTTGAAATATTTTAGAACTTAAAATTAAGACATGGTAAAAGTTTAAAACATAAAAATGTACTTAATAGTTTTCCATACTGCCAAAATGTATATTCATACTTTATAAATTATCACAACTTTTGATTTTCAAAATGCAAGGTTTAAATATACTTTTAAACCAAAAAATTAAGATGTAGATTTAAACATTTAAAAACTTTTTTTTTTTTATTATTATTATTTTATCTTGGTAAAAATTATTAATTATCAACTTGTGCAATTAAATACATCCTAACTTCACTTTTGTTGAGTATGAATAATTAATGTATTGATGCATCTAAAAATTGTAATAGAAATGATTAATGTAAAAGAAGGTCATATAAAAAACTGAATAGAAAACAGATAACCTATCAACTATTGAGTTGTAAATAATATATGTTTATTAATAGAAACTCAATAGAAATAGTTATTAAGTTTTGGAGTAAATACATAAAAATATTACTTCTTTTCCAGGTTACACCTATTATTCTAAAACTTTAAGCAAAAAAAGTCATATTATATTATTTTACTATGCCCACAAACAATAAAATAACCATGACAACAGAAATTATGAAAAAAATGAACACAACAATATTATATTGATGTTTATAAATTGATAGAGATTGTTTTTACCACTTGCAAACTTTTAATTATTTTCATCGTACTAGCTAATATCACCATTACCTATTTGTCTTACTTGCATATTATTACTAAAATAATATTATTGTGACAACAAATATTCTGCTAGACAGATAGACAGAAAAAGAAATCATAGAATATTATATATATATATAGACCGTGTATATAAGTTCAACATGTACTGACTAACTGACTGATTCATCATCGTACTGGACAGAAAGGGCAGACATTTAGCACAGAAATAGCTATTAGTACATGGGCATCCACTAAGAAAGGATTTTTGGAAATTCAATCTCTAAGGGTAGTAAAGATGAAATAGATTTCACCTTTCAGTTATCGAATTTGGTTAAATTTAAAAGTTACTTTTAATGAAACAAATTATATTTCAACTCCTCTAGGTATTTAAACAACCTCTCATAGTTTATATTATGACATTGCTAATAAACCATTAATCAAATACTCTTAAATATAGGTATTATAATAGATACCTACTAATACTCATATATTATACATAATACTATAGTATTACTTTGTATTATATAATATATAATATATATTTAACACAATATAGATCAAAAGTTTATTGCCCTAATAAACCTAATATTATACAAGTACCTACTAACATTTATATGGTAATGCTTTTAAAATAGTTCCTCAGTTAAAAAGTTGAATAATTTTAGGGATGGGAGTGAGAAAAAAGTTAGTTGCATTACTATTTTTCAATATTTAAAATATGAACTGAATAACTGATAACTATAAAATTAGAATACTTAATAGAATGTTATAAATACAATGCAAATACCTAACAACCAAGTATTTATTTATGATTTGATTAATAATAATTGAAGTACTTATATACTTACCTATTTAGCTAATTAAAAGCTTTAAAAATAAAGAAGGAAAAAAAAGAAAAATGAAAAATAAAGAATAAAATAAAAAAATAGTATAATAAAGAACATTTTCTTTATTATATTTTTAACTAGAGACAACATGTCCTTATATTCATTTATAACTTTTACTCGTTAAATATTTTCTTATAAAATAATAAAAATAACCACGAAAGAATTATTTTCCATCAACAAATCAACAAAAAGAAGTATGGTAATAGAACACTCACAATTGTTTAAAGCCTTTTTTATTATGTAATCCAAATTTAAAATGTTTATAATTCTGTTGTATTAAATTGTATAGAAAATATATTAAATAATATACCAAATAAGTATAGGTAATTTAATTATTTATTAGATAGATAATCTAAGGATGAATAATTTATTAGTTATCACAACAAATAATATTAAAAAGTATAATCTCAGTAAAGCCATTTACCCAAAATCTAAAATTATTAAATATGATATTTTTATGATAGTCTCCATTAAATATAATAGGCATATATCAACTTATCAATATAACAATATCTGGCAGTCAGTATTTACATTAATTGTTTAATTGGTTAATTAATTAAAAATATAAACACTGCAATATTTATTTCCGAACAAATTAGACATTCAATGATAAATTAAATTTTGTTTTAAATAATCTAAGGCCATGAAATTAATAGACTTACTTACTAACTGATTACCTCGCTAAAAGCTGATTATAAATTATTTTGAGACAAAGTTATAAAAAAATAAAAATTACCAGTAAAATTATACAGTAAAACTTCCATGTAACAGTCATCAAAGGGACTGGAAATAATGACCGCTATTTAGAAGTGACCTTCCTTTAGAGGTATCATATAGACGCATAACACTTGATGGGACCAAAAAAAAAATTACCATTACATAGAAGTGGCAGGCTTTGAAAGGTTATGAACTGTTAAAGGAAATTTTACTGCAATTAAAATCTAAATCAACGGTAATAAATTGGTTTAAAAATATAATATTATTTATAACCACCTAAGCATATATGATTACTTTAGACAATATTAAAATTTAATATTTTAATCAATCGTTACATTAGGTTAAGTAAATATAACTCTACAGAAATAGAAACATGAACGTGTCATTTTGTATTTTAATTATTTTAAGCCAAATGTGTCTAAGTGAAAAATATAAAAATAAAACTCATTATAGTTAGCATGCTAAATAATAATTGTTGTTAACTGTTTTACTCACCAGACATTCCCGTTATTTCCATCAGGTAGAAAAGTCCAAACAAATTAATTTAAGTAGACTATGAACTACCTATGAACGTTGACGTAATGATATATGATTACTTATTAGGCAGCGACCACCAACAATTGGAATGAGAATAAAAAAAAAATCACTTATACTAATTAAAAAAAAATGATTGTGAAATAATCATCGGGCTTTTTTCTCAATTAGGAACTTGAAAATTATTAACAGATAATAAATCGTAGTAAGCACATCATGATAAGAAGTGATAACGTTATTTTTTTTTACATTTGTGATAATCGATTAAAATGAATCATTCATAAACAATCTACAGAGAATCCCGAAAACAAAGAACAATTTTTTAAAATCTTTAAAATATTTTCTTTAATAAATATGCCAAAAGAGCATAATAAACTTGAGAAAATTTTAGATAAATATAAAAATATAGAACCATTCCCATATCAGGAAACAAAAGATAATGATGAATCTATATTTCCTATACCGTTACGTTGTTTAATTGTAGGAAGTTCAGGTTCTGGAAAGTCAAATTTATTGTGGAACATTATAACAAATTTTCGGGTTCCTTTTGAAAATCTTTATATTTCTACAAAAACCATTGATCAACCGATTTATGAGAAATTAGTAGAAGAATTTAATGATATAGATGAAATCGAAACAGTTATTTCTAATGAAGGTATAGTTTCTGTTGATGAATGTCAACATAAAGAATCTAGACATAAAGCTGATTTAATTTTAGAAAAAAATGCAAAAGATATATACAAAAATCCTGAAACATCTTTAGGTGAAAAAACAGCAGCTTTTGCAACTAGTAATATAATGAAAGTAAAAAGAAAATTAAGAATGGGTCTTATTTAAATAAAAACAATTTTGTAACATCGTTATCATTTACTTTATATTCAAAACCTAGACAATCAGATAAATATGAATCAAACCCAATATTAAATGGAGATGATATTTTTAATAATCCATTTTTAAGTGTAACTTTTGTGGTTTTATTTAGACTTTTTTCTGGGTAACTATTAAATATTTTTTCAAGAGATTTTAATGAATACAATCTAACTGTTAATTTATTCGTTGGTATATATCCGTTTCTCCCAATAATAAATTTACATTCTTGATTAATTTGTATAATCTCATCTTCTGGATTAGATAATATAAATTTTAATGGAAAATATCCAGCTATAGTATTTTTCATTGAGTTAAAATACATATCTTTTTCAGGATCAAAACCTAAATATTTATTTAACTTTTCGCCAAGTTTAAAAAAAAGCATTAGATTTGATATTAATTTTATCCCTTTCTATAGAAATTATTAATGGTTTATCAATTTTATTTAATTCGTCTATAGTATATTTTCCAGATTCTAATTCAATTATATTGCATTCAACTTTTAATAAACAATCTGTTTCAATATTTATTAAATTTGAATTAATACTTAAGCCTAAAACACCAACAAATAAATTATCTCCAAATATAGGATTTTCTAACCTTATGAATCCGTTTTTTATTTTTATTATTCTCATTTATTATAAATAATTTTTTTAATTTAAAATAAATTAAAAATAGCTGTATTTTTCTTTATTCAAATTCAATTAAGTGCAATGCTTTTCCATTGTTAAGAATTTTAGTACCTTTGTAGAGCATAGTGATTTTCTCATGTTGTTCGTTAATTGTTTTACAGTCACTATCAGAAAAATTTTTTAAAAATCGATTTAAAAAATTTAAGTGATATTTATTATCTACATCAACACGCAATTGAGGTCCATATTGTGATTTATTAATGCAGAAATTGTCAACTGTGTACTTTTGATTCTCTTTTAAATCCTCTAATTTAATGTATTCCTTAAAGATGTTAGTATTTAATTTTTTCTTAATAGCTTCCATTTATTTATTATAAGGAAAAAAATAATTATCAATTGTGTTTTGGCAAAAATTGTTGTGAGGATATGCGCTCTGTCATTAGCTCGGATAATTTGTCATGGTTTAGCATCAATTCGATATTATATGAAAAATTACCGAGAAATGTTTGCGCTCCGACTTCCAACTAATATATCAGCATCCGTTTCCGTTACATAGAATATTATAATATTATAAATAACAATTATTAACCAATTTATTTTATAACGGGAAAATTTAATTTAATTTGAAAAAGTTTTTTTTCAAAACCAATTATGAGCGATTGGTCAATATTCAATAATACACATTTTTTTTTTCAAAATGCTATTTTTTTTCAGGTATAAGGTTGCAGTATCAAAATTAAAATTTAATATTTTTTTTTATATTAATTATGTTCTTTTTCGAGTTTTAAGCTTACCAATGTTTTCAACAATGAGTTCTCAACATTCCATGTCAACAATAGATTCTCAACATTCCATGTCAATTCATTTTTCAAAAGCGAAATACCAAATTTATTTTTTTCAACATCTCAATTTCAATGGGCTAATTTTTTTTCTCTTATTTTGTATATTTTTTGAAATAGTTTTGTTAAATGTTTCTGGTACAGTTTGATATTTAAAAGATCAAAAAAAAATAATGTAAAAATTATTGTTTAGATGTGATAAATATCGACTTTTTGATATTTAAAAGATTCAGAAAAAATTATTGAAAAATGTATTGTTAAATTTGTGATAAATATCAAGCTGCGCCAGAACCGGCATATTTATACTACTCACCTCTCTGCATACGTGCCTGGGGTTGCTACAACTTACTGCTACTATCATAATATGTCATGATGTCCATATACCACATCAAATATATAACTCCGAATATAAACTATTCTGAATAAAACTGTTACAAATGTGTATATTACTCCAAAATTAAATTTAAAATTTGATTAAATTAATAAAAATTGCTACAAAGGCAATAACTCTGTAGTGACGTACCTAATCTTTTTATTGTGGTGTCAGTGCGATACCTTCAGAGCACAATAAAGATATACTTAATATATCTTTAGTCGTGCTTCAGAGGTTACTCAAATTACTGTTAAGTATCACATTTAAATCATATAATTTTTAAAAAAGACACACTATAAATATATGAAGAGGATCTTGGCGCACCCCCTCCCCTTTTTATGACATTAATAATTACAGTATATAAAAAAAGCTTTTACTAAGGACGGGTGCAGCCATTGTTGTAGGTAGTGGGTAGTGGGGAAGGTGGGATACATGGTTATTTAATATTCACCTGTAACCAACGATAAACCATTAATAACGAAAAACAATTCGGAGCTAATTTTGGTTATACATGTTTGTAAAGGTCAGAATATTTACGATTTTCGTCAAAATTTAGTTTTAAAACTTATATAAAAAAAAAAAATCCATTAAGCTAAATTTCTTTTTCTTTTACCACTAAGTACGATTTATAGTGAACTTATCAAAATTTAAAATAATTCTGAAATTATTTTTGGAAAATGTCTCATTCTTTCTACATTTCATTTCGGTTTTGCTCAATTATTAAAAAAGTACAAAGAAAATCAAAGACCGGCTTCCTAAGTCACTAAATAAATTAAAAATATAACACAAAATATCATTTGATGTTTTTTCTATTGGACCCATATTTATGGTAGAAAACATAAGTTGTAAAAATTTAAAATAATGAAATCGTACCGTAATTTTAAAAAAAATCGTATATTTCTTCTTTTTTGGTTTTTCCTAATTATTATGAAAAATACTTTAGATATCAAAAACGACTTTCTCATTCAGTGTCACAATATTATAAGAAACAAAATCGATTTCTAGTCATTTTTTGATTGGAGCAAAATTTCTAGTAAAAAACATCGTTTAAATATAATTAAAACAATGAAAACGGTAATGCCGCGGTGCGCCGTATATTTGCCGTTTTTTTTCGGGTTTTTCCCATTTAGACATTTTGAACAACCCTAGGAAAAAAAATGACCTCTACAATGCATCAATTAGAGAAAATTACTTTTCAGAAAAGATGCTATAGTCTATACTTCGAAACAAATTTTCTGGTAGAAAAGTTGTTTAGACAAAAAAATAAAAAATATACTATAAATACTAAAACACACATAATAATCATAGTGAAACCTATAGATCCCTCGATACTCTTCGAATCTAAAATTGTACGGCCTTTTTTTTCCTATGAACAACTTTTTTGCCAGCAATTTTGTTCGGATTTGCGATGATAACGCTTTTTCTGAAAGGAATTCTGATTAAGGTGTGACTTTAGGACATTTTTTGATTTTCTCAGTTGTTTTCGTAATAAATAGGAAAAACCTAGAAAAAACATGGAAAAAAAGGAAGGTACAACATTGTCTTTTTTCCCAGACAGTGAATAAAAACAGCTTATATAGTGATATAAGCTGTTTTTATTCACTAATGAAATAAACGGTTCTTATCAGTACCTGCCTACATGAATAAACGATACAGTTACCGTACTTTATAGATTGATAATTGATTTTTAGCAGTTGTTACTGTATAATAACTGTAGCTACCATTAATTAAGCATACTTAATCAATGCTGCTACTATTTGTGACTGGCGAATATTATCAATTTAATACAATACATTATATTATTATGTAGACATTTAATCATTCAAATCTAGGTATATATTTTAGTAAAGCCATCTTTAGTAAGGTAACAGTTACTGTGTCGTTTATTCCAGCTAGGCAGGTACTGATAAGCATCGTATATTTTATTAGTGATATTGACCGTTTTTTTTTTTTTTTACCGTCTGGTCCACAGATGTATAAAAATTAGTGATGGGCACTATCGAACTATTCGATAATTGATCGCATATGAACTATTCAAATAGATTAAAAACCATTTGAATAGTTTTTACATCGTCATTTTTCTTCGATATTATTAAAATATTTTTGTTTATAATATAACGATTCGATTATATATGTGAATAATTCTACGATTTACTAATTTTTTTTTTAGTGGAACATTTTATTACATATACAAATTTTAAAACAGCACTTATATTAACATGTATCACATACGAGTTTTAAAAACGAAGTGGAGATTTTCACTGTTACTTAAGTGTAACAAAATAACCAAAATCCTTAATGGATCAATGTCCAAATAATCATAAATTTACTATTTAGATAAATGGGAGTAAATGAGTGTCGGCTTGTATACAAAGGTCACCAAACTATCCGTCTTTTGTTGTTTTCTTTAACCAACTCGTAGAATTATATACCCATCGACCATAACGTATAATCGAATCGTTTTATTATAAACAAGAATATTTTAATATCAGCGAAAAATAACGAAGTAAACACTATTCGAATATAAAAATTCGGTCACAATAAAAAAATATTCGAATGAAATATTTGATAGCTCACCCTAACTATCGATAGTTTAAACTATTCAATAATGCCAATCACTAATAAAAATACATACAGTATATTGTTTTATATATCTGTGGTCTGGTTATTATTTTTTATATTCCGTGGCTTTATCATTTTATCTTATCATCCTCACAATGATATTACGTTATCATCACTAGTCAACATAATTGTTATGTTTTATTTATGTTTACTTTTTATTTATCAAAATCAGTAAAATATTTTTTTTACACAAAACTATTATTAATTTATAATATTTTAATTAGTGCGAATTTCTTCAAGTTCTTTTGATAATCAATTATTAAACAAACCATGTCTAATAAAAAATGGTTTGATGATCTATCCGATCAAAGGCTTGCTGTGTTAATGGGCCCATTTAAAAATCGAGAAGTAAACGAAGTGAATTATGACAATAAAATGAAATTTTGGAAAAATGCTATAATAGCAGAATGTAGTCGCCGACATCGATGTTTATTTTCTGTGGGAGAATTGAAAACGTGGTTCGTGTTCAAAGGACGTTCACCAGTATGTTTACTGGTTGTAGTAGAAGATATGTTTAGGTAAAAATTATAAAATCTAAATTAAATAGATTAATTTTGTAGTATACACCATTATTATAAATTAAACATATGGTCTGCATTAATTACATTACTAGCATATAATTTTTGTTTAAAAAAAATTGAATTTTTTGGTTATCAAAATTCATTTAAAAATAACTGTTTACAATAGACAAATTAACTGTGTGGAATCCTTTTTGATTTTTAAGTTGATACTTAGTTCTAAAGCAAATCCATGTAAATAAACTATGTGTCTTTTATTTACTTACAGAGAAAATTGCTGTAACATGAAATTTAATTTACAACACTCAATATTTAATTTTAAATCAGATTTTATACCCTAAATATTAAAAATTAGTTACGTTATTGTATTATTATTTTAATTATTCCATATACACATTTTAATAACCGACATGGTGATTAGTCTGCGTAACAAAGGTATGATATATACCTAAAGGGAAAAGTGTTATATACCTATCTATTTGGTTTGATATCTAATTTATGTGATTGTTTGAATACTTTATATTATTATTTCTAAATACTTATTTAAAAATATATGAAATATGTTTGAAATCTTTGAGACTGATATTTAATTTTTTTTTTTTTTAGAGAAGGAACTATTAAATCTCGATCAAATTTTGAACAAATGACGTCTGAAAATAACAGTGCTTGGTCTACATGGGCAATGAACACTTTAGTCAAAAGTCCACTGTCATGGTCAGTTGGTAGGATAAAAGAATCTATTTTATCTCCAACTACTGTTGTTGATGAAATATCTGAATATGTTATTTTACATTTAGTCGAGGTAATACATTTATTTATTTTTTCTTGGAAAAATACCTATTCGTTTTATATTCTATAAGATGTTTCATTTGATTTTTTCGAAAGGACCAAGCTAATAAACTGTTCAATATGATATCTATGAATGATCAATCGCAAATATTTTTTATGGACGATTTGCAAACACGTCTTTGTGAAATTTATAATGATAACATAGCAATGACTTCTACTGAACTAATTGTACACTCTTTAGAAATTCGTAACAAAGTATTTGTAGAACGTGGTGAACATCTTGTAGCCAACAAAATATTGGTGAAGGTGGCGAGTAGTGGGAAAAATGTTGAACCTTTATCAGAATTAGAGAAAAACTTTTTTAAATTAAAAGAAACTGAAAAAATATTAATTGATGAGATTAATAAAATGGATATTGAAAAGGAATCTCTAACTAAAGAAGCTAAAAATTATATAGCCAAAAATATGAAACCCATTGTAAGTCTGCAAACAATATTTTCAACATGAAATATTAAAAAATAATACATTTTAGGCACTTACATACTTAAGGAAAAAGAAAGAAATTGAAAAACGAGTTGCGAAACAATTAAATTCTCTTGACAATGTGCAATCCTTAATTTCAAGAATAGAAGAATCTAAGTATAATTCTGAGGTAATAATTTTTATATTTAATATATAATTTTTTTATATTAAATATAAAAATTTTTTTTTTTATGATTTTCTAGGTATTGAAATCATATGCACATGGACTTGCGGCTTTGAAATTAACTGCTAAAGATACTGGTTTAACAATTGATAATGTTGATGAAACAATGGCAGAATTAGCAGAAGTAATAAATAACTTATCATAAACTATTAAGTAATACAATTCCATAATTATTGTATCAGGTTATAGACGAACACAAAGATATGCAATCAGCAATGAGTAATTTTGTAGATGTTAAACATAATGATCAAGAATTGGAAGATGAACTAGCAGACCTCTTGAGCAAAGACGAACCAAATATATCAAAAACAGAAAAATCTCGAATTCCAGGTATTATTTTCATTTTGTATCTTTTATTGTGGTCCTTATTTACGATTTTTTTTGAACTTAAATGTGTTACTTTCATAATTTGTGAACTACAAAAAAATAAAAGTAAAATTTCATAATATCATCCCTAAGGTATGCCTCAAAAATGTTAAAGTTCTAAAAATTATGTTATGGTATTTTGAAATTCCAGCCAAAAATATGTATAATAAACGAAATAAAAAAACAAGTAAATAACTAAAAATAATAAAGTAATACTAAAACAACTTTTTAGGTGAATGTGGCAAGTAAAAAAAAAAAATATAATAAACAATCTTAAAAAGTGTAAATTAATTTAAAAATATATAATTTTATGATTTGTTTGCCTATAATATATTTTTAGGCCATAATTTCAAAATTCAAAGACCACGATTTTTGAACTATAACCTTATAATCATCTGCACATTTATATTGCATCAATTACAAAATAATAATTTTTTCAGACCTGCCAAATGTTCCAGACAACAGTTTGGAAGGTGAGGACTTGGAACTTGATCGAAGATTTCAATTGTTGAGAGAACATTGAATCAAAAAATAAATAATTCAAAGTTGAATATATTACAGTATATACAATAAAACTTTTAAAAAATTATTTTGTGTATTACTTAAATTATAATAACCTAACAACTATAAATATACAAATATAACTATGGTAATTATTTTTTTTAATTTACATTTATTGATGAAATATACTTACATTTTATAAAATGAAAAAATGAAATAAAATATTATTCATTACACTCCAGATTCCAATTAATTAAATACACATTTACTTTCAGTATACCAGTATAAAAAATGTGTATTAGTTGTAAACTACCTATTTACAAATTTACAAGATAATTATATTATATGACAATTTGTAATAGTCATAAACCATAAGTTTACTACATTTTAGTAAAAGGCAAATTGTTTCCAAATTTTGTTTATTAAAATATAAATATATTCCTATACCCATTTTTTACATTGTAACTAAATAACTCTGTATATTTTTGATGAATATTATTTAAATACTACTTTTATACCTTAATCTTACAATTGCATATAGTTAAATTTTAAAAAAATATAGTTTTATGTTTATAAACACAGTATACTCTAAGGTGTAAACACACTCTTGGATACAAATAGTATTATTTAATGGGATAATTAAATGTGTGTTTAGATAAATGACCATTGTTACAAACATTTTTTATTTATGTACATTATTGAGTGTAATATTAAAATCAAATAACCAAGATTAAAAATTAACACAACCTAAAATTGAATCATCAGATGAACAATAAAAAAATATTATAAAATCTCCCAATTAAAAAATAATAATTTTCTATTTTTCTTCGTTTTTTAAAAGATGGAAATATTAAACATAACTAGAATCAGAATTCAAGCATACAAGTGGTCTGCAGTTCTTATTAGTTAACTATTGTTACAAAAAATATATTGATTAAATTTTGTTTAAAAAATAAACTTTACTTTGTCGCCGTTCCAGGCTTTCAAAAACCATCTTTGGCCAAATATAGCTGTAGTGTCCTGCTATAAATACCATGAGGAAATATGAACGCTTATAAAAAAAAAAAACAACAAAACTCAAATTTTGTTGATTGGTTATCAAAATTTGTTTTACTGACACATCAAAGTAAAACCAATAAATTCTCAGAATCTAAAATTACAATAAAATATAAATATTTTTTAGTGGACAGCGTTGCTCCTAGAACAGTTTGAAAACCCACTAACATAGTGGATTAACATTTGTGATTATATTACAAAATATTATAATACATTTAATTGTGTTGCGGAATGCAAAATCCATATCTATGACAAGATTATCATTAAATTAATAAACATGTAGTACTCTGTTTTGTTGTTCTGTATGATTTGTTTTATTAATAGTGAATTCGTTTTTTTTTTTTTTTTTTTTTTTTTTTTTTTGAATATTACACATTTTGACTACTAATTTTAAAAAATAAACAACTGTTGCAATAAAATTTACAAAGATAAAAATTTTGTACGTTTTAGATATCAAGCTTCTAGTTTTATATTTGTTAACAATTAAAAAAAATATATATATATATAAAATACAAATATAAATTAAGCTACTAGTTTAAAAAATAAAAACTACCTATCTAAGATGTCCCACAAAAAATCATTTCATTAAGTCACAAAATCCTGAGGCAACTTCTTTAGACTAATAATATGCTTTGGAATAACACAATAAAAATTTTATTCTATCACATGGTCACTTTTGTATTTTATTTTCACCCAATGAGCATGTACACCTTGAAAGTGTTATGTGAAGATAATATTTTTCAAAAATTCATTTTAATCAATGTTAATGAATGATAGATCTCAGAGTATAATAAAAATGTATAATATTTATGATCACGAAAAGGATTCAACAAAGTATGTACCAATTGTATTTAAAAAATGTACACTCAAAATAGGTTTTAATATAAGATTTTTAATCTAATTATATTAATATTTTGTAGCAGTTGAGCAAATTGAATAAATAAAAATGAATATGCGTTTGTGACTTAAAATGTTGAACCATTTTTGTTGTCTGACAAATTATTTACCTACAGTAAAATTATGTAAAGCTTGAAGAAAATACAATTTAATTGGTTTTTCAATTACAACAATAATACCAATAGTCAAATAAGAAAAAATATAATTATCTACATAAAATATTAAAATTATATAATATTAACACTATGTTTATAATAATTATTTTATTTAGAAGAATGTAACACAAAAAACAATTCTTGTGTTTCATTCTTCGTTTTTTTTTTTTTTAATTAGATAACACATTTTCATTTCTAAATTTAATAGATAAACTAACCATAAAAAGGAAATGTAAGGGTAGAATTGAGATTTAAAATTAGGTAAAAATATAAAATAATTTTAAAATAAGGATCATTGTATGTAGTTTATTAGGTTTAAATTAAATTGTCTTCAGTATGGAAAAAGAATATTGTATAATTGTTTTCATAATTTAAGCATCCAAAATAAGTTTAAAAATGTGTGTTAATACTTATACATCACCCTGTATTACTCACTGTATTTTTATTCATTTTATTATTGGAATACTTAAAAATAATTAGGGAGACCGCAATATTAGTGAAATATTAAATTATATATATATATATATATATATTTCACATTTAAGAGTTATAATTTATTTACTTTTGAATAAAAAGATAACATCAAGAATAGGAAAGTTGTTTAAAATGATAATAGAATTATTTTTTTCCAACATGCTTATACTAAAATGAACTGAACTTATATGTAGTTGCCCAAAAAAACTGGGATTCCTAATTTTTAATCATTTTAACTGCCTAATAATCGTCAATATCATAAAGTTCATTTGGATCCAAATCATCACACTGCATACTTTGGAAATCAACTTTATAACGTAATAATCCTGAAATATATAACGAAATATTGTTAAACAACCAAATATATTAATTATGTATAAGAAAAACATTTAAATTAAAACAAAATATAAGATACAAGTAAATAATAAATATAATACAAAACTGATATGATTAACTAAAATAATAAAACCATAGTTATTTGTAAGCAATGAGTTTCCATAGAAAAAGCCAAATATAATAAACCATAATTACAAAAACTATCTATAAAATAAAAGCATAATACAATATAAGTAAATTAATACTTGATAAAAAATCTTAAAATCGATTAAACAAAAGTAGTAAAAAAATACAAAATGTTTCTGTATATGCGTTTATGATCATTAATACAATTAATAATGAAGCTAATACAAATATTAAAAATGCTTAAAAACATCCAGTTTTAAAAAATATGACAGAGAATGTAGGGTAAAGATAACTTGAAATAATACGATCTTTCGTTTAAAAAAAAAAAAAAAAATGTAATTTGATTTTAAAGAAGGTATAAATTGAATTGAATGAGGCATTAAATGGAATTCTTAGTATTTATTAAATGTAAAATTTAATTCAATAATTATTTAATAGTAGAGAGTATGACAGGCAATACAAGTGAGAGTAGATAGGGTTATCAAAAACTTGAATTAGATGCACATTTTGTGGTAATAGTTAAACAACAATATAGTTAGAAAGGAAACGAGTTCAGACTAGATAGAAGTTAGGGATGAGATAAGCCAAATATAGTGGCATATGAGTAAATGATGATGCATGGCAAAAACAAGTTTAGCTGATATCAATAACATCAGATATAGTCAAAGATAAAAATTATAAATTTTGAGGTTACATCAAGATGTAAAATGGCTCCTTATGACAAAAAAATGTATTATTTTATAACCAAAACATACCAACAATTAATTAAATTAAAAAACCACAATTTTAGAAAATTTTAATCTCCATAATCTGTTTATATTAATAATTTAAATAAATATTACTTAGAATATAAATTATTCAATAAACACGTACAGGGTTTCACAATTTTTTTACAAGTTTCTTTAATCAAAAGAAATAATTAGTTTTCAATCATATTTCTACTCAAATTCAAATCATATCATTCATAAAAAATATAATAATAAAATAAATATAAAAATATGTACATATTTATAATTTACATTTGTACCAAACAATAAGTAATTATTAATGAAACTCTTCTGAGTGCACTTTGTTTAAACATATTTGAAATTCTGCGACTTTTAAGATTTTTATCAAAATTTGGCTTAACAATTTAAGAAACACTACTTTTGACTTCCAGGTGGCAATTTATAACTTCAATAAATATATGGATAATTAGTTTAAACAAATATTAGTGTTGAATTTATTAATTTCTATCAACCTGTTGGCAAGATATTCCACTTTCAAGTGTAGATAAAACAAAGTGTTCCCTTTGTGAAGAGTGCATCACTTCTACATACCCGAACTTAAAAATGGAATATCTCATCAAGAATTAAAGAAAATTAACAATTTCAAGACCAAAATAAGGGTGGTAAAAATAATGCTAATATAAAATTTTAAAGCTTGTTTTTATACTTAAAAATATATATATATATATATATATATATAATTGTATTAGGTCAATATTCGCAAATTATTATTACATTAAATGAATTATCCTGTATATATTTTCTTATATTGATTTTATTGTTATATTTTCAAATATTAAAACTACTTTTTTTTACTTAATCATAACATTTTTAAGATAAAATAAATTTATTAACTAAAAAAATTATGTGTTTCTTTTATAGAATTAAATAAAGCTTATTAAATATTTAATTAATTAATTAAAAATAATAATTATGGTTTCTTAGTGTTAAAAAGAAATTGTGCACTTAAATTGCATGCACAAAAATCAAAAAAGAAAAAAAAACATTAAACTCTCTCTCATGCATTTAATACAACACAGCAGTACTTGTTAATTGTGAATGAAAGCTACCTTAGGGTTAGTAAACTTAGTTTAGTAATCATCAAGATTCACATCCTCCAATGGCTCATCCGCTTGCAAGGACTGAAAGTCAACCTTGTAGCGGAGAATGCCTGTCAATCAATTTAAATTGTATACTTTAAACCCTAAAAGTTAATGTTGTACCCAACCACAATTTGAAAACAATTTTATTTATTAAAGCATATTATATAAACTACATGTTATTATTTTTATGATCAGTGTATGGAAATTGTTTGGCATTTCCAACCATAAGGTTAATATATAATTTTTAAGTATTTTATGTTTTAACATAAATACTATACTAACCTCCTATACCACCAAATCCTCTAACAAATTGTGATCCTTCTTGTGATTTATCTGTAATTATTTCTAAGGTAGCTCCAAACATTTTATAATTATTTGCTAACCATTCCAAAAGTGGCTGACATTCAACTAATTCCAATTCTACTCCAGTCTATAAAATTAAAATGAATTAATCATAAACGTAAGTATTTAAATAAAATGTTCAAGCATACATCTCTTTCAGTAAAATGTGTTTTATCTTTTTCTTGTTCTGGGGTTAAATGTAATATTTTTTCTTCAGCTGTTGTATGATTTTTTAAAACATATCTTTGAATGTCTAAGTTTTCCCAACATATTAAAGTTTCAACAGACCCAAGTTCTAAAGCTTTTAAAGTATCTTCAACACCAAAACAATATTTTCCAGTATCCTGGCTAATCTCATCAAAATAACGTCCTAAAAACAAATTAGTATCATTATTTAAATAATTATTTTAAATAAATGTATATGTTATTTATTAAATATCAAATTTGTGCAAGTACTATTTTCTTAAATTATCTTATGATGTAGAATACTCCTTTATACATAACAGAAGAATAAAATATCTTTATTTAATGATTTATTCACCTCTTAATTTCTTTACCTAGTTACTTGTGTCAATTAATTTTTAATAAATATTTAGACGATATTTTTCAATAAAACTTGTATTAAATATTGCAGAGACTTTTGTTACTAAACACTAAATGTTCTGTATACATTATGGTTATTATTAATCATATGGTTATACAATTAATATATTAACTACAATCAAGAAACAAAGCAAATTTTAAATTTTACCTATTAATTTTTTTTCTTGAATAAATTTAACATTCTGCAATGATTCAGCCGCTAATTCAATTGCTTGATTAAAACCATTTTCTCCGCCATACGACACATCAACTAATTTTATGATTTTCGCTTGTAACCGCTAAAAAAGACAAATACAATTATCATATTTGTATTACAATTATTTATAATATTGTTACATGTACTTACAGGGTCAAACATATCAGACTGACTAAGTTCTGTTTTAAAGTCTGCACTACCAGCCAATATTAATCCAGCTATATTAGGTTTATCATTTGTAATAAACAATTGGGTAGCTACTTCTGCTACTTTACGTACATAATTGTGACGTTTTTCCATACGTAAACGGGCAAAACGTAATGCAGATTGACCTCCTCTACCGTGCTTTTTGGGTAAATCAACTGTAAATTTATGAAGGACCTGAAAATAAAAATGTATTTGTGTATAGGTACATTTATATAAAACTTATAAACTTTTTCAACCTCTCTAGTGTTTCCTTGAAGTGTACCAAATAATGCACCATTACCATCCATCACAATGAAACCAAATTTATTATCATCTGCCAACAGTGCTGTCAGTGCTTCAGTATGAAACTATAACATAATTTATCATCAATATCAATAATACGATAATGGTTTCATAAAATATTTAAAAATACATAAGTCTTCTTATAAGACATCTTACCTTATTATCACAAAGGTATAAAGAAGTATTAATAGGTTTGAATGGTTCGAAGTCAATATTGACTTTCTTTTCTTTACCTTCTTCAGTCACAATAGTTCCACAATAGACTACTAATCCATTAGGGGGGACTAAAAATTAAACGTGAGTACATATTGTTAATAAACCAAATAAATTAAAAAATAAAGTTGAAAAAAATTTCACCTTTAGTATAAAGTTTTAATCTTTGCTGTACTGATGTAATAGCACCCAATACAGACAATCTATTAACACGTGATTTTATGTTTGATGCAGTACCATATTCATCGGCTAACATTTTACTCACTCTGGAAATCTGATCCTTTGGGGGTATAATTAATGAAATCATACTCGTTCCATTACTTAAAAAAAATACATAAAAAATACAATACAGGTATATTGCATAATACATGTAGGTGTGTAAGGTAATTTTTCCTAGATAAACAATCATTGTTTTACAATTTTAATTTATTTTGTTATCTAAATGTATATAAAAACTTATAGGGTTTTCCATATGACTGCAATAGATGTACATTTTAATGATCCATATTCTGATGCAGATTATAGGTTTTTATGTTTCACATATATGCACTCTACCAGTTTCTTGCTTTGAGTACTGTGGTAATTACACGAGTTCCTCAAGCTCATGCTACTTATCTTTTATTGATAAAGGTGCCTATATTGAATGTATAATTTTTATAATTTGAATTGATAATATATGAAATACTATTAGTAATACTACTATTATTGCATATTTTTAATAGTATTACAATTAACTATAAAGATTTGAAAGATAGCTTAAATAATTGTTATCAAAGAAAAATAAAAATTATAAAAGATGTAAAAATTATGTTCCGCATGATTTAAGACTTGACTAAGCAGCAATTTTTCAGACAAAACCAGTTGCCTAATTGATTTTGGCTATTAAATACTATACAATGAAACGTCTATATAAGTCCTCAAAGGCACTAGAAATAATTACTATTATTTAGCAGTAATGGTAACTGAAGTAGAATTATTTCCAGGTGACAGATATGGTCCTGTATAAATTTAAAAAGAAAGTACAGACTAAAAACCATTTCAATATTTATTTACTAGGTATAGGTATGTATTATACAATACTGTAAATTATTTAAATATTTAATCTTAATGACATTAGTAACTCTAATTTGTGTCATAGAACCAATATAAATGTTTAGATATTTACGAGATAGTCAGAATCTTTTACTACCAATAGTCTACAATTACCTATACTAATTTAAATCTTCAGCAGATATCTTTTTTGAATAAATAACTTTGAAATTGTGTATTACGTTTTGATACTAAGAGAAAACAAAGGGGAATACGCTCACAGGCTTGGGCGCACCCACAGAAACCTTACCACTAGGATATACCCTACCCTGGAAAATATGGAAAACTCTCAATTGTCTGGGGACATAAGTAGGAAGAACTAATGAAAACCTAAATAGGTGAGGAGTGACCAGCAGTGCAAATTGCGAGTGTGGAAAGAAACAAACATTAAACCATCTGCTCGAGTGTACATTAATACCTACCTAGTAGATGTGAAATGAAATATTTTATCGGACTAACAGAAATCACGGATGAAATAATAGAAATCATTGATTACTGGAAAATAAAAAATTGAAATTTTTGAAAAAAAAAACATTGGCCGACACGAAAAGAAAAAGACACTTTGATCCAGCAAAAATGTATAATGATAAAAGCAAAATGTATTTTAGTTGTTTTTATCAAACCAGTTGCATATCATTAATCATGAAACATAACTGTATGAAACTAGATATATGTATCTACCTAAATACATATTTTATATTGTATAACAGTAAAAAAATAAAGAGTAAAAATTGTCAATAAAACGAAACAGTGATACTTATAATTATTTTGCATAAATGTAATAGAGGTATTCATCAAGTTCGTATTAACTAGATGTGAATTGAGAGTAGATATTATGACAAATAGAATAAATTTATAATTTCAAATCAAAATATACACACTGAGATTGTAATGTATACCTACATTAAATTGACTGTAATTATTTCATGAAAATTGCAACAATAAATTGGGATTTTGCTATTATCTTGATCCAAGCAAAGATTAATAATTTCTTTCAATACAAGTATTTTGAGTTGGTATCGAATTATTGTTAATATAGATACAAAAATTAGTATTCAATAAAAATAAAAGTTTGTTTACTTTGAATTATTGCTAGGGGTGAAAAATATAAAAAAAATGTGCACATTTTTTCAATAATGTAGTGTTGAGTTTAAGTTTAATTTCGTTCCCTGAAAAGAAACACTTCCTGGGTTGACATAAAAATTAAATCAGTACCGAGAATGAACATTCTGTTCGATGCACAAGACATGGGTATGGGTGTGAAACTACAGGGTAGCATATTATTGCTATGGACGTGTAGGTACGATAATTGATCAAATTTAAAAAAATAAAAACGTGGGCTTCCGTACGGGCCATCACGCGTACGTGAAGGCGACGAAGTCGGTGTCCGACCGTAACTCACCCTCTGGCCATCTCCAAACTCTTAATGAGCTTCTTGATCTTCCATATTTCCACGTTGCGATCCGAAGTGGTCTCTTCGCCGTTGGTAGTCATTTTGGAGAAGAAAACCTAGAGGCGATCAACAGTGGAAAACGGCTGGGGCGGCGGGTTGTCCAATAGATAGTCAAAATATTACTACGACAGTGCACGATTATAGGTATATTATTATTTTAACACATCGACACTATCGACAGAACGGCGGCGTGATTTAATGAAGTAGGTTAGGCGGCGAGGGACACACACTCACGTATTCGTTCACTATAGCTCACTCGTACAGCACACTGCACACACATACACGCAATACACGGACGAAAAGCGCATGCGCGTGGCCCATGTTCACTCACGCACGCGTTGCCACGGTGCAACGGCAGCAGCGGGGCGTTGGACGAAAAAGGTGGTGTTTACCAGTGATAACGCTATGGTTGAGGCTACGCAAGATTTATAGTATATTTTATTCTATAAACCTTGTGGTCTACGAGTTAATCTGGTGTGGAGTGGCGTGATATCAGTATCTAAGTGAAGACGGCACTTTTCCCTAGATATATTTATATATATATATACATTTATGTGTGTTTTTCATAAAGCAAATACCACGTTATTCAACGAACCATATCATTTTATTTACTTCGTATGTTATTAAGCCAACCGTTATATGCACGTTGGTCAATGTTAAAAGATGGTTTTTTCGTCAATACAGCTTGATAATAAAATAATGTTCAACTTTTATGTTGTTCTTGATGTTTATTTTGGCCAAGCACATTAATTAATTATTATAGTTAGTATTTAGTACTACTAGACAATATTAAGATATATCTTAAATCATGGTTAGTAGTTTAATACTAGATACTAGTATCTATAACCGTGATTAAAACACACCTTATCATGATAACAAATGACAACAATTCCGATTATAAAATGTAAACATTGACCACCACATATATGGCGACTGGCATAAACGTATCGTCTTGGTGTATAATAACTATAGAATATATATAATTTATAACAAGTTGGCTATCAAGTATTCATCTATGGAAATATATTCACGTATTCATATTTTGTGACCTAAAGGTAATAACGAGAGTATTCTATGGTAACAACAGATCGTATTGATAAGATGATAACGTGATAACAGTTATCACTCATCACTACGGTTTGTGTCATGGACATTGTTTAAAACAAAGTTTATAATGTATAGAACCTTAAGTTTAACATATTTCTTAAACCACGAATTAAATGACAAAATTGCTATAGGATGCCTATTTTAACCGTATAAATGTTTAAAGTCACATAGGTTTCCACCATTAGTAGGTAGATAATTTCATAGACACATACATTTTAAATTATATGTCTATACTGCATTGGTCATTTGTATCTTATTACTTATGTAATAATTTTGATAACACAATTTATCACAGATATCATAGGTATAATTTAAATGTTTAAACAACATAATTGTCTGTTTCCATGAAGGTAATAAATTTATTTTATTATTTTACATTTATTTCATTTTTTATTGTTGTCTAATTAATTTAAATTTAATGATTAATTGAATAATTTCGACATGTTATTTGTGATTCCATAGTAAGTATTCACATTGTAAATCACACTTAAAAAAACAATGTTACGTGTAGGTATATTAGAGGGTCTGGTCTTTTAACTGTCCCGAGGCCCTTTCCTATCTAGCTACACCCCTGTCAATAATGCCAACCATCTATACATTTAGGAAAAATAGTTGATGATAGGACTTATGCACTTTGAACCAAAGGGTTACACAGATTAAGCTTTATAAATATAAACAGTATATTTAGTAATATATTATAAAATAATACAAATTATTATTTACGCTATAAACAGTAACAATATTATAGTCGTTTTAACAGAGATATTGATAATATCCAATGCTAAATTTACTTAACCAAATCTATATCTTTGTCTACTACTATTTGTAGTGTGTACTATTTTTAATCCATTTGACTAACTATTACTCAAGATGGCGGATAATAACTTCACGTCTTATCACTAGTTAACAAAATTTCAGTATGACCATAAAATAAAAAGTAATAACAAATACAACTTTTCGATTAAATATTTTTATCTTATCATTAATCAATAAACAATCGGGGAAGCAAAATAAAATTAGTGGACAAAATCTCAATTACTTTTTTTTTTTTGGTTTTTTCGGTTATTGAGACTATACCGCCAAACAAATTCCTCTCCATCAATCTCTTTTCTCTGCAGCTACCCTCTATCTAGTCAAATCTTTCCCACATCTGCTTTCACGCAGTCTTCCCAACGTAGTCGTGGTCTTCCTAGTGGCCTCTTACCGATAGGATTCTTCTCGATAGTCGTTCTAACTATTGAGCCTAATTTTCACCACGCATGACTTTCCCATCTCAGCCTCCTCTTTTTAATCTCTTTTGCAATATCTGGTCTTTTAAACAGTTCTTCTAGTTCACAGTTTTGACATTTACGCCACTTTCCCGTGTGGGTGTCGATGCAAGGGCCATAGATTCACCTAATAATTCTCCTTTCGAAAACTTTTAATCTTATTTTTCCATTTTCCTAAGTGACCACGTCTCTGAGGCATATAATATTTTAGGTTTTATTAGGGTCATATATATCTGTATTTTCAGGTTAACTGATAAAGTTCTTGAGCTCAATATTTTTCCAAGGCCAAAAAAGCTCTTATTAACCTTTTGTATTCCAGTACTGATTTCCATTTTCAAGTCGTTGTCTTGCGTTAGAAAGTTACCCAAGTACTTAAAATATGTCACTCTCTTAAATGTATGCCCTTCTACATTCATAAATTGCTCTTGCTGATATTCTTTATCTTTACGACTTATCATGTATTCCGTTTTTCTGTCGTTAACATATAATCGGATTTTTTGTAACGTATTCAAGAGTTTCCCACATAATCTTTTTCCTCTTTTTTAGTATTTCCTAATAATACTATGTCATCCGTATAGGCAAGAAGATTTCTATTTGAATTTCCTTGTACTATTCCGCCATTAATATTGATATTAATTTCTCTGGTTACTTTCTCCAATACTAAGTTGAATAGTATTGTAGATAACGCGTCTCCTTGCCTTAGGCCGGTGGTTACTTTACTTGGACTTAACTCTTTTGATGCCACTTTCCCATTAATTTCTGTATTCTTGAAGGTGGCCTCGATTAGATTTATCAGCTAATAGGAAAATTAAACTCTATTAGTATGTAAAGAAAGCTTTGTCGGTGAATGGAATCATATGCTTTTTGAAAATCCACAAACAGAACACAAAAACTCTTATTATATTCCCACGACTTTTCTATAATCAGTCTTACACTAAAAATGTGATCTGTTGTTGATCTATTGGGTCTGAAACCTCCTTAGTAATCTCCCAATATCTCCTCAGCTAATGATTTAATTCTACCAAGTATATAATAAGACAGGATTGTGTAGGCCACGTTCAGTAAAACTATCCCTCTGTAGTTATTACAAATTTGTGGATCATTTTTCTTATAAATTGGAGATATTATCGCAACACTCCAACTCAGTGGTAGTTCTTTTTTTCCCCAGATATGCACTATTAATTTATTTATATTCGTTATTATCTCGTCATTTAGCATCTTCATAATTTCCCCTTGTATCCCGTCTTCTGGTGACTTCTGATTCTTCAGTTGCATTATTTGAAATTCGATTTCTTGTTTCGACGGTGCTAAGTGTTCATCGCAATTACTTATAGTAGGTTAATTGTTTTATATACTATTTAGTGCATTTTTATACCTAAATACTTACTTAAATATTTTAAACTTTAATTATATTGCATTTAATGCAGAATTAATGGAAAACAATTGGTGTATATTTTAGTTAGTAGGTAACGAGGAAAAGAGGTTTCTCTAAATTGTTCAGTTTTTGGCTTAATTCATTATACCTACTCAATTGCTTACACCACTGACTACATCACACTACGCAACCACTGCATTTATCTACATACATATTATGTACCTATTTAATTTATTTTGTTAATATTAAACTTAAACAACAATAAATAAAAAAAGCTCGTCTAAAATTGGCTGTAATTCCATCACTTAAATTACCAGTATCAAATTTTCATAAATTTCCAAAAAAAAGACCATGTCCTAAGAAAAGAAACAATATCAACATTATTTCTAGACAAAAAATGTAAATTGGTTTATTAGTAATAAAATGGAAATATATAAACATTTGCTTTATCATTTCTTAATTAAATTGTTTTAGTAATTTCCTACATAATACTATTTGTTTGCTTTTTAAAACTCGCTCTCCTCCGACAACATTTAGTGAGCACATTTAGCAAACGTAAATATTTCTTCAATAGTGACTGACATATTATTATTGACTTGGTAACTTATTATAGAAAAAGAAACGGAACATGAACATAATACAGTAATTTTAACGATTTTACATGTAAATGTGTAGTATCACTAGTATCAGTAATGTTTATCCTATTCCGGATCGGTGGGATAACCGTCACCTATAGTTGCTACTAGCGCTACCTTTGTTAATTTGATATCCCAAATTATTTCCAATAAATTTCAACTATTATTATTTTTAATTAAACGATAGGTTGAGAACCTCTAAATTCTGAAATATGAATTTGAAGTAAATGTTCGAAACAGAATAATATCGTAGTACTAATACAATCGTAGTAGTAATATAATCGAAGTAGACAGCTGCAGTGTAGGTTTACAGTAGTATCGGTGTAGTTGATATTCGAACAATTGGCATTTGTAGTAATTGTGTGTGTGAAAACAATTATAGTATCGGAGTAATATTATGTAGTAACTGTTCATATTCGGAGTAGTGGTGTAATCCCCATATAATCAGTTTAATTAAATAGATAACATCGCAGATTTAAAAAAAATGTAGAAAATAGATATTCTTTTATAGTTAATCTGAAATTTAAATTATAAGTGTAGTTTTAAAGATAGTAATTACTTAGATTTATGTGGACCATTTCAAAATGTGTATTTTAATATTGTTTGTATTATAATGGGTTAATGAAATTGAATTACTCAACGTGAAATAACATTTTATGTAATTGATCTACTTAAAGTAAAAATAATACAGGTTTATTTTAAAGTATGCCAAAAAAGAATCGTAAATGTCGTAAATTTACCCCAAGATCTCAAAAATACAAAAAGTAAGTAAAAAAAACTTAATATATTAATTAAATACTTATGTGAATTTATCAAATTTCAAATTTATATGCAAAATTATATTTTAAAAGATAACTAATGAACATAATTTGAGTACATTAAATGTTTAATACCAATGTGTTCAAATGTTATTCATTTAAATACATTATTATTTCTGTATGTATTTTAGCATAAACCAGCCATTTTTTCAGTCAATTTCGTGGCATTCATGATTGTTAAAAATAATTTTTATGTATGTAGTTATTTTACTTAAATTAAAAAATGATTTGCTATTTTTATCTCATTTTCTGAAAATACTTATGTATTTATTAAGCCAACAATTAATTATTTATTATAATTAATGTTTATAAATGAAGTAGGATCTTAGTATAAAATATAGTTCTCTTTTGCTCTCCACGTATAACACATCTAATCTACATTTAAAAATAAAATAAATAGTTTATAAACCATCGGTTTTGTTAATTATTTAATATGTACATAATTTAATAACATGTTGACACCACAGCCTCAGAGTGCTGCATCACCCCTTTACTATACAAGGTTGTTTCACTAAACACCCAAATCTAGGATGTTAGATTGTTACAGTGGAAATAATGTTAGAAGTCAGGTCCTGAGTAGCTTAGTTGTAGAGAAATCGCCGAGCAAATAAAATACTCGGATTTGATTCCTGGTCTGGCCCCCTAAGTTTTAGCATTATTTACCAACTAAGAAAAACTGCCTTATCATATGTTGATCTGAATGATCAGAAAATCATTCAGCATTGGAAAATAATTTGTAATGAAAGGATCCAATAAAAAAAATAAAATATTTAAAGATAAAAACAAAATATTGAAGTACTTTGAATCTTTGGAAATCACTTTGTATTGTTAAATGATTAAATTTCTATTACATTATTTTTTAGGAGCATAGAAGAATGTACAAATGCCGTTACTATTTCTCTGTTCTGGACTAATTTATTAGCCAAACTTAATGAAGTATATGTTGAATCAAATCCATCAGCAATATTGTGTTATGGATTAGGAAATTTCTTGGAGAGTTTACAATCTAGATATCAATTGGGTTTGCTTTTAGCCATTAAAAATGTGTTTAAAATAAAAGACTGTCATATTTATGATCCTAAATTTACGGACACTGAACTCCAGATTTTAGCTGAAAATGGTTTTGAACCCATTAGTCAGAACGAAGAAGGAAAACGAAGTTTGTTACCTGGTACATTTGTTTTTTTGCCACATTGTCCAAAACATTTACTTAATAATCTATTATGGATTAATTGGGAAAAGGTTATACTAACTAAATGTGTAATTTTTTGTAATTGCATTGATGATACAATAACTTTAACACCAAACAAAATTGTAAATAAAATTGCTTATTATATAAACAAAATATCTCCACACGTTGTCATGGAAAAGACATTTTGTAATGAATTTATGTATGATGATGTATTCAATGATATGGCACTTCACATATTTCCCAATGAAAAGCTCAAAGACCTAGAAAATTTTTTTTGGGAACGTGATAATGAACCATCATATGATACTGAAGAATTAGAATTTACAAAGAATTTTAATTTTTTGACTTTAGATATAGATAATTAAAATTCATTATTATGTTAACATTTCTTAGTGTTTTATACATTACATTTATCTATATAGAGTATTGTGCTATTATAAACCTGTTTTACAACTTTAATTGTTCAACATTATCAAATTATTCTATATTTGTTTTGAAGGTAGTTTAATAACTTTTGTAACATTTTCTTTTACATATTTTGTAATACATCTGACATTTAATTTATATAATACTCGGTAACACTAAGTCATTAACTCATAACATTTTATATTATTATAAAGTCTAATTTGCTATATTCTTAAAACATATTTAAGTACTGTTTATTGGACATTTTGTTAATAAATCTTTATTACTAAAATGTATGAAATTCGCATTTGTATCATATCTGGTTAATAATTAATATTATATTACAAAATTAATTATTTTTCATATTCTTTTCTAATAAATTTGGCAATAGTGTTTAGCTGTATATTTGTTGTTCCTTCATATATTGGGCCAACTTTACAGTCTCTGTAGAATTTTTCCTGTGGAAAGTCTGTAGTGAAACCAACTCCACCCATCCAGTCAATGCATATGGATGTGACTTTACCTGCAACTTCTGCAAAAATTAAAATTTTAATTTATATTTTTTAGTTTAATTTATAATTTTTTATAGTTAAAAGTTTATAAAATTATATTAAGTTTGCATTATATCATTGTAGCATTGTTTAAACTTCTGATTTTAATTGAATATAAAACTGAATACATTTATAAATTGTTGATACTTGATTTAATTATTTCTAAATTATAATAACTTATGCATTTCCCTGTGCGTTAGATTACTTGATAAAACTTAATTTTAAGTTTTTTATATTCTGATCGCAGCAAGAAATTTATTGATTCTACTGTGAGTTTATTTTTCTGTCAACAACTACCAGTAATCATGCTCCAATCAAAAAATTGCTCATAAACTTTTTTGTAGTACTTTAGATTTAGTTGGAGTATAGGGAAGTTATATTTTGATTTTTCCTATTAGTATTTTTAATTTGAAAACAAAAAGAAAGTACAGCATTAAAGGTTTCATTATTTTAGATTTAGATTTTTTTTTTTTTGTAATTTATGAGACCTACAATTTTTGCTGAGTAACTAATATACTAATATTAGCTTTTTCTAGACGTGGTCAAATTTTCAAAACATTTTGATGCCGCTTAAGTTGTTTGTAGCATTTGCCATTTTTATTTAGTATTTTTGGATAAAATTATTTGGTCAAACAGAAATACTTAACAATTTATAAGGAATGGTAAAAATACTAGCCTATGTATGATAATAACTAAATACGCCACTGCCAACACCCATATCTATGAAGATACCAGTAACGGTGAATGAACAAAACGTAAATGTAAGGTGCTTATTAAAACTTATGTTTAGTAACCTAAAGGGAGCAAATAAATATGATAATCTTATTTACTCTTAAAAAGTTATAAAAAAAGAAAATTACATAAAGGTGAAATTATTAATTCAACTAATAGAATACCTATTTGATATACACATATACAATGACTTAATTAACTTAGGAATGGGGGCCTTAAACATGAATCCTACAAACCTTGATAATATGTAAACAATACCTATTGTACCTAGTATTTAAATGTTTAAAAATTGTGTATTTTACCTGAAGCATAATACTTAGCCATTGCAGCTTCTTTAATAAATGGTAAGCCAGCATCTACTAATCTTGCAGTGTTGTACACTAATAACCTAGCAGTTTCGACTTCAGTTACTGCTCGAGCTATTTGATGTTGCATGGACTAAAAATTAATAATTAATATTATTATTATAAGTATCAAACTAAGGGAAAATTATTTTTTTAAATTTTTAAACTTGCTTGGAAATCAAAAATACTGGTACCAAATTGTTTTCTTTCTAATGTATATGGTATTGTATGGTCTAAACACCCTTGAGCTATACCAACCATTTGTGCGCCAATTCCTATCCTTCCTTCATTCAGGAAAGTTATGGCAATTTTATAACCTTCGCCAATTTTACCAACAATATTGTCTTTGTGTACCTAAAGCATAGGTATGTAGATAATATAATTTAATGAATTAAAGAAAAAATTAATAAATTATGTAAAAATAATCATACTAACTTTAACATTATCAAAATGAAGAACACAAGTTCCAGAAGCTTTCATGCCTAGTTTATCCTCTTTCTTAGCAATTGAAAATCCTTCTTGTTCTCGTTCTACTATAAAGCAAGTTACACCTTTGTGGCCCTAAAATCATATTAGAAGGTCTAGGTATATATACATAGTTATATCTTATTCAAATCAATTGAATACCAGAGTAAATACTAATTCTAATAAAGCCACAAGTCCATAAATCAACACAATGATGAATATACATTACCTACATGCAAAGAACACACTAGTTAAACACAGATTAAATGAAGTTAATATTAACCTGGGAAGGATCTGTGTTAGCAAAAACATAAAAAATGCCAGCAATATCAGAATTAGATATCCACATCTTTGTTCCGTTTATATAATAGTGATCACCATCTTTTTTTGCCACGGTTTTTAAAGCAAATGCATCAGACCCTGATGACGGTTCAGACAAACAAAAACTACTTACCTAAAAACAGTAACAATATTATATAAAATAGTCATAATAAACAAATAAAAATTTAGTATATTTATTAATAATAATAATAAGGTACATTTATATAATCTTTATTATATTCTCTTAATTGGTAATAAAATTTGTATGAAAAGAAAAGATTAAATTTCCAACCTAGCTATATATTTGTTTATTTATATTTTATATTTATTCACAGTACATACATAAAAATATTTAAAAATGTCAGATCTATACTATTATTTATAATTAAATTCAGTTGAAAATATGAAAGAAAAATAAGTTGAGAGGAAAAAGTATAAGGAAAAAGAAATTACCCTCTTACATCAAAAAACAAAAATTGTTATATATTATTAAAAAATGACCTCTCAAGCTACTCCGTCAACTAGATAAAATGTGTAAGCAAAAGTTAACCTTGATGTTGATGATTGGAGCAAGGTTTGATGGTAAAAAAGTTGTTTGCAGACAAAAAAAAAAAGGACACACCAAACATGAGTTAAAAATCATAATATAATTTATTTTTGTGTGAATTGTATTTAATTAACAATAAATGCTATATTATTATACTTACAGTGTCTTGTGCTAGCCGTGGTAAGTACTTTACCTTTTGTTCTTCATTACCTTTCTTTGTGAGAACATTATTTCCAAGAGTATTTTGCAAATCAACTAATACTGAAACCGAAGGATCAACTTTTGCTATTTCTTCAACTGTTAATGTACTAGACATAAAGGATGATCCAGATCCACCATATTCTGGGTCTATTTCAATAGCCATGAACTAGACAATTTTACAAAACGATTTATAATTTCTATACACTGAGAATTGTACATAGTTAGCAATCTAATATTTACGCCATTTTCAAATAGCTTCTTTACGAGTTCATTGTCAATTTTATGTTCTTTGTCCATTTTCTTTATTAATGGTGTAATTTGCTCTTGTGAAAATTTCCGAACTATAATTTAAATTATAATAAATAGTATTTAAAATATTTTTTGATTTTTAGTGTTTTATTGAATTGTGAATATGTAGTTATTAGATATTTAAATAGATATTAAACACTAAATACTAAAATTATTATTTTTATGTATTACAATAATTTATTGTAATAAACATTAAATTACTGTCAACAAGATAATTATTATAATAATAATAGGGAATATAAGACAATAAGGCAAAACCAAACCTGTTTCTTTGAAAAACTGTTCATCTTCACTCAAAATAGTCAATGGTCCTTGAGAAGTATGGTTCTTCCTTAGCGCACTGTTACTATACGCGTTAAAATTATTTAGTCCATTCACGAATAAACATGTCTACAAAGTTCATTTATAAAATTTAGTAAATACTTACTATATTATTATGTTTCATGTACACTATATAGTATTATTCTACATATTAATAACCTATACTTGTAACTAAGTACCTAATTAGTAAATTAGTAAAATAAACACTATTGCACTAACTTACAGTACCTACCAGTGGCGAATTTATGGGTGGGAGGGGAGTCTAAGGGTCCTCTCCAGACACCGATATAATTTTAATAAAATGTCATCTAAAAATAAACATATTTTAATGGATACTTTTGAAATAGGTATATATGATTTTTCAGTAGGTACCTCTTCCAGACAAATGTCTAAAATTTGACAATCGTAAGGTATAATTATTTTAAAACAAGCTACCTATATACAAGGTGATTATTTTATCAGATACAGTGATTTTCTCGGAGGATTTTAAGTTTTATTTTTAAATTTAGTTTTATTTATTCAAATCTGTGATTAAATGGGGGAAGATAATTTGAAATCCTAAATATATACCAACTCATTGCACATTTAATTTTTAACGTATAAAGAGTTGAGGTAAATATTTGAAAATAGTGTTAAAACAAAGCTTAAACGGTTTCATAAATACTGAAAACAAAAAGACTCGTGTACCTATGTAACCTACCTATAAATACAACAACGCAGAAAAAAATGTGTTTTTATTTTTATTTAACATCATAGTCAGATAAAATCATTGTAGTTATTAATCAATCTTTTTATTAAAAAGCACCCGCCCATATTTTTATAAGCCCATAAAATAGTTTTAGAATGAGGAAAATAACATATTGAAATACTTTTAAGTGATTTACATTGTACCTTTTGTAGGTACCTATTAAGTATTTTCACCGACATATTTAAACGTAAGCCTGAAACGTATAATGAAGGAATTAGTTGCACTTTGTCCCTATTACCTATAGATACCTTTTGTAGCGTAGTTATAATCAGAAGTACAAGTTTTCATTTTCTTTGAAACCCATTATATTACTAAATTATTAATTTAATATAAATAATTAAAATTATAGAGTATATATATTGTATTTGTAAGAACCTATAAGTATCTACATTTATTAAAATATTAACTAAACTAGGTAGGTATATATTGATCCAGTACATTTATTTTGTTATATTTATTAAATCGTTCTTACATAGTATTATTCATTAATTTGTTCAAACAAACGCCAATAATTTAAAATATTTATAATATAACTAGCTGTCCTGAGGCGTTGTCCGTGCCAATTTTTATTATTTTTTTTACCCATATTCCTTTTTGGTTTTGACTGTGTCAGTATTGAATCAACTTGAACGGACCAAAAGTGTTCTGTTGTGACATTTTTTTTCAGTAATATTTATGATTTTCATACGAAAAATATCTAAACACCGATTTTTTTTTTTTTTTTTAGAAAGGGAGGATTTCAAAGGAAGTGAAGCCTAATCTAACCTATCGGGGAATGAAGACGTTAAACATGGGGGAGCGAGTGTAGATTGTAGGTACCGTATTATAGTCGCTCGTAGACGACACGGGCCGGGATTCCTTTTATACGTTTATGTTCGTATTTGCCGACAAATTATACAATTAATAACTCAATAATTGTTAATCTTTATATAATATAGGTAAACGCATGTATGTAAATGAATCGATATTTTATTGGAGACGCTATAACTTGAATACCACCCAAATTTCCTCATTACATCATTGTAAAACCAATAAAATATGTATGTATACCTAGTCATATAAATACCTAATGCCTAATGGATATCTAAAAGCGGGGGGGATGATATATTTCTTTAATCTACCTTTAAATACGCCACCGTAGTCTTAGGCTAATCTAACCTATAGGATTATTAAAATAATGCTTAATGACTAATAATGCTTCGGTGAATAGAGTATAGTAATTAATGATTATCCAATATTCATTTATTATGATGCACTGATGCGTGTTGTACTTACCAGCTACCACAGATATTTGAAATCATCAGCTAATGAGGATGATTATTTCATATAAACACAATCCATCATTGTATTTTAATGAATAAATAGGAACATAAAAATATTATCATTTATTAAAATTAATGAAGGTTTATCACTAATTGTTTTTAATAAACCTTTCTATTTGTTTTTATTAAATACCTATTTGCTGTGTTAACAATATACCTTAGTGTGTTTTATATACCTCTTGTAGTAATGGGTATAATAATAATTATATGCTGGTTGACGACCTTTTTTTTTAACAAGTTAGTATATGATTTTATTTAATAGTACAATATATAAAACTATAGGTGGTACTACGGGAGAGGGGGGCATAGTATGCAACTGCTCCTCCTGCGGATTCATTGTTGCTCCCCTATACATTAACATAATTACATTTTATATACCTTAATATGTCAGAGGTCTGGTCCTAGTTCAAATTGTTATCGAAATAACTAATCGGTAAGTATCACGATTAAAGATATTATTATACATATTATACTTGATGCCCGTTATAGGTACTTTTAAATTCTGAGCGGAGCAATTGGTGTTTATTTTTTTTCAGTGAACAACTTTACTGTCAGAAATTTTGCACGGGTGGTACTTTAAAGAGCTATTTTTTTGATTTTCCAAGCGGTTTTTATAATAATTAGGAAAAATGAGAAAAATGATGAAATGTATTATTTTTAAATTTGTTTTTTTGTGATTCAATTAAAAATATTCGTAGTCTTGAAATTTGAATCGAAAATTCATGTTTGTTTTTTCTAGAAGTAGTAAAATTTTCAAAACATTTTAGCCATTTTGAGCTATTAGACATTTTAGTTTTGCGAGTTTTTTATGTAATTTTTATTCGATAGGTACTAGGTTACTCGTGGATAAAATTATTATTGTTATGTATAATTATTTTCTATACAAATTTTAATATTAAATTTTGACAAAAATCGTAAATATTATAGCCTTTCAAAACATGTATAAAAAAATACATTAAATTTCCCTCTATATCCTACCTTTACAACTTTTCACCTATACAACAGTGACCACCCCATTATGTGAAGTGTGTTTTTTTTTATCGCTTTACGTCGATACTGTTTTTAAAAAATGTGTAGATATATTTCCGCGGAACACCACATGATGTCTCGTGAACTATATACCATAGGATAGGAAACACAGCTCTAAAAAAATTAAAGCTAGCTGAGCGTTACATGGAGTCTTGAAATCGTGTAAAATACCTATAGTATGTACCCAAATAAAGTGTACGATAAATTAAATAACGAAAATTTAAACTTTTAAAATTCCTAAGTAGAAGTAACAAAATATACCAATTTAAGTTAAAAAGAAAACATTCTTTTAAATAGTTTAACTAGCATGACAATTTGGACAAAATAGTGTTAATAATTTACTTAAAATATTGTGTGCCTCACTTGCCAAGATGGTCTAGTACTGCTTATATGTATAACTGTAGGTATAGGTAAGTGAAAATAGCCCAAATATTTAAACATTTCGGGGAACGGCGGTTTAACACTCCATATTTTCGATTGATATCGTTTATTTATTCATGTTAGAATCCTAAAAATTCAAATCCTAAAATACTACAATTATCGTTTAGATTCACAAAAAATCAGCTTTCTAAAATTGTATTTTCTATTTATTTATTTTGAACATTTACGAATTCTAATAATTTTATTTCTTTACTGAATTATTGTATTGATTTTTATTTTTTAACAAGATTATTATACATTAATAATTAAATTTTAGATAAATATTTATTTTTCAACATATTATCACTACGTTTTTATTTTATCGTTTTCTTTATCATCACTCCCACAGACTTTCTTTTATCTAGATAAGTTTTGAGAATAATTATATATGGTTCAGTTTTAATGAGTGTGACTAAAAATGAAAAATAATACCAAATAATAGTTAGGTATACGAAAAAAAAATCTACAACTTTAGACGTGCAGGAGCCATGGGGTACTGGTAAAGTTTATAGATCAAAAAGAACAAAGTACGAAATTGAAACGAAATCAATCAAAAGATTGAGAAACGATGATTGATGGCTGAGTATGATTTACGACTTAAAGTAAAAGATTGATAGTGGCGAAACCTGTTTGAAGTGGTGTGTGTAAACTGGATTTAGGAGTAATGATTTCATAATTCTGTAATATATTATATAATTGACAAAACATAAAACTAATAATAACATCGAAAATAACATTTTACTAATTTTCATATTATTTATTTCAAAATACATAATATATGACTAGGTATATTATATGATTTATATGACATACAAATACATATATACATATTAAGTATTTAGTTGCCTAAATACGTATAGGTACCACGCAATCGTTTTTGTATCTATCATTATAATATATAACGTAATATTTGGGGCTTCGTTATCAATAACGTATTCAGATTTTAGGAAACCGGATAATATTTTTATTTGGCGCCCCCCCACAAATAAATATTAATATTTGATAATTGAATTCATTTTAATTTATTGAACAATATGAATTTTTATGACAATAATTACCTTTTTTAATTTCTAAGAAAATTACTATAAAATTAAATTATATTTTTGGGGCATTTTTAATTGACTTCAGTTAATGGTTAAGCAATGAGTAGAAAAATGTTTTTAAAATTGCAATCCCCCCCAAAAAATGCTGATGGACGATCACTCATGCCACTTTAAATACGTCTCATGAGCTATTACACAGGGTCCGACGAAAATTCGAAAAATGCAATAAGTTTTGTTTTGTTTAATGTATATATTTTTTTTTTTAATAAAACTTAATGATCCATCATTAGTAACTATTTGTAATATGAACATTTTGTTTCAAAATATTTCTTTATAATAAAACACGTATCTTTAATTTTGTAAATACAAATTTGTATTCAAGAAAATTATAAATTAGAGGAATTACAGTGCAAGATTTGAGTAATTTTTATATACAAAATTTCAGAACAAATGTTATTATACTTGTCGAATCTTGAGGGGCACTTGTATATTGTGCACTTGGGTATTAGACATAATCAGCTATAATGTATAATATAAGTTACATTAGTGTGTTATTAATATATTATTCTGCTACAAACATGTTATATGTTTCGAATTTGTGTGAAGTTTACTACTTACCTATAAAAATAAACTATAGTTATTATGTACAATATACCCATTTTATTATTTATTTATTTATTTACGAGCAATAATCATTTTAATAATTTTGTTTTTTACTTTATTATTGTATTAATAAAATATGCATAAACATTGTTTATATTTAATTTAATATTTATGTAGGTACTTAGGAAGGTACTGCATTGTATTATAGGACGTATAATATGTGTGCATTACATACCTTTAAATGGCTTTTAAGCAATATTGATCTCATGATGATGATTTGGTAACAGATTAATTGTATTCGATTATAATCTATAACAGAATATAAAATATATTATAAGTATATTAATTTAGAAATACTCTTGCTCACGTCCGACGTTAATGAACTCCAAATAGCCAATATTCTACATTAACTCAAACACTCAGCACACAGGATAGGTACATCACAATAATAAATATTTTATAATATACTAACCGAACTACGCTATACCTTGTAAGGACTATGACAGACAACTGTCTATACAACATTAGTCTGATAGGAATGGGTCAAAGATGTTTGAAGTTCTATAATCAGTTATCAGGTACTGGTTTCTATTATGTGATCGTATACCCACCTAATAATAGGTTTAATAGCATACCTATATCGATGAGGTCATAATAATATAATCATTAAATCAGTACATATGTACTACCTATATTATATGAATACAATTTATTACGTAAGAGTTTATATCCATTTACACATTTTTTACTCTTCATAATATGATGCATAAATAATATTGTAAAAACTGTTTTAAAAAATACGTATATAATACATATAGGTATATATGTATTTTAAACGTATATATTATATATAGGTAATATACATATACCGGTATAGAAACACTTATCAATAAGGTTGTGAATTTGCAGGAAAATGCATTTTTTTTTTTTCGGTGATTAAGAAACGTTGCTTTATAAGTATATAATTTAAATTATATAACAACAAATCCATTAATGAAACTTTTATTTGCTCTTTTAGACGTTTTAAATTTTTAGATCATATTTTTTGTTTTTAGTTCATTTTCCGGTATTTTTAATCAAATTCTGTCAATTAATATTAATAATTAATTTTTTTTCTTCAATAATATTTCTTTAATATTGTACCGATTTTCTCATTATTTCTACGTTTTTCCCAGAGGCTCTTAAAAAGAATTATTAAATGGTCTAAAGTTTAAGCTATTAAGCGGTAGAATATGAGACATACTTCCCAATGTCCTATTTAAATTTAAAATGTATGTATACATTTGTTGACAAATTTTCTAGGTTTCTTAAAAAGTCGATTTTCAGTTTTCAGTTTTAGAAACATCCAAACTACGTGATATATTTGAAAATTTCGTAAAAATAATGAAGTAAATTTGTTTTTAATTTAGGCATACTAAATTTTAAATCATAAATCGACTTTCTAAGAAACGTAGACAGTTAGGCAACAAACCTATACATACTTTAAAAATTGAAATCGAACTTTATATTCACACGTTATATTGATCTGTAAAAACGTCTGTAGTCTGTACCGATGGATATCGGAGGATAGATGATTGGAAAAGTCTTATAATCTATTAGAATGGTAAAAACTAATTTTTAAATTTATCATAATTGGAGAAAGTTTGAAATACCTACTCCATGTTTTAAATATATTGTTGTTTCCGTCATTCTACGTCATTATTCTATCATAATTTATGCAATATATAATATTTTAGTATAGATACCTACACTAAAAAGCAATCGAGCCTAGACGTAGACCAATTATTATGTAACCTACAGGCTACGAGATTTCAAGGTAATCTTGTTTCAGTCGATTTTAGGCCAGTCAACTTTAAGCCTTTGACTTTTGAATACCTATACAAATATTATTTTGTCTTATAGGGTAGATAGTTTAAATTGTTACTTTGCATTCTAAAGTTTTATCACCTATGAATTCTTATTAAAATTGACATTACCATTTTGGCATCACCATTAAAACTAACAGAAATAATGTGACTTGTAATTATAGAATAGAATTGTGTATAATGTAATATCATGGTAATATTTGAAATCAGCTCAACTTTAACACACCCCAGTGACCGACTAAACTCAATTTGAAGACTGTCTAATTATGATGTCCAAATACGAAATGTTTTTCTATTATTACCGAACGTGCTGGATAATTCAAAAAAAGATTATTTGTATTTATAACATCATAGAACAATAAAGATCTTCAATAAATACTATGCGCTTAATATTGATATATACTTATTAAGTTCGCCGCGGTTACGCGTCATCAGTTTATAGTTGTATATTATATTATATTACAATCTACATTATATTAAATCATAATAGGGAAACGGAAAAATTAAAAAAATGTTTCAACAGAATTTGGTACCTAAGTGGAATGAAATTACCAGGAAACTAAATCAGTCTAGTAAGTAAAAATAATAACAGTACAGAAGTATGTAGTTCTTCGTCAGTTCTTTCGGCGTTCATACGATCAAATATTTTAGAAATATTTCTTAAACATTTGACAGTTTTGTCAAATATTGAATTACTAGATTGATAACAAATTGTTATCATCGTATATCATGAATTATAATTATGAAATATAATTTACACCAAGGTGGATTTATGACTAAATAACTGTTTTATTTAGTCATGAGTGGATTAGTATTAATATTAATGTTAATCCACCTAGATTTACACATTTTGTACAAAAGCATTGTAATTATTATTTATTACATCTTATTACCTAAACAAAATTTAAGATAAAATTAAATTAGTTTTCAATGACACTGAAGAGAATAAAAGTATGTAGTTATTGCTAGACTGAACACTGAACAGATCGTAGTAGGTAAGTACCACTAAAAACGCGTGGTCATGAATTAGTGGTGAGATCAGGAATTATTTACATTTATGAATTTGGGTTTTTGAGTTCTTGTGAGAATAAATTATTATATTATATTATATAAAGTGTACGATGAACACGTATTCAAAAATGAAAGGAAATATCTTTAATTGTGTCCCTAAAAGGGGTCAGTCATATATTATTGAAAATGCGCCGCGGTTATATTTTATACAAACGTAAATTGCGTAAATTAATTTGCTAGAATTTGCATGCTTTTGGTTTTTCCAAAAAACATTTTACTTAGGTAGGATAAGGGAAGTAAATTAATTTTACTCCTTCACTTATACTCAAGCACTTTAAACAATCAAACCTATACCAAGAGGCAAGAGTTATTAATATGCTAATATTTGATATTTTTTTACGGTGAAGCGTGTTTTTTTTAAACAAAATATAGGTCAAGTCTCTTATTCAAATTTTATACGCGTAGGCACCTACATGAAATAGACCGACCGAATTAGGCTTACCATTTTATTTTAATAGTCAGTGTTATAAACATATTTAAATATAACAGAAGTTCGTAAAAATTCAATAGTTTGTCGAAAATATGAGAAATATTATTAAGAAATAAGTTTTTTATAAATAAATTAGCTGTCGTTCATCGATATGGATCTATTTATAATAAATGATATTAGCCACCAATTAGATTGCAGAGATAAAGTTTAAATTTGTATGTGTGTGTGTCTACAGTCTACACGTATCGATTAACTGATTATTTTATTGTTATTTATTATATTATTACGACGTATAATAACGGGTTTAATTATAGATTTCGAGCGTAGCGAGGGACACCAATAGGTTTTACAATGTTGTTTATTTTTTTCTTTCTTTGTTCTTTATTCTAGTTTGTGGACACGTTTTTTCCTAGTAAACGTACTCCGATTTTGAGGTGTAGCGACTTTTCTGAAACCTCAAGTCGTCTAGATTGTACAACAGAGAGGTCATTTTTCAAAATAAGTGGAAATAAACGTAGGAAAACGTGCAATTTCACGATTTCATTATTTTATAAAAACACGGACAACGTTTTCTATCAGAAAAAATGATTTAATCAAAAAATCACAAGATACCTTTTTTGTTTGCCTTTTTGATTTACGTTCTTACAGTATTATCGCCAAGACTTTTAAGATTTTAAAGAATTTTAATTTTTGGAAGTTTTTTGCTGTAATTTGTTTATAAATACACGTAGAGACTTGAAACTTGGTCATAATACTTTTATTGGATTTACCTAAACGTAGTAGAATTTTCAAAATAATCGGACTTTTTTTTTTTTTTATAAGCGTTTTGAAATCAAATTTAAACGAAAATTGGCAAAAAGAATTACAGCACTTCAAACTATGTATTACCGAACTGCGCTCAGAATCATCTTTTGTCAAGCAATGGTTTATCGTTGCTTATAGATATAAATGAAATAACCTTATGTATTCTACCTACCCAACTTCTCACCTACAACAGTGGCCGTTCCCATCCCCAGTATCAGCTCTTTTTTTAATTTGATTAAGTTGTAAAAGTGTAAAACATTTTAAATTTAATTTAAATTAACACTAATTTTATTTTACCATACTAATAATAAAAATGGACTGTGACCAGGTAAGTTATACACTTACACCTATGATAAACTCGTATATAAATTTCGTTTATAAATAAATGTAAGCTAATTAGTTATTGTAAAAATGTTAAAACAATTTATTCAAAATTTGTAAAGAAATAAAAAAATTCTTCAAACATTCTTTTAATTCTTTAATTCAATTTTAACCCTTTACTGCTTAATGTTTCATTAGCGATGGTTTATCGTTGCTTACAGATATACGTTAAATTCTATATCTTACTTTTTCAACTTTTTACATACAACAGTGGATGCTTCCATACCAATTATTCTAGAACTGCTTTTTATATTTATGTTTATGACGTTCAGAATTCTGTTATTTTTATCCGTCGTTGGCTCGTTAATCGATACTAACTTCAAGTTTTGGTGTTTCGTTCATAACTTCTGTCCAAGACCCGAGCCTCGCGAATTATGTAAACAACTGTTATCATTTAGTTGTGAACATAAATTAGTATATTATATGAATTTATGAACATAAATGATACCTATTACATAGTATCCACATTACTTAATACTTTATTGTTCTTATGATATTATATTTTAGAGAAAAAAGACGATTTTTTAAGTATTGAATATGGATATGGGTAGTATTTGTAAGTTGTAAGTATTGGCCTAAATTCATAAATTTAAAATGTTGATGTTCTGCTCTAAACATTTGGTTGTAGAATTCAAAAAATTGCACCCACACTTAACTTCCGCCTCTTTAAATATTAGTTAAGGATTTCAACAATAAGTTTTTAAAATAATTTAATAATTAAAATTTTCTATGGTAAAGTATTCTTTTTTAAATATTTTAGATTTTAATTTCAACTACCAAATGTCTGAAAAAATAATATTTGTAGTAGACCCCAATGTGTGTGATGACATTTCAGTTTAGAATTAATTGTAGATATTATATTTTTGGAAATATTTTCTATTATTTATCATCATTATTTATCATCATTATTTATTTTTATTTTTATTAGTTGTACAGAAAATCAGAGTAAGTATGTTTGTCCCAAATGTACAGCACCATATTGCTCTTTATTATGTTATAAATCTTCAAGTCATTTAGAATGCTCTGAAATGTTTTATAAAGACTGTATTGAAGAAGAATTAGATATTCAAGGTTCAGACAATGCTAGCAAAAAAGAAATGATTGACATTCTTAAAAGAGTTTATGGTGAAAATGAAGAATCTGGTAAATATTTAATTTTCTTATTTTTTATACATAAAATGTTACCAAAAAATAACTATAAATTGAATTTGAAATGTATAATAAATAAATACTTGCGATGGGAAATAAAAAAACTTGTATAAATTGTATTATATAAGAATCTAATAGAATTATTGTTACTGTATTATTATATTATAAAATATAATAAATTGATTTTGAAATGTCAAAAATTAATTTTGTGTAAATATATTCTTCATTAGGGTTGCCCTTATTTATGAACGTGTTAATTTTTAATTCTGTAACAACCCCCCCCCCCCAATTTGTTCATTACTATGAGAGTTAACTTTGTGTTAAATTTGGTCATGATGTTATGTCCAAATAGAGTAGTTTTATTATTTTTTGCATCAAATTGAAAAAATTAAGCAAATAATATAAACATGTATATTGCGTATATTATAGATTATGAAATTGTCTATAAAAAATATTTTGATAGTATATAACGGACCTTTACTTTTTTTCATGAAAAATAATAAATACCAAATGGTTATTTTTATTTGAGAAAATTAACTTATTAATGGTAATGTAAATAGATTTCATAAATAGTTGAAGATAACATACATTTTGTTTTTATAAAAACATTGTAAAATTTAATTTTCTACAAAGTAGATATTTTCAAGATTAATTGTGTTGAATCAACAGTTTATTATTAAAATAAAATTTATTGAATATTAATTTTAAAATACGAAAATGTTGTCCATTGAAAGTTTATAATTATTTATTTTCTTTTAATTGTATGATTTTTTATATTTTTACTGTTGCAATTGGGGAACTTTCAGTGATAATCTTGAATTCTCTAAAAAAAAATAATATACATTAATACCAAACTTAATAGTTAATAATTATTGAAGAAATATTTTACTTGTAACAAAAATTGGTTTTGCTCTTCACTTATTGTGATTTTACTATTAAATTATGGATTTATTAATTTATTAATTAAATTAAAATTAATTAATTAAATATTTATGTTTTGGGTTCAACTTTTATTTTTCCACTGTTGATTTTGGTAAAAATGAAGATTCTATGATTTGTTTATGATTAATATTTGCTACATCCTCTCTTATTAAAACTTCTTTGGTACACTCCTGATTTGTAATGTCAGATTCTGGACATAAGAAAATTTACAAACTTGATAAATAAAACTTAAAGATATATTTTTTTGAATTTAAAATTTACTTAACATTTAAATTATATATTTATCTTAAGTATATATCTAAAATATATTAGTCATTAATAGATAACGATAATTATTAATTTAATTTTAATATATGTTATATAGAAAGTGATTCAGATGATGATGATTTGACAAATCTCAATGAACGGTTAAATGGAATTGATCTTGATAATTCTGAGGAAGTTTGGAATCTATTAACAGATTCAGAAAAGGCTGAATTTGAACACCTTGTTAAATCTGGTGACATCACTAAAATTTTACCTGAATATACTCCTTGGTGGTGTTTACCGTTAGTAAATTGAAAATGTTTATTTAAATAGTATTGCACCTAAACATTTATTTTATTTTAGGATTGAAAAACAATTAGTAACTGAAGTTGGTGAAAATATTAAAGATAATGAGTTGCCATCTTTATTAACAAACATTCCAAATTTGTCTATACTTTCGGTAATTAAATGTCTTTATAAATCATAATTTTTAATGTAACATATTTATTATATTTTTATAAGTACATTGTGTTATTAATTAGTTTATATATATTGTGTTTGACATTTTGCCTGTATTGATATGATGATGAATTTTTAATTCGAAACCGGTCTTATAAATCACTTATCATAATACTCCAAGCAACACATCCATTCATTTATTTTTTTGTTTTTATACATACATTTTTTATTTATATATTTATTTACAAGTATTAATGATTTTAATAATTTTGTTTTTACTTTATTATTTTATTAGATAAATACTGTGTTATAGATATAATTACATTTCATTATTTAAAAATATTATTTCTAAAGAGTTCAACTGCAGTTAGTCTTTATGCAAAGAGTCTAAAAAAGTCAGGCTGTTTGCAGAAAAAAATGTTTAATTTGAAACTGTGGCTAACTCTTTTCTCAAAAAAACTAATCTCTCCAATAGTTTACAACATGTTCATAACATGGTTTTTATTTGTGCAATACAGTGAAACCTCCCTCAACAGACATCTCAAATTAGCAGAAAATAAATAACTTACACATTTTTTGATTTCGGCACAGCCCCGTTGGAATTATTGAACTGCGCTCCTTTAAATAGCATACACCTCTTAATAATGGACACAGACAAGTTTAGGTAGTCTAGGGAGCTTAAATACCTCTAAATAACTGATAGCTTTACCAAAAAACAAAAACCTACTCGTATTTTATACATATATACATTGTACATATTATATGCTATTTTTATATTTCTGATAAAAACATTTATCTTTATAATTTAATGGATATAATTAGGAACTTATGTAAAATTAGTAAATACGAACCTAAATGAACGATAGATAATGACGGAAATACATATTATGATTTGTAATATACACATATATAGTGTATATATGCTTTAATAATTAATAATTGTAATAATAATACATATGTAATAGATTAATAATAAATCTTGAATAAAATGTTTTTTTAAAAAATCAGTAAAACTTAAATTTTTATTTTGATTAATTTTTCCCAATTGCAGAGGACATTTTTTTATAATCTTATCAGTGTCTGCTATTTAGAGGTTTTACTATACTTACAGAAAACAATTATTACTTAAATAGTTGTATGTTTAATTGTATACTTGTATAATAGCATAGCATATGCATGTGTACATGAATCATAAACAATGAATAACAATAATGCTAAAATAAATTTTAATTATTAATTATCTTACTTTTTTTTAGAAAAAATCACCTTCGGAATTTATTCAATGGAATTTAGTGAACATTATTACTCCGTATGTGTTTTTAATACGATATTACAATGGTAAACATAAATCATATTTGTCTGAGTTTATCAACGGACTTTATAGTTTATCGTCAAATCTATCTGTTAATCAGAATTTTGATTCTTATGACACAGCACTGAAATCTGTGGAACTTAGCATTCAAGAGGTAATTAATATTATATTTTTGTTCTTTATAAATAATACTAAAGCTCATTAAGATGAATTCTTGTTTTTTTTTTAATAATCATGTTAAGCTCAAAGTGATTTAGATAGATTGGTGACAATAAATAAAAATCAGATGAGTCATTTATTTAATTTATATGCTCAATATGTTGTAATAATTATTAAACTTATAATTGTCCGTATTAGCAAGTATCAATTTAAATCATAACACTGTTCACAATATTTGAGAATTTCTCACAGTAATTTGTAGGTGCATGATTTTTAATTTAATTTGCATATTATTTATTTTAATTGTAATAATATATTAAATAAATGTTTCAGCATGATATGTTCAAAGGTTTTATAGGTTTTAGCCTTATTAATGACGATTTGGAAACTATATTTAGTAATGGTTTAGATTCCAATTGCAACTATAACATAAAATTAGTTTTATCTGATATGCATAATTTAATGAACAAGTATAAAAATGAAAAAAAAAAATTTGTATCAAGTATGTTAAATGATAATAATTTAAAGAAATTTTGTTGAAATTTCATAACAAAATTTGCATTATTTTAGAAAAAACAGAACAAGGAGAATTTAATAGAAAATTTCCAGATCCTGAAGCTAGTTATTTCACACATGTAGATGTTAAGAAAATACGATTGTTATTAAAAAAAATTGAATATTATTTTTCATGGGTAAATGAAAATAAATTTAATTTAATTTAATATTTTTTGTTTTAAATTTAATTTTCTATACATATTTAGCACTAGATATGTATACATTTTTTGGTAAATAAAATTGTATGCTGTAATGTTTTTGTAATTAATTATAAATTATTACAATTGATATAATTTTATACACAATTTATATAAGAACTATTTATTTTAAATAATAGAAATTGTATAAATTAAAACAATTACTTTAATTTTAGATGTGTATAGTATAGTTTTTTTTTCTTTGTAAGCAGTAAAATCTGTCTGTTAAGAAGTTTAACAACATTTAATCTTAGAGCAGAAAAACCAAGTTTTTCGGACAACCTAAAATGTTCATAAAAACACATACTTGTACCTCGTATTTAAGGACAGAGACAGAACTAAGGACCTCTTACTTCCAAGACAAAGACCTTAATAAGTTGTCTCATTTTTGTAAAGATGATGTTTCTGGAAACAGACAGAACACTTAGCTATCCCTACAAGACACTGTCTTTGAAGTATAGATAGATAGAAAATCTGTTTTGAATGGAAGTATATTTGATGGTTCACAATAAGTATTAACCTGGGCTTATAACATGTAGCGTTTGCATATTTGATATTTATTATTTTAATTGGTCGTAGAGACACCAATGTAAGTTGTCAATTTGTTTCAGACAACCAAGAAGTAAAATAATACATTTTGTAAATTTTAAAGTTTTGATATTATTTCGCTAGTTCTGTAATTTAAGAACTATTTCATACTTTATTGCCATTTCAATATTTTAACATTTTTAATGCATATTTATTTGATAATTTGAATATTTTTAAGACTTCATTGTATTTATAACGAACAAACTTCCTTCAAGCTACAAGAGCCCTGGTAATAACTAATTAATTTAACTTATGCCATCTACAAGTATCTATCTACTTTTTATCACCACATATATGATTAATCATTTGAGAAAGACTTAACCGATTTGGCTGATTATTATATTTGGAGCGTGGCGAACAATCTATTGATTCAGCTATGATGTGGTTTTTTTTCTGCCTCAAAACAAATTTTTGAAAAGAAATCTTACTCCAAAGTGTAGACAACAGCACCTTTTCTGAAAGGTAATTTCCTCAAGTTTTTGAAGTCATTTTTTTGATTTTCCAAGAAGTTTTCGAAATAATTGGGAAAAACCCGAAATAAAATTATAGGTAAAACGGCAAATATTTACGGCGTGTCATGGCATTACCGTTTTGACATTTTCATTGTTTTTATTATGCTTACAGTGTAAACTTTACACAATGTTTTCTACCAGAAATATTACACCCATCCAAAAATTGCAAGAAATCCAATTTGTTACTCTTAGTATTGAGTAATTTTGTTTGTTTTGATGTCCAAAATAGTTACTCTAATAATTAGGAGAACCAAAAAGGACAAAATATATAATTTTTTTCAAATTATGTCACTACGATTTCATTATTTTAAATTTGTATGGCTTATGTTAACAACCGTAAATATTGCTCTAATAGATAAATGACAGAGCTTTATTGTTGCCCTTAGTTTTAGTGGATAAATTATTTTGCCCCTCCCCCCAAACTAGATTTATATCTAATTACGCCACTGGCTATCTCTGACAAAATATCTCCACTGGGAGTTCTCTTAAATTTATTATCCTGTGCTATATATTATTGTATTAACTAAACTTATTGTTCAAATTGTAACAGATTGCTAAATAAAGATTTAAAAAAAAAAATGTTATCATAATCAAAATGTACACATGAGTATACTAATTTCAATTGAAATTATATTTATTAATTAGAAAAGTCCTACTGCATTATTTTTGAACAATGTAATTATAAATATAATTATTTATCCAATAATTCTCAATTGTTAATTAGTCACGGTCCATTTCGTCAAAAAAGAAATTCCAGTTTTTCAGCTAAAGAGCTAGTGAGTTTATTTGTTCCTGATAATACTCTTATATAAATAAATAGTAACATTTAACGTTTAGGTAATTTCTAATTACATTATCGTGGTCCTGTATACTTGTGTTAGTTTTATTTAGCCATGGTTTGAACTATAGATATATTAAAAATATTATTAATAACACCAATGGTGACGTAAACCTTTTTATTTCATGAGGCAAATATAGATGTAAGAGGTTGATCAACACCACCTAAGTGTTAACATTAATTTTTAAAGAGTCGTGGGGATAAAGTCCCCACACAGCACCCCTTCCCACTTTTCCCTAATTTACCATCCCACATATATATGCTTTAAGTCATGATGATTTTATATTTTATGAATATTAATAATTAATAAAAATGGGTACTGCATACCTACATGTATTTTAATAATAAATTATACCTTTTTTTATTCCACTGACCGTCACTATAAGAGAACACTGGGCTATCATGACCAAAATACCGAGCCATGTAAAACATACATTTAATCGAGAGTTTATTCTGTGGGATTTTTTTTTTAAATTAATTTATTCAATTAACAAACAATTTATTTTATCTTCTTTATACAAAATATTGTTTATTGAAATATTTGGTGGTTACCAATAACACTGGAAATTTAATACATTAAAGTTAAAGTAAATTAGTGAAATATAATTAACTTAACATAAATATTTATACATACTTTATATTAATAACAATAAACCTTTATTTCAATAATACAATTTTAAGTATCAAGTATCAGTAAACAATTATTTTTTTTAGCCTGGGAGTACCACCACCCAGTTGATCATGAGGCCATCGCCTCATGAAATACCCTATCACACAGCCACTGAATAAAATGATTAAATAACTAATAATTTTTGTCACGATTAATTAAAGATTAATTATATGCCGTTTTGTCTATGTACAATACAATAATACTATTTGAATGTACCTCCGCGCGCAATATTTATTTAAATATTTTTCTTGAAGTTGTTGGCACTGTAAAAGCGTCCGCGTCATACAACATCAATCGACGTCCACCATTTTGTAGTCCTTTCCTAAATGAATTTATTGACTCATTTTACTGAACTGTTGTGTATTTTGTTTGTGACTCGTGTATTTCATGCTTTTTTTTTATTTTAATAATTCATTTTAATTATTCTAAAGTTATCTTTTTGTTTTAAATCAACGTTTATATTCATTTAAATATCTGTTTTATTCGTATTACGAATTTCCACAACAAATATGGGATCTGATGTAAGTAAAATACACCACATTTGAATCAATATAATTTATTATATATACGTAATAAAAATCAATGGATGTATGTTAAATGAGACTTTCATATTTGTAATATAGGAACCAGAACAGTACAGAAAATTATTCATCGGTGGTTTAAATTATACAACCACTAATGATTCACTTAAAGAATTTTTTGAACAATGGGGTGAAATAGTTGATGTTGTTGTCATGAAAGATCCCCAAACTAAAAGGTTTAATAAATTTGTTTACTAGCATTATTAATTATGATTAACCTGTTTATGTGTTAAAATTTAGATCTCGAGGTTTTGGATTTATTACTTATTCACAATCATCTATGGTCGATCAAGCCATGTTAAATAGACCTCATAAAATAGATGGCCGTGAAGTGGAGACAAAGCGGGCTGTTCCTCGTGATGTATGAATATATTATATTCAGTATTATAACTTTATAAAGATACCTTATTAAAAATAAGATTAAACCTCTCTGATAACGAAAACCTGTTCACACACTTCCCCACTAATTGCACTCGCTCCCTTTGATGGTACTTGTATTGAGAATTAAAGACATTTATAGGAGGCGTTTAAACAAATACTTAGTTGACTACCTTCAGTAATTCAATCTGCATGCTTGAATCGGATCTATCTTATTTTGAATAGAATGGTAGATATTATGAACTTATAGTATCAACCCATGTTGTTTTGTTTGGTTTAAAAATCTAACCAATTTTGTTCAAAATTGTTGGCAAAATATTCAGTAGTATTTTTTTTTTTTTAAATTTATTTTTGAGTAGTAATGTGTATTCATCAAATTATGCCATTGAAACATTAAATTATTTTTCTTTGCAATTTCACAGTTTTGCATTTATTTTATGGTATAGGCTCAAAGAATAATTTCTATAATTTATCTGTATGTTTGTTTCACACATAAGATGGAATCACCATCTATGGCCATCTTCAGAATTTTGTACACAGTTATTGAAATCAATTGAAAATTCAATGATGTATACTTAACAGCTAACCCAACACTTTGTTAATATTTCTTAGCCTTATGAAAAATACTATCTATTGGATAATTTTTACTTTTTAAGATGTAATTTTCACTTTTTATGTTATCTATGTTTGTTATAATTGATACAAACCAGTGCATAAATTAATATAACCATGTGAAATATGATTTTACAAAGTTTTACTATTAAATATAAATAAGAGGCCAGTTGGAATACTAACCATCCCAAATTAAGTATAAAATAAGGTATTATATATTTTCTGATAAATATTATTTATTACTATGGGTTCTAAAAATTATTTTATATTTTTATTTCTAAATTGTTAAAAAAAGAAACTTACATCTCTTGATTAAAAAAATATGCAATATTTTTTGCCATATACTTAGCTAAAGTTCCAATTTGTAGAAATGAAAAATTTGTTAAATTATGTTTGAGAAAGTGATAACAAATATTAGTGATGAACCATCTTAACATGTACACTTTAGTGTGTAATTTCTCTTGATAAATAAAATAGTTCTTTAATTTTAAGCCACTGGAAAAAAAGAACCTTATACACATCTCTCCTTCACATCATCTATATAGTGATCAATGGAAACCTTTAAAATTCCTTATTTTTAGAAAAACCCATATTTGTGTAGTTTTATAACTCAATAATAAACAATTTGTAATTTGTGAAGGTGTAACAGTTTGAAACTGCATACTATAAAATTGTAATATCTATTTTTTTTCTTTGTGTTAATAGGATATTGATAAACCTGATATTGCAGCCACTGTAAAAAAAATGTTTGTTTCTGGTATTAAAGAACAATCAGAAAATGATCTTGTAGAATATTTTGGAAAATTTGGTAACATTACTAATGTCACAATCGTAACCGATAAAGATTCTGGCCAAAGGAAAGGATTTGGATTCATTGAATATGATGACACAGATTCAGTGGACAAAGCTGTTTGTTAGTAACCTTAATTATTTTTAAAATTCAACTTAACTAAATTATATGAATTATTTTATCATAGTAATCAAAAGTCACCAAGTTGCTGGAGGAAAATTAGATGTGAAAAAAGCTATTAGCCGCAGTGATGGCGGTGGTGGAGGCCGTGGTGGACGAGGTGGTAGAGGTGGTGGTGGTGGTGGAGGTGGAAACAGAAATAATTGGGGTGGAAATCCACGAAATGAACAATGGGGTGGACACCATAATAGTAAGTATATAGTATAATACTAATTATCTGAGTGTCTTTACATTATTTTGTATTTACAATTTAATTTTGGATCAATTTAATCCAGAGAGATAGAATTTTTGTATAATTTGTTAATTCAATAATATTTTGAAAATATAATATTATGTTTTTAGGATCAAATGGCAGTGGTGGCTATGGAAATCCTGGAATGGGAGGTTATGGCTCTGGAGGTGGATATGGTGGTAATGCTGGTGGATACAATTCTAATGCTGGTGGAGGAGCATGGCAAGGCAGTGGAACTCCTCAAGGTTGGGGTAACAATAATCCAGCATGGGGTAGTCAAGGAGGTGGTGGAGATGGCTGGGGAAATTCACAACAACCAAGTGTGTTGATATATTTTGTATACAATTTACCAACAATAATATTAGCACTATTGGATTTTAATAATTAATTCATTTTTTTTTTTTAATGTACTCTGCATAGGTACAAATTTAAATCTTCTAATTTTTGTTAATAATCAATATTAGGTAACAATTGGGGCGGACCAAATCAGAGTTATGGTGGTGGCGGTGGTGGTCCAATGAGGTCAAATTATTCCTCTAATCGTACCACACCTTATGGAAACCCAGGTAGTTGTATTTATTATATTTATATTTTTATATTAATGGTTAGAACATTAATTTAACATCAATTTAATTTGCATATTTTTATTTTCAGGAACTGGTAATGTGAATGCTGGTAATGCTGGTGGTGGTGGTGGCTATGGTCAAAACCCTGGTCGAAGATACTAAAACATCATTTCAAGGTAAATAAATTTGGAATTTTATAACTTAGATTTTAAATCCCATTTCTGATATGTTACAATATAATATTGTTATATTTTTTAGGATTCTAATTGAAAATGGTTTTTTTTATTTTTGAAAATTGTTAGGCAGGATCCGAGGAGGCAGTCTGTTAGGCAGTATAAACAAAAATAGGAAACCCATACCGGTTATTTCTATTTATTATTTAAAACCATGAGTGGGGTATTAATGACTCAGGAGCCAGCCATTTGAAATTCATTCTCATCCTCGTCTACTGCACATTCAGTTTATTAAATTTATCTATTAAGTACTACAATGACATGTTTTTTTATTGGTAATATACTTTTTATATTTCTCAACTATATTTTTCATTTGTATATTTATTTGAAGCTTTACCTAAGTATTGAAGTTTTTTCAACAATTTTGTATATGAGGTGTGTTCTTGCAATTTTTTTTTATGACAGTAATTTAGGATATAGGTTACTTTTTATTATAGATATTTCTTAATTGTTAGTCTTTTAACAAATGTAAATTAATAAATATGATTTAAATCAGGTTCATACAATACAATTTAAAGATGTTTATTTTTTTTTGCTTTATATTTCAATTAGGTATAGTAGACATATTCAATAACATACTTTACTTTCACTATTATTAGTGTACCTATTAAATAAAAATTAATTTTTTAAATATTGTATTGACATCAAAATTTTGTATTGAACAAAATTGGGTTTAGCTAATTTATTATTAATTGTAATATTACTTTTTAACTATGTCAGTTTGTGTGTTATTGATTTACTCTTAATTATCAGTTGTATGCTAGAAATACAAAATAAATTAATAAACAGTTTGAAATTCTAATTATTTTTTACATTGGTCTTTAATTTGGCTTTTATCTTTAACTAATTTATTTTGAAATAGAATGACACGAGAAACAGGGTTGCTACGTTAATTGAAAAACTTTGGAATTATAAATTTGTCATGAAAATTAACAGATTTTTAAAATACTGGACAAAAATATTTATAGTTACAAATCACAGTTGTGGATGTATAATCTTTTAGTGTTGTGTTAAACTTTGTTAATTTTAAAAGAAATGTCTAAAGTCATCAATGATTAAATAATTAAAAGAGATTTAATTTATCAGTTTGCACCACATATAAACACGATATATACTACGTAATATGGAGCATAGAGTAGAGCTACAGAAAGAAATTAAGTAGTCTATGTCAATGCCAGATGCAGTTCTCTACCTACTAATTACTAAATGTTTTATGTTGTATACTTTCATATACTTGTACTATAAACTTAATTTTTATAATTAAAGTGATGTATAAAAAATAAATGTATATTTACTACTAACTCTTGTATAGATACGTATAGGCCTTTATAATACAGATTTATGTATTATCTCATTGACAATATCCTGGAAAATCAAAAAATGATTTTAATCGAACATCTGTAGCAACCCTGAATATATGAATTAGAAGTGGTAAATTTTATCTATCATATTTAGGTAAAGTATTGCATATAACATTTCTATTAGCTCTTAAATAATGATTTATACATAAATATATTTTGTATATACATTTTTTTATTATATTTAATATATTAACATAATATGCATTGATAATAAAAAATTACTATTCAGAATACTATTAATTGTATTCAAAATTAAATTTTAAAGTACTTTTCTTTGAAAATATGCAATATAGAATACAAATGTTTCATACAAGATTAGTAGTAAAAATTAAGTTGATATTTTTAGGCAGGATTTTACTTGAATTTTACTTTTTGAATTTTGAATCGTTAAGAAAATTGTTTTCTATTTTGCATATTTTTAGAGAACACTATGAATTCATTTTTTTTGATAACACTGCATATATTATTGTATAATAATTATTGATTTTTTGGAATTATATATACTTACTTTATTTTAGTGAATACAAAAATTATTAAACTTGGTATTTTATCTATTAAGTATTTGAATCCTTTAGGTGTATATACTAAAATACAAAATAGTTAACTATTATGCACCTGTCCTGTAAAAGTGGGACATTCATTTCGGAAATGTTATGTTCAAAAAACCAGATTCTGAGTGGCTTAGTAAAACTGACATTTTTTAAATGTACTTTTCAATAAAACAAAAAAGAATTGTGTTTGATGTATTTTATATGTTCATATTCCCATCTACAGATATCTATTTGGACTACTATTTATCTCATGAAGTCTCAAATAAAATATATAAGTACTCCTCTGCTCCGCTCAGAATCTAACAAGACTTAATCTCAAGTATTTTACTTGTTATACAAATTTAGTTTTAAGTTTACTAGAAACTGTAGTTTTATACATATTATTTTGTTACATGAATTTGATTATTCTTTATGTTTATGATATTTGTATATTCATAATTAAGTTCATAAAGAAAAACTATTTTTAAGTTACTGCAATACTTCCAAAAAATAATTTTATTTTCTGTTAATTTTTTTTTTTTTTTTTAATGCTGGAAATTATTGGCTTTAGTGTTATATCTTAGTGAATTAAGTCAATATAAATTTACTGTTAATCTAAATATTTCACATATTAAATCTTCGGTAAGCATTTCATTACAAATATAATCATTGCTATGCTATTTATTACCCATTAGTATAAATATAATTAACATATTTTATGTGCAGGTAATTGAAAAAAATTGTAAGTGTAGGTTTATTAGATATGATCCATAGGAATGTTAGCCTGTTAGGGCTTAAGCTGGCAGCAAATGCATTTAAAGCTCTCGTCAATCCACATAGGTGATTCAATTTAGGCAGCAAACCTCGATTGTCAATCGTAGGTAGGTCATCCAAACACTAAAGGTAAACCGTTTAATTTTCCTGTAGGGTTTGTTATTATAAATATATTTTTTTCTTACCCGGTTGGATTCATATTTAGCAACAAATTTTGGAATTATTTTTGCTTCTATATAAAAAATAATATTTATATTCATAAACTAGGTAGTAATTATTTATTATAAAGTTTAAAATCGTTTTAAAAAAAACCATTGATGAGTCAAGACCACCAAAATTTGTTGCATATTAGGGGATCTAAGGAATTAACAAAATAAAATCTTAAGTTATTTAAATATTTTTAATTTAATATTATAATAATATTTTTTTTTTTTTTTTTTTGTATTATAGGAATATGGAAGTTGTAAAGGACAAAATAGTTCATGACTTACCAATGATGGTATTCACCATGAGTTTTCTTGAATTTAGTTTGGAGTTATGGATGATGATGGTTAATCGTAGTTGTGATGAAGTAAGCATAACAGTTTGTATGTATTATAATTCAACCTTAATAATGAACATTAGGAGTGCCAATGTTTAATAAATAAATATTGGAATAGTTTATATTCTTGTTTTGTTGATATTGTTAAAATTTGCAAAAATAAATTCAGAAATCACTGAAATTATTATGCATTTGTTGAAGTATGAGATTATTAATATAATAATAGACTTTTAATAAAATTATACATACATATATTTTATACCTAAACCCAGATACTCCTATTATTAATATTTTTGGAAGGACCTCATTAGGAATTCTAATATTGTGTGCGTACTATTAAATTTAAAAGACAATTTGGTCCAATGAACTTCATTTAATTTAAAAACAAAAAAGAGGTTAATGAACAGTAATAATAACTATTTAACAAATACATTTAAAAAAAAATAATAATAAAAATTGCATAAAATAAGACAATTACTGAGCAAAATGGTATTTCTCTCAATTATATTTACTTGGAATTTGGTATATAATTATTAAATACTATCTTCATTATCAATTTAAAGTATTTGTTGATAAACTGGAATCTGTTTTTGTTCTTGATATAATTATTTTTGAGCCAAATAATTCATACACATCTATCAATAATTTCAGTGTCTGGTAATTCTTTTCCAGTACTTATTTTAACCAAAATTCATTGTATGTAGAGATGCTTAGTTTATATTGCTTTTATTACTATCATTACTTTTCATTTTACACATTATTCAGACTAAATAATACAGATAGTGTGACGTATTTAATATTTGTATTCACTTTTTGTTGTCCTATATATGTATGCCCTATTTCAGTACCTTAACAACTTTAAGAACATTCTTGTCAAATTATTTTTTTTTTCCTTGTTTACATGTCAGATAAAATTAGTTTACCATTATGATCGTTTTTACAATGAAAAACTATATAACGTAAATAGTACATTATAATATTAGTTGATTTGATATAAAACCTATTAATAAATTCATTCTCTATTGTATATTAGTCACTCTCAATAACAAAACAATATTTTATACGTCATAATACAATTTGTATGTTATCTTGTTATAAACTATAAAAATAATAGTTATGAATGCCGAAATTTCCACATTATATTCTTTTATCTACTTTTATCATTGTATAATTCTATCATCCTATCATCATATAATTTGATTATTATCATTAAACATTAAACACCATAATCACAGTAATGTACTTATAACATTTGTTATGGCAAGTAAATATATAGGTAACCTTAATACGTAAACAAATTAAATTTTTTTTTAAACCTTCTATTATGAAAACTAGCGAAAAAGAAATCTCTTGGTCTCTTCAGATTCATTATGGAGAGTATTTACTATATTTTCTAAATTTCGCATTTTAAATTTACTGTCAACTTAATTATAAAATTACATTTTAAAAATGTGCGAAGGATTTCTGCACTTATAACAAGGAATTGAAAAATTGTTGTTTACCATTTATAATCTAAGTTAGTAACTAAGTGTACATAGTGTGAATCTGATGATGCATAATATGAGTCGAGAGACCATTCATTTTCAAACAATGCCCAAATAAGGGCGAGCCAATAGTCTGTACGAAAACAGAACTAGTTTACATATTACAAAATGGTCAATTCACCTTTGATATATGTCCAATAACTGGTCTGGCTCCCTGCGAGGCTACTTTATGCTGAATTATGTATCAGATTTATGTTGTGTAAATCTGGTTTTACAATACAGTTTCTTTCTGTGATTAAATTGTGGAAATAAATTTAATGTATAATCAGTTTTAAAAATACAATTTTAATTTTCTTATTAAATTGACTTATATTTTTCGTAGAAGTTGTAAAACTAATTTAAAATATTTAATTTTACAGAGATATTAAAACTTAACAGTTTTAGAATGTGATATTCAAAAATACGTGAGCTTCACTGAAATCAAATTTTATAAGAATGCAGCTACTAATAACTGTAGCTTATGGAGGAAGACAACAAGTATAGTTCCAATGCACGGTTGCATGTTATTGTAACATAGTGAAATCCTATGTGTATTATCATAACTATAACTGATGGTTCACAAAAAATCTCTAAGAGGGAAATAATTTTTAATTATTTTCTAAACTTCTGTAAAATGTTTTAATGTTAAATTTAATATAAAATAATTGTAAACAACCATAGTCTTTTTTTTTATAGTAAAATTTATTCAAACTAAGTGTTTAATAAAACCATAGTGAATTTTTAATTATAGGAATTTTTAAAGGTAAATGTACTTCTGTAATATTATTTGCATGTTGCTGTTGTGATTATTGAGTATTGTGTAAATATGTGATATTCGCAAAGAAGAATAAGTTGGGAAGTATTTATTTAGGTAATTAAATAAAATTTGTATTCTTATTTTATTAAAATGAATTGAGACAAAAAGATTGAAAATTGCTTATTTTCTCTGATATATGGAAATAAAATAATTGTAAGTAATATGTTTGGGCTTTAAATATATACCATAGATAAGATAAGATATAATCATATCAAGCCTATTTCAATAACAAAAATGTTATAGAGAGCAAAACAACTGAGTACAAGGCGCACCTACATACCAATCTAATGTCTCCATTGCAATAGTTTTTAAATTTATATTAACACTGAGTTAAATTACTAGCTATACAGTAATTTTGATTCAATCTGGATTGATAAAAGTAATCTAGATTAACAGTTTGTAACGTTTGTTTCAATTTGGATTTAGTGCTCAATACTAATTGCTACTATCATCATACATTTGGTTTGTAGTTTCATAGATTTCAATGATTCAGGAAATCGAGGTGGTTCTAATGCTAATGTCCTTTTCTGTCAAGTTTCCTAGCATAACTGCAGTACAATATTTATGCGACCACAATAAATTGGAGAGGTATTTATAATACGATATTATATATTTTAAAATATTTTTTTTTTAGCTTAACAAAATTGATTAGGAAATATAAGCTACTTCATGGAATATTACTAAAGTATTTAATCATTTTATTTCATACAGTTTTACACTTAATTTTTATCTGCCAATCTCAACTCACTATGGTATGTTACAAAAAGTATTGTAGATAAAACACAAAACACATATTTTAAAATAGTTATGAGATTTAATAAAAAACAAAATAAACTCAATACTTTACAGACAATATCCATTAGAGCTAAAAAATATCTAATAATATATTAAAAGTTAATGGATAAAATATTAAATAACATATATTATATTATTTCAACCAACAATAAAACAATATCCCGCCTTCAATATTAAAATGTCAAATTGTTTATGTTTTTTTAAATATTGTATTTATGGTAACACTGAATTAAAAAATCTTCACAGAAATGTGTTTTTTTTCCACATCGTTTACCGATTGATCGGTATAGGCAGCGGTCATCTTATGACTTATCACAATTCATAATCCACCGCACCGACCGACCGACAACACAACCTGTATTTTATGTAGTTTAGTGCACAACAAAATTCTGTCATGGTAAAATGTTAGTTATTGTTTATAATTATAATATATTTTAATTTTTAATGGTAATTTGTGCGGACCGCTGGTACACTGTCTTCAGTTCTTAATGTTTTAAACTTTGAATGCGTGTATAACCACCTTTATTATTAGAAAATTAACTGATTATTAATTAATTAGCATTGATATCGAAATTCTGTTTCGACAGTTTCTAACACTTGTTAGTTGTTATCATTTCGTGTATTCCGATTTTAACTGTCATAAAATATTACACTTTTTCCATTCTTTTCTGTAGTTGTCCATTCGTGCGCGTAATATTTCACAAAATGAGTTTATCGGTAAGAACATTATTTTTATTATACGTGCGAAATAATATAGAATATTATAATATGTTGTTTTGTTTATTATTATTTATTTTTTTTTCATTAGGAAGAAAATAATGTAGACGAACCGGAACAATTTAGAAAATTGTTTATCGGTGGACTTAATTACACCACTACAAATGATTCGTTGAAGGAATTTTTCGAAAAATGGGGTGACATAGTTGATGTAGTTGTCATGAAAGATCCTGTCACTAAAAGGTTATAATCACATAAAACTTAACTATCATAGCTTTTACTGAAACTTAATACCATGTGTTATTAAACCATGGTTTAAATTATGTTCATTTTAAACTTCATATTTTGTAAAAACTATCTATATTGTTAATGATGCACCTACTTATTGAATATAAAAAATAATTTTATTTTACCTAAATTTGTCCATAATATATTTCAAGTCTAAAGATTATTTTATTTTATTCTTTAGATCCCGAGGTTTTGGTTTTATTACATATTCTAAAGCATCAATGGTTGATGATGCTATGAGCAATAGACCACATAAAATTGATGGCCGTGAAGTAGAAACGAAACGTGCTGTACCCCGTGATGTAAATATTAAATTCAGTATAATGCACCATTTTATTTTATGATCTTTATTTAATATATTTTATTTGTATAGGACATAGATAAGCCTGATATAGCATGGACTGTTAAAAAAATGTTTATCTCTGGAATTAAAGATCAAACGGAAGAAGATTTACGAGAATATTTCGCACAGTATGGTAACATTCTTAACATACAAATTGTAACAGACAAAGAAACGGGTCAACGTAAAGGTTTTGGATTCATTGAATTTGATGATTCAGATTCAGTTGATAAAGCTGTTTGTATGTATTATTATTTTTTTTTTTTGGACAAGTTATTAACCTTATTTATTTCAGTGATCAAAACTCACCATGTTTCTGGAACCAAATTAGAAGTTAAGAAAGCAGTCAGTAAAGATATAACATCAGCTGCTAGAGGCCGAAGAGGCGGGCGTGGTTCTGGAAGTGGAAGAGGACAGAATTGGGGAGGGCCTAATAATAGTTGGGGAGGTATGTACATTACTTTACAAATGTTTATTAATTCAAATTATGATAAGAAATGAATATTGAACACTAAACAATATATAAATATAAACCAAATTTTTAATTTCAGGTAGTAACTTTGGTGGAAATGGTGGTTGGGCTCAAGGTGGTCCCCAAGGTTGGAATAATGTTTGGGGTAGTCAAGCTCATCAAGGAGGTTGGGGTAGTGGAGGTATTTATATGTGCATAATAAAATACATTGTTATTTTAAATAAAATAAAAGATTAAAAACTTTTGCTATTTAAAGGAGGTAATTGGGGAGGTCATCCAAGTGGATATGGAGGAGGACCTATGCGTGGAAATTTCGGCAATAACAGAGCCGCTCCTTATCACACAGGTCGCAGTAACAATTTTTGTTTTAATTCTTCATTTTAACTATCTACAATCAGCAGCATATATATTAACATGATATATTGTTGATTTTAGGAGGAGGTGGTGGCAGTTTCCATCAAAACCCAAGGGGAAGGTATTAAAAAGTGAGTAATTTATCTTAAAATATTAATAGTAATTGTTTTTATAAATATTATTAGCTCGAGTAAAAATAATACTGAGGAATATTTTTGATTTTCATGCATAATGATTTTTTTTCTATCTTGTTAGGCAGGTTGCTGAAGCGAGGCTGGTAGGAATCAATAACCATCAAATTTCTCTCCTTCAACTTTTGGGTATTGAACTATTCAAATGATGTTTTTTTCAGACAAAAACTATCTACTCTTCACATGTTGACACTTAATGCCATTTATATATCACATTTATGATAGTACAATATTTGTTTTTCGTATTCGTTATGATTTAAAATATAGGTGAAATAAGTTAAAACATTTTATATATATATATATCAATACATATATATTTTTTTATTTGATTCATTATTGTTTTTTTCCAATATATAATTTTTAACTTAATTTCACTGATATTGAAATTTAATGAATTTCATTTAAAGGTGTATCATTTTTTTGTAATTGCATATTATTATATTAAAATAAATAATACCCCTTCTTATACAGGGACAGAAATAACATTGTTGTTGACTCAATATTTTTTAAATAATTATCATAGTTCAATTTTTAATGGAAGATACATTATATGTTCTTTTTACCTATGCTAAAGTATGGTAGGCATAATGTTGGAATAAGTAATCGTAAGTAGTGAATTGTTATGTTCTAAAATTCTGTTAAAATATTTTTATTATTATTGATAACATTATTTCTTATTGTGTTTTAGTCTAATCATATTAAAGTGAAATCTCTATTTATTTATATCTTCTTATAAACTAATCTTTATAGCAGACAGTTTTTTATCTAGATAAATGTATTGATGAAAACTAACTTCTTAACTATATATTTGTTTTAATAAAGGACTTTCTTTGTTCTTATTGAGTTGCTTTGTAGAGGTTTCACTGATTCAATAGATGACTGGTTATTAATTGTGGGTACAAGATATTATGTTAGGCATTTAATGCAGACTAACATTATTGAGACTCCTATCAACAGCATAGAACTTAGGTCCCCAGTTCAAAGATAGTAAGTGTTTTAGGTAGGTCTGAAAATTTCAAATTATGTTAATGTGTGTAACAAATATACCTTCTCAGTATTAATTAATTTTTTTTTTGTTTTAAAGACAGTTGTACGTCCAGATGTACTTTGTTAAAAATCTACAAGCAACTTTGAAAGTTTTTTTTTCAATTTATCCAGGTAATATCTTATATAATTGTAATCCATATATATCTAAATTATTTCAAAATTAATTAATTAATGTATTTATTTTTTTGTAAATGATTATTATGTTTTAGTGGAATAATCAAAATAAACTATTTTGGATGAAAAATAATTTCCTAATAATTTGAATTCATATGATTATTATTTAGTAATAAGTAAGTTATCTGCCAACTTATATTATTAGCACAGATTTGGTTTAGCCACTTATCATTATAATAATTGTTTTTATAATCATTTTTTTTATAGATTTAAATAGAGTGTTTGTTTAAAAAACGACGAAAATGAATAAGAGTATATCAATTTTTAAACAAGAGTTTAAACTATCCAGTGAACCTAACTCATCAGTCATCACTATATTTAGGTAATAATCATTAAAAGTAAAAACAAAGAAAATATTTGTTTATATTTTGCTTATTGTTATTAGTTTCTAATTTATTATTCATGATATGTTTATAATATTTTATGAGTTAAATCAATACTCGATTGTTGGTTTTATCAATCTCTGTTGTTGGTCATTTTGGAAATATTAATATCTAAAATTAAGAGTATTACATTAATATTTTTATTTTTTCTTTCTTTATACTTTGAAATTAAGTTGATAGAATTTAAATGAGGTTAGAGAAAACTAATTTATGGTTGAATGTTTATTTGAACAATTGTTGTAGAAGTATTTAGTTATTACACTTGGTTAGAGCCTTATAGTAACAGCTTGCATTTAAGGTAATATTGCTAAACACACAATTATTTACTAAAATGTCTGTGACTTAGAATAAATATTAAAGTTTAAATTATTCATTTACTAAAAAATACTAAATATACGCCACATTTTTATGCCTATACAATACACATAAAAACACTAATAATAATAATAATAATAATAATATTATAAAAGTGTACTTTGTAATATATTCCAAAATAATTAGGAAAAACAAACATTCTTTTCTACCAGAAGTATTATTCCAAATTTGATAAATAACGCCTTTTCTGATATGATATTTAGTTATGTGTAAGAAAATGATTTTGATTTTTTTTTTTTATGTAGTTTTTTTAATAATTGAGGGGAAAATTTTGAATGTATATGGAAAAAACAGTTTCATTATTTTTAATTGTTTTTTTTTTTTAAATTGTTTGTACAAAATTTTCGTTAAAATCTATAGATTATTATTAGCCTCTTTAAAATGTGATTAATTTTTAAAATATTCTTTTGATTTTTGTGTTTAATTTGTATTTTTTTTTTAGATATTTTATGAATTTTTAAAATTTAATATAAGGTCTTTCAAAAGTTATATTGTTGGTGAACAAAAAAAGTAGGAAGGAAAGTAGTAGTTTTTTTTTTTTCTAAGAGTTGAAATCCGATTTTAATGAAAATCTTGAAAGTTACAACATTTGAAAACTGTGTAGGTTAGGTAATAGTAATTGTTTATTATTCAATTTAATGTAGCCTACCTTAAAGTATTTCTTTTCTTTTTAAACAAAAAAAAATAAAATAACATTGAAGAAATATATTATTTATTATTTTAAAGTAAATAAAAGGCAGGTGTAAAACATGTTTTGTATAAATTGTAATTTATTAATATCGTTAGGTACCTTCAAAAGTTAAAACTTTAATGAAAGAATCATTTTGAAATTTTCAAAGTAAATTTTTTTTATGTTGTTATTTATTGATAGAAATAAAAAAAGTTGTTACTGGAGAAGGGTGTACCTATGTTATAGATGGAAAGTTGGGTAGGTTGGATGGATACATATGGTTATTATATTTATTCCAGTAACCAAAGGTAAACCATGACTAAAAAAAAAAAAAAAATGATTTGGAATATTAACGTGTTTTGAAAGTCTGTAATATTAACAATTTTTGTCAAAATTTGATTTTAACTCTAAGAAAAAAAAATACCTTACTCATTTTTTTTTTTGCTACTAAGTACAACTTGTTATGAACCTCCTGTTAAATTTTCAAGTATTTTTATTTCGTTTAACAAGTATATCCACCGAGAACCAATAATTAAATATTATGTTTAAAAAAAAATAAAAATTTCTATAAATAGCTCAGTTTTTAATTTTATCTCATCTAAAACAAGCAAATATAAGTTTCTATCAAAATTTTAAATTTATACATTTTTTTAATATTGAATTACAACAAAAAATCAAATTGAAAATGCATATTTTTCTGTTCTTTCTATGGTTTTTCTCAATTATTCAAAAAATGTTCTCACAGAATAGATTAAAAATATATAAATACATTTTTGTTGTTTTTCTATTGGAATAATATTTATGGTAAAAAAATGCAGTTTTGCAAAAATTAAAAACAATGCAATCAGTAACGCTGCAAGATGTGTCGTAAATATTTGCCATTGTATCTATAATTTTCTTTTCAGTTTTTTTCAACAAGTTAAACAAAAATACTATTCATTTTGTCTGTTTGTCAACAAATAATAGGAAAACAAGATGGACTAAAATCTCCAAATATGAAAAAAAAAAAATTTTATTTTATATATATCGCTAGTTATCTGTTAATTTATTTTTTCTCTTTTTACCGTAAATAAAATGTAATTTTATCCATTATCGCATTCTTTTTATGAAGACAGATAAGAGATAATTGTTGAAGCAGGCCACGTTTTCTACGGCTGGTATTCATAAATATTATTATTTATATCATACATTTCTTTATCAAAAGTTGATTATGATTTGTTTTTATCAATATGAATCCTATAAGTTATATTTTGAGTAACAGAAGTAGTTATACTTACAAAATACCTACTACCTTATTAATAAAAACACGTTTTATTATGGTAATTTATTGGTTACAGCATAGCACATATACAGCAGTCATATAGATTAGGATGGTATTTTATTTGAATAATAGTGGAATGTTTTGACACCTCCTAACTTTAATCTAAATTAGTACCCATTTATCTATATATAACTTCAATACACATGGAATATTTTGAGATATACAACATTTAGCTGAGTGCTTTTCTCTGGGGAAATTTATTTGTAATCAATTAATTTTCATTGATTGAATGCCATCAGAAACCTGCTTTTCTTATTTTTCAGCTTTAAATAACCTTAATAACATGAGAATTTTAACACAACATTTTTATTCAAAGATACAACACACTAAAAATCATTATTTTTCGAATATATTGACGAAATATTAGGAAAATTATTAATGATCAGTAAGAAAGTGAAATGTAATGACTGATTTATTAAATTGTTTTTATACAAACACAATTCAGAATAAACACATGAATTTTAAATAGAAAACTTAACTTCGCTACAGGGGGACTTAGGAATTGTCCTTTGAAGTTCATATAAAACTTAATATTTATTTTTATATGTATACATATTAGGGTAGTCCAAATCTATATAGGCTTGACATTTTCTTGATAAATTAAAAATGTAAAAATTAGTACCCCCTACGCATTTTCTTCATTGATATCAAAAAATTTTGTGAAAATATGGACTCGATTACTCATCCCCTTCCCGTGCTGAAATAAGGTTAGGACATAAGGGTATTTTTTTTGTTTTTTTCGATTATTTCGAACTATTTTATTTATTTAGTTATAAACAAGATAAAACGAAATAGGTACTATTTCAATATTAAATTCAATCTTTAGCCAATTTTTAAAAAATAAAATTTATTTTCAAAAACTGAGAAATGACCCCTGTTTTCAGCATTTTTTTTTTTTTTTTTTGATTATTTGGAAAAACAAAACATTAAGCGTAAATTAAAAAATATGAGATAATGAAAACAAATTTTATTTTTTAAAAATTGAATATTTTTATGAAATAGAACCAATTATTATTGTTTATAAATAAATAAAGGATAACATTATCAAAAATACTTAGAAATAATCGAAAAAAACAACACCCTTGTGCTATAATTCACAACACTATTTCAATACGGAAAAAGGATGAGTTGAGTCCATATTGAATTTCATAAGTAAGTTTTTTTAGACTAAAGTTAGGGAGTATCAAAATGAAAATTCTGCTATAACCCAAATAAGAACCACCCTTATTTATGTACATCAAAGCAGTAAAATTATTAAATATACAAATTTTTTTTCATTTATTTTTATATATATAATTCTACTGTATGTGTGTATATTATTGAATAGGTCCCTGGATGGTTTAGATTCACAATTGGACCTGATAGGTGGCATTACAAGAGTAGCTGACACAGAGTAATTGGTATTTTCAGTACAGACATTTTTTTTTTGTTGATTTATGGGTTACCTTAGTGATATGGATGAAATTAAAAAACAAAAAAATGAATAATCAGTAAAATATTCCGTGCTAGTTATCCCAAAATTGAAATGTTCATTCTGATAGAAAATGAATAAATAAAGATTCATCAGAGGGCGCCAAGAGTGATACAATTGAGTTATTATTTTTTTAAATATATCGGCAAATACGCACATTTATATTATATAGGCGTGTATAAATGAATTGATATTTTTTCGCCGACGCCATAACTTGAAAACGGACGGACCGATATGCCTGATTTTTTTTTTTCGTGTATTCGTAAGGTTATTATGAAAGACGATTTTTAGAAAATCTACCGGAAAAGCTTGAAATTTTGATAGTATTCAAGTTTAGGTATCACCGACAAAATATCGATCCATTTTTATACATACAAATTAACAACTGAATTATCAACTTTATATTAATATAAATTGTCGGCCAATGTTCACATGAAGGTATAAAACAAACACTGTGCCGTCTGCGAACGACAATTAGCTATAATACGGTACACGCGCTTTCCCTCTGTCGAGCATCTCCACTCTCTGATAAGTTAGATTAGGCTTAACTTCCTTTGAAATTCATCAACCCTCCCCATTTAAAAAAAAATTAAAAAATTATTTTTCGTATGAAAAAAATGTCATAATAGAACACTTATTCCGCCGAAGTTGGACTACTCACTTTCCACTTTTTTTATTCATTACTCACACGGTCAAAAACTAAAAAGGAATAGGGGTAAAAAAACAATAGAAAATTGGCAATGCTGGGCGGGACAGCTAGTAAATTGTATATAATCTTTATCAATTACCTATGAAGATATATTATATCTATCAATGATTATCTATTATTATATTAATAAATAATTAAATATGCCATATAGAATTGAAAACTATTTTTATTTATTTGTTTTGCAGATTTTCTTTCATTTGAATTCTAAGAATGAGTACTCAATGAAAAATCTACAAAATGAAATAGTGGTTATTATATAATGAACTTTATAAAGTAATAATAAATATATTGTCCAAAATAATCTACAGAATACTTCCAAGGAACTTAAAATCCCTATATAACTTGTAATATCCATACTTTATGCGAAGTGAGATTTGGAAACTAAATATCACATATTTTTATAATTAAAATTGGTCTTAGACCTGCTCCTTTTAACATTGTACTTGAAAAAGATCAATGTCAATATGTCAAGACATGAAGATACTGTATAATATTGTATTATTAATTTATGCAGATGGATATTGTGATCAAAATCGTTTGGTATGATGTAGTGATAAAAATGGATAGCTAAACTAAATCAGTCAGTTTTAAAGGTTAATGAGGATAAAACAAAGTAGTTAAGTTCTAGAATCGTGAGGAACAGTAGATGACTCAAATCTGATATTAGGAAATTATAGCTTTCAGTGAGTAAATGATTTTAAATATCCTCTGGCTAACATTAACCAAAACTTAACACAGATAATAAAATCAAGTTGATAATGTTTACTGCAAACAAAGATTATTACCCTATAAGAAAATTGTTAATATTACTCTCTGGACAATTAAAGAAGAATACCTGAATTCAAGTTTCTTATGACCAGTTTTGATTTACACCTGCTAAATATCAATAACATAATTCATCATAACAGGAGTGAAAAAAATATTTTGTTTTAAAAGAAGAATACTTGAATATCTAGACTAATGTTAGAAAATAGAGTGTACACAAATAAAACAAATAGAAAAGTCCAGCTAATCTACTAAAAATCTAGTGTAAATGGTAACCTTAAAAGTTAACAATTTAAGTGAGTCAGCCATGTCTGGAGACCAAATGGAATTTTGAAGAAAGCCTTTGGTTAAGAAGTTAAATGATGACCTAATCAAATATATTTGTAGACAAACGAATATACGATAAAGTAGAGAAAAAAGAGATGGAAGAGTTAAGCCAGCCAAGGTCCTGCAAGTTATGTAAAAGATTAAAAATAATACTATAAAATAATGCCTGCAAAATGTATGATGTTTTTTTTTTTTTTTGAAAATTATCTTATTTTAAATAAATAACCAATATATTTTATAACCAACCATGAAGATTTAAACTTGTCTTAGTGTAAAATTTAATTTTGTGGGCACGGCCTTACAGGATTTTTCTGTTTAAACATAAAATTAGAAATACTGTAAATTTTTTTCCATTTATGTCAAATTAACTTTTGTTTTGCTCTTTAAAAAAAATCATCAGTGATAATAAAAACCCATACAAAATTATCATATTAACTTAATCATTTTGTGGCAATAAATGCAAGGTAGGTATATAGGATAAGTTCTTCTATTCTCTTCCTTAAATACTATATTATAATGTATTTTATTATATGTGAAAACTAATTATTTAAAAAAAAAATTGCAACAAATTCAATGATTATAATTTTATAAGAAAAAAGTCTGATATATAAGTACTTATAAATCTATGTAGTTTTATGCATAAGTAGGTAACTTAAAATTTTTTAGTTACAATTGAACCTCGGTTTTTACTTAAGCATTAGATTGACAAATAGTGTTGGTGCAACAAAATATTGGCGGAAGGTCTTAATATCTACTGAAATTTTAAGTGGGACTTTTGTAAATGAGTATTAATATTTTATGTTTAAAAACAAATTTGTCATTTATTCTATATGTTACTTATAGATTTTTCATTTGTTATTATAACTTTTTTTTGTAAGTAATTATAATGAAATTCAGTTTACTGTCGTCCTATATTGTGATTATATTAATAGAATTAATTTGCTATATTTTTTGCATTTTAGTATAGGTGCTAGGTAGATATAAGTTAATCTACCTACCTACCTATAGTACCTATATAAGGTTGAATTTTATGGAAAAGATACATTAATAAAAATAATTTACGCTACCTAGTTAGATGCATATCGCTACAGTAGAAACAAACTAATACGTCTATATAAAACTTTAATAGTGGGTATATTTTGTTCTATAAACAGTGTTGTAATATGTTTATTTGATTTAATGTATACCTAAGCATTTATGGTTGACAGTAGTCTGGTACAATAACATATTCGTAATACCAATATTAGACATGATGGTTATTTTAATTACTACCAATGTTTTTTCTAGTCACGTTGGCGCGGTATTATTTACATCTCAAACACTCAACTGTGAGAAACTGAGAAACCATGTAATATGTAAATTTCACATGTGAACAATAGTGTAGTAAATACATAAATTAATGTCATCGACGAACGATTGAAATTGTATTTTGTTTGTACAATCCAATCGTTCGGTTTATAAATGATATTTTAAATTTTGTCACGTATAACAATGGTTACATAAATTAAACGACAAATTTAATTTTGTCACAACTGGGAATTAATATTGACGTTTCACGTCGAGAGCCTCCACTGTTGGCCATGCCTACTATGTCGGGCCATTTGTAGACCAGACGTGGAGACAGACCAAAGACGATGTCCGTGATCTATCGATCTTTGCACCGAGGATACCAGAGTAATATGATAATTAATTAATAATATTATTATTTACTACAATAACACAATGGTGTACTAATTATTATCGAATACGCGTACCGCGACAGATAACAATTGGAATTATTTCAAAAGGACCGGCGGTACGACAATTACGGGCTGTCGGTCTGGCAAACATGGCCGCGGTCGCTGGGTCGACGGCGGTGGTACGACTGCTCCTACCACGTACCGAAGCGGCGGCGACGAGCGCCGCACACACACAACACTACTGTGTGTGTGTGCGTATATGTATATACATGTATTTGTAATAATATTGTGTATACCCATATAATAATTATGATATTCCCGTCCGGGTGCGCTGCGATTCGCGTTCGACCAGTTGGAGCGCTCGTAGTTTTCCGTCCGCCGTCCATTTAACATTTTGCGTGCGTTGCTCGTCGCGTGCGATACGTCCGTGATACATTGTCTGGTCGCCGTCTGGCTTTCACCGTCAACAACGCGTAGCCGACCGGTCCGGATCTCGAATTTCCGTTCGTTTTGGTTCCACACGCGGCGTACCCAGCAAGAGGCCGGAGAGAAAACCTCCCCCCCTCCCACCAGACGCCAGCCGTTTCAAAACGCCCGGTGTTGCGCCGTTTTCGACGGCCCGATTTTTGCGAGTATGATAATAAAATAAAATATACTTGATATTAGATTTGATATTTGTTATTGTGTCGTGTATTTTCCATAGACACTTCGGCCAAATAATATTATTATACGACAATATTATCGTTATCGATACGCTCCGTGTGTGCCGCGGACGACGTGGTGTTTTTCGCGGCATCGCGTTCCGTCTGTTTTATTTTCTTTTTTCTTCTTTTTTTTTTTCCCCTCTACGCGATTTTCCCGACGAAATGATAATAATATATTTCCTTCACGTGTCGGTCGCGGGTAATGATCGGTGTGTGCGCGCGCGTGCCGCGTCTTTGGCGTTGCACCACCAAAACTAGGGCATTGTGAAAGGCGCTGGCGAACTGTGCGGAATCTGTTTTTTTTTTTCTCTCTCTAATTCTTGTTTTTTCCTCGTTTCGACACGATACTTATGATTTTCGTCCGCGGCCGATGTTCGTGCGCTCTCGATTTTTCTCCCTGAACGACAACACCACCGCCGCCTTAAGGGTAAGACCGACCGTTCAGGGGCGATAATTAACATTACTACGATTGCGTTTGGTAACCGTGCGTTATACGTCATATAACCCATTCGGGTACCTGTACTTTGTAAAACTGATTTGTTTTTTTTTTTTTTTTCTAATTTTAACTCGAAATCTCTGTAATGGTGTTACTTGTCATCGAATATTTATTAATAAAGGCCAAACAAGTTCGACGGTATAAAACTGGTTTTTTTTTTGTTCTATATAGATACAATCACTTCTGAAGAATTTGGAAAGTTCAGCCGAGAATATTTTTTTTTTTCATTATGTCTTTGTATTGTTTGTCTTTTGGGTACCTTTGGTAATTTATTTGAATAGGGCAAATAATTTGAATTTTTGTAATGTTTTTATGGTATACCGTATGTAAGCAAGTGTATTTTTTTTATTATCTATAGGTATATATTAAATTAGAATTATTTATACCTTATTGATTAAGTGCTGAACTTTCGACACACATAATGAACAGATAATACCTAAAAAATAGTATATTATTTCTCCTACAAACAAGTACTTTTCTTTGTGTACATTTTTATTTTATGGGTACCTTTGCACTTTGTAAAACTTTTCTTTATCAATGATGATTTAAAACTTTAATTATTTACCTACCTCTTTAATATTAAAATACCTAATAGGTAGTTATATGTTTTATTTAAAAATTTCTCTTAATTAAATCTTGATTCACATGAGGTAATATTTGACCGTGTGAACTGGTTTGACCACTATTTAATCACAGAATACAATATGAACACTCCATGTAAGCCATTTCCTCATTTGTCATAGATGCTGTAATATTGACATATTTTTTGTAAAACTCCAGATTGTTCACTTAACCTTTATATATTCCTCAAACACTAAACAAGGTGTCCCAAAAGATATACTCATTTTAATATCTACTATGTAGATAAAGATAATTAAATTCTTTTTTTTTTTTGTATATTACCCGCAGGGAGATGAGAACTACAAATATTTATATTGCAATTAATTTTTTATGTATTTCTAAAAAAAACTAATAGAATTACCTTTTGTTTTATTGTTCTCGAAAAATTTTAAGATAGACGTTTCAACATTTTCATGAAAAAATGTAGTTAATTAGCAAATATAATTATAGGTACTTTTCTTTAACATAAAAAATCACAAATTTAGGTAATGAAAATAAAAAGTGGAAACGTCAATATTTTCAGAAGAATAAATTCTATAAAATGGATGTTTTCAGACTTTTGGAAATGTTAAATTTAGTTATTTTTTAGTTTTTTATCTAATAAATAAATGAAAATATAAATAATTGTAGTCCTTATCCTTGTGAGTAATAAGAAAAAATAAACAAGTGTTTGATTATCTTCATTATCTCGGAAGATATAATGATGGGTATATCTTTGTGTAACACTGTATACTTGTTCTGACCTGTATTTTGTGTTACATTGCAACCAAAAGACGGGCAGAGCAATTTTTTTTAAATAAAACTTTATATATAGCTATAATGTTATTAAATCATTACAGTTTTTATTATCAAACATATTATTACATTACTAATATATATACTGTCATTCAATAGTTTCAAAGATTGATGTTACTGTGAACTGATACATATACCTATTACCTTTGTTAATTATTATTAGTATCTAGGCTCAGATTTAAATCTTCATTATATGGTACTTATCAAGTCATGCAAAATTATATATTTGTGTATTACATTTTATCACATTTGAATTATTATTATTACCTAGTAAGGCCATACTATGGGTACTAAGTATAGGTACTTCGGAATATGAATAATAATATGTAATTATAATTCTAAAATCTTGCTCATATTTTGTTGTCTGATGTATGTAGGTATTGTAATATATTATAAGAAAAACAATATCAATCTTTATTTTTTGTTATAGAAACAACTCGAGTAAAGTATATTTATATACTTTATAACTATGAAGGTTCCCAAGGAAGATATCAAAGAACAAAATAACGATAATACACTAAACGAAGATGACAATATGAGTAATCCATATGATACAGAATCAAATTCAGACTCTATTGATCCACCAACAAGGGATGGTGATTTCTCTGAATACATGTGGATGGAAAATCAAGAAGAGTTTGATCTACAGGTATTTATCTAAGAGTTATGATTTAAATTTAAAATGCATTATTTTATTAAGTAAAAATTGCAAAAAAAAAAAATAAGTAGACACCTACATAAATATAATAAATTGAATTTATGATTTCCATTATAATATCAAATTTTAAAACTATTTTTTTTTTTCATTCTGTTAGAATATTATATATTTGTATTTTTTTTCCTATTTTAATATCTTACTATGTTATCTATAGGTTATGAAGGAATTAGAAGAAAAAGAATTGATGAAAGAATGTCTTGAAGCTATGTTAGATGATGAGCATAGTGGTAAAAATGGTACAGCGAATGGTGACGCTCAAATGTAAATTAAACAATTTAATATATCTAAAGTTGTTATATATGTAACTTTAAATTTAACTGGTTATTATTTATAGGAATGGATCAAGTAGCTCTACCTCATCTTTGAACCACAGACTTGATCATTTGAGCTTAAATTCACCTTGTAATAATGGTGATCAACCAAGGCAATCTACTGTAAGTTGGTCTTGTGATTTATTAATTAATTTTGATTTTCGATGCCAGCAAAATATGTATACTATATATAGAAGATAGGGAAAGATTTATATGAAATTCAATAATTGAAAATATAAAAAAAAATCGCAGAAGAAATTGATCGTCAAAAACAGTTTGAGTATTAAGAAGTAATGGCCATATGTATTGCCCAGTGGTTTTCAGTCTTTTACAAATTGCAACCCCTAAATTTTTTTATTTTTTTTATATGACAATGTTTAATATAATTTTTTCAAAATGTTGACGACCATTCCCAATATTCACTCGTGATTCCCTAGTTAATATCCGCTGGTCTACACCTGTATAATTGGCAATATAGCATGATTAGGCTAAAACTCTGTAGATACATTTGGTGTAAATTTTTATGGAATACCATAACCTTTTTGTAAAACCAAATAATAATTACAGTTATTTAAAATAGAATTTGTTCCTTTCATAATATAGACAAATTATATTCTACAGATCTATACTTTCCATCCATGGCCATGCATTTTTATCAAATTTGTTAAAAACATAATCAAATATTATGGTTTAACATTATTATTTTTTTGTAACTAATGATATAGTAATAATATATACCTTATTTTTTTATATTAAAGATAGGCTGTTATTTTTAGGCATGTATTATCGTTTATGATTTTATTAGGCCTGTATTGGCTATGCAGTTTTGAGCATATTATGGTTACTAGTTTAGCAGTTTAGTGAAAAAATGTCTAAGCAATATTGTTTGATAATTAAATTCACTTTTTATTAACCAGGTTACCATAATCTGCATACAATTATACATTATGTTTACTGACTATCCATTTGTAAAATATACAATACTGTTTAGTAAAAAAACATTTTGGTTATATTGCAAACAATATAACAAACTGTTTATTAAAAACTGCATTGCCAAAACACACATATTTACTATAGTTAAACTGATATCTAAACATTGTTAAAAAATAAACAAAATTTTGTAGATAATAGACATAATATCATTTATATTATGATTTTATTCTTTATTCTTTTGTAGTAATTCATCTTCTATGCATGTAGTTCTGGATTCATATAAATAAATATTTTTGAACAAATCTGGAATTTAATTTTCTACAAAGTAGATATTTTCAAGATTAATTATGTTGAATCAACAGTTTATTATTAAAATAAGATTTATTGAATATTAATTTTAAAAATACGAAAATGTTGTCCTTTGAAAGTTTATAATTTATATTTTCTCTAAATTATATGATTTTTTTAATATTTTTACTGTTGCAATTGGAGAACTTTCGGTGATAATCTTGAATTTTCTAAAAAAAATAATGTTAATATCAAACTTAATAGTTAATAATTATTGAAGAAATATTTGACTTGTAACAAAAATTGGTTTTGCTCTTCACTTTTTGAGATTTTATTATTAAATTATAGGAACAAAAACTTGTGCTGCCTTTATGTTATATTCTTATAAATATTAATAAAATAAAAGTAATCTCAAGTTCAGTTGTATATAAATCTGTCTGATAATATGGGGTGTCCTACAAAGATATACTCAAGACAATATCTTAGAATGTATCAACTTATTTCGGAATATTTGTTTTGACAATTTAAGTAACAAATAGCTCCAAAATATGTCTACCATTATTTTTGTCATCCTTATCCTTGAATGTAAAATAACTGCTTACTTTCGGTTTTCAAATGACAACTTCTATGCAAAATTTCCAAAAATCAAAACAGTATTCTTTGGTTTAAATATATTTTGGTATTGAAATTTTTGATTTCCATAAACCTGTTAACAAGATATACCACTTTTAATTTTGGGTTGGGTGGGGGAGGGTAATTGAGTATAATAGTGTGGCGTCACAGCACACATCATTTGAATAGTGCTCCAATACCCATATTTAATAAAGGAATATCTTTGCAATTAGTTGATCAAAATCAAAAATGTAAATTATTTTTTAAATTTTATCATTTTGTGCCAGGAACGAAGAAAAGTCATGTTTTTTCTAAACTGAGAATTGATTTTAATCAAGAATTGATAACCGGTTTTAAGTCCCTATTAATTTAATATAAAATTAATAAAGAGAAGTATTTATCAATGAATTGTTAATTTTTCAGAGTACATTAAATCCAGATGCAGCAGAATTTGTACCATTAGCTACCAGATCTTTGAATAATGCATCTGCGGTGGTAGCAAGTCCTTCATAAATGAGTAATAGATATTTTTTATCTTACATCTAAACATATATAGAAAAATAAATTAAATATTATTCTATCATCACGAAGTATAATATATTTTCATATTAAGACAAACTAAAATATTCAAAAAATGGCTGTGGTGAGATTTACTATAAATCTTCATTATACTCATCATAAATCTTTTACTCAATATTAACATACAATAATGGTTGCACATATTTTTTGATCACAAATTCTTTCTTTATTAATTAAATCTTAGATATAAATGTTTATACGACATCAATAAAGTTAATTTTTTAATTTTATTGAAAAAAAAATAATAAAATGGCCAACAAATTTTATGTTAATGTTTAATGCCACTTAGGAAGTTGCCAATTTTTCATGTTTCCATTCTATTTCAACTTTGTTTTGTATACATTAATTTAGAGTTAATATTATAATATTAATTTTTGTTTTTTTTTTTTAATTTTAACCATCTATAAAATGATCATGATTAAGCTTTATTCTTCAAATCATTTTATATTAGATCTTTTATTTGAATTTTGTAGAGATGTGTAATTCATTTTTCGGTGGACTATTTAAACAAAAATTATTTTTAATTTATTTACAAAATAAGAATTATTGTTTTTTTTTTTTTTTTGTTTTTGTTTTTTTTTTTTTTCTGACGAACAATGATATTGTATAAATATATTAACTAAGGATTTTTGAATTAAGTCTGTATGCTTTGCAATAATTTAATAATAAAAAATGTTCAAATTAAAGAACTTTTGATGGTTGAGAATTTCTTTAATTTATATTTATATATATTTAAAAAGAATCTATATGGTGGGACCTTATTTGTAATATTTCTATTCATATTGTTTATATTTTATAATTTGAATAAATATGTTACATATACAGTTTTATTTGAAGAATGCCAAAAAATAATTTTCAATTATATCATATTTTAATTTTTTTTTTTTTTTTTTTGGGCCCCACAAATAAACAATATTTTGAGTACAAATCTGTTGTTTACTTTGATATTATTTTATATAATATTTATAATTATATACTAGTGATATAATAATTAATATTTTTGTACGTCTTAACTCTTTTTAGTTGTTTATTCTTAAGATACTTGTGTGTAATATTTTATGACTAAATTAAATGAATACAAACCTAACAATGAGTGATGTTGATATTTTAATTAGTCTACGATTATATTTACTTCGTTATTATGAATCATTTATATTAGTTACTTAATATGTTGATATTTAATTATGACTTAGAATATTGGTTTTGGGGATAATAAGATTAGTATCTCGGATAGCTCATGTAAGATAAAAACTGTATTGAATTAAAAATAGTGTTAATCAAATATTTTGTTATTATACACTTAATTTCTTAATTAAATTTGTCAGTATCCATAACGCACTTATTTGGTTTCTTCGTTGTATTTAGTTGTAGATAATTTATGTAGTGATCTAATCCAATATAAATTGATTTTTGCAAGATCTTTTTTATTAATCGATCATCTCAGATATGTCGAGAATTATTTTCAAGTAAAAATTAAAATGCTTGTATATTATGTAATTACAATATATTAATATGTGTTTTTTTTTTTTTTTTTTGATGGTAAGTTGACAAATTATTACTTTTAGTATTCATTATTGTTACCCTAAATTCAAAGTTTATTTTGAACTATTAAACAACCCAAGTCTTAACACTGTATAAACTAACATTTGGTATTTATGGGTTATGCTAGAATACTAATCTGATGTACTGGACATTTAAAAATGTTTAAAAAAAAAATTGTGAAATCTTAACTATTTATTAGTCAATCTTTTTGATAGGTTTTATGTAGTGTACGAGTTTTGTGAATATAATAAAATGTATAATAAGTGAAAGTTTTTTTATTGTAAATATTAATTACGTATAGTCTGCTTGTTACACTAGTTTGACTAATTACGTACAACTCAAAGTTCATGACTACAGAAAATAAATATATATATATTTATGGCGGTTTCAAGGATAAACACTATTAGAAGTACAACTGATAACAACATAAAATATTTAATTAAAAAAAATAGATTTTGAATTATCTGCGAAAATCACTCTGCTCGAAAAATTTTGAAAATATGATATGTGTGAACTCTAGTTTACTGTAACCAAGTGGTTTTTTTTTTTAAAAAAAAAAAGTAATTATAAATGTAACAAAATATACAATCGATGAATGCAGTGTTTACAGGTGTCACATTTCCTGTTTAAAAACAATGCATTTAATAACGCAATTATTATTTTTTTCATAATGAAAATATTTGTAAAAATAATGATCCAGTTCTTAATATTTAGGCCCCTATCTATTGTTTATAATTTTAACAAATTTTGTTTATTCATCACATCAATGATTGCAATTGTCATTAGATATTTTTTATGTATCTATGTTGGTTGATAAATAATGCAAATATCATAAACCTTGTATTAAGGTCTATGGCAAATACCAAATTATTAATTGATATTGCCGTAGTTACATGTTGTCAATATGTTGAAGTCAAATGGATTATAAATACTTATGCAATTAATTAACGGCGTTTTATTTTATTATTTGATTAATAACATTATAAAATGTCCAATAATGTGAATAGTAAGTAATCTATAATAATTTTTACTTATTTATCGCTTGTAGTAAAATAATTGCCTAACAAGCTATTTTTTTCTTTTTCAACATGTTAACAGCTCCTAAACCTAAGTTATGGAGGTCTTGTCGTTTTTCTATATCGTTCTGCATTTTTCTGGCATCTGCCCAAACATCTTTTCTAAGAGACAGTGCTGGAATGGCGTTGATATGCATGTCCAAGCCTCAAAATAATATTACTTGTGACTCTAATGATGCAGTTGTGCCGACACTTCCTTGGTTGATCAACAAAAAAGTATATTAAATTACACACGTATTAAACACTGAACCAGTATTTAAGTATATTGGTACAAATTTGAAATGAAGGTAGGTAGGTACCTAGAGACTTTGTTTTACTTGAACATATTTTTGAACAAATTTCATGACAACATTATAATATACACGTGATTAGGACCTGGAAACTTTTTAAAATTTATATTAAAAGATAATTTGAATATTTTTGGGTTTTTCTAATAATGGACTAAAATTGCTTTTATGCAATCTCTTAAATATTGAATTTGTACATCAGTATTGACTTAGAAGCTACCTTATAACAATAATGCATGACAGACACATTATGTAATATTTTAATAATTGCATTATTTTAGGCATAAGTATACAATTTAGTATCCTACTTTCCCAACTTTCCACCTACAACAATGGCTGCACCTATGTGTGAATTATATCCGTCCTTTTTATTTATACATACATAAATACAACCGATGAAAAGTTATAAATACAGGAACTGTTCGATAGACCAATACGCCGAGGCTACTTGAAAATAGATTATAATATGAAACGAAAATGTTGATGTTTTTCTTACGGATTCACGTATACGACAGATTACTTTTTGTGAAAAATATAAAAAAAAAGGACGGACATACTTTGTGCATGGGTGCAGCCAATGTTGTATAAGTGGGAAGTTAGGAAGGCAATTTAATGTGCATCTGTAAGCAACGATAAACCATTGCTAACAAAAAAACGACTCTGAGCCGAGTTCAGTTGATAATTTTGCTTTGTCAACAAAACAATATATGGTATTATGTCATATTATTATGGTAAAATGATTAAAACAATGGGCGTTTCCATGACAACAAAAATTGTTTAAAAAATTTAAAATAATAAAAACTTAATAATAACAAAAAATAAATAAAAACGGACAACTTTATTTTTAATCTCTCAATTTTTTTTCACTTAAAGACCGAGGTTTTCTTCATTATCTCGAATATGAATGAGAATTTGAAAAAATGACCTCTCTAAAGTATCACCCAAAGAACATTTCCTTTTGGAAAAGGTGCTATACTTAATAATCGGAGTGTGCTTTCTGGTAGGAAGTGTTCATGGAAAAAAAAAAAAAACATCATTGCAAAACCAATACATTCCTCGCTCCATTCAGAATCTAAAAATTATTACTATGCGCATATCAGCGAAAATTAAAAAACAGCACAATCAATACAACTTAAATGCGCAAAAAAAATGGCAATGTGAAATTGTATATCCGGAGTCCCCGGGGCGCAAAACAATTGAGGGGCTGGGTGCAAGAAGGGCATTTTCTAGGAAAACGTTTTTCGAGATAAACGAAGTTCAAGTTTCAAATGTGCGACACTCTTTTGGGTCTGCTCACGTGGTTATAAAATTTGTGTCGTATGAAAGATCGAATCTTAAAGAAAATATAATCATGTCTTTGTTTTGTTATTGTTTGTGTGTCCACTAGAGATATATTTTGGTCGCGAAAATGCCCTTCTTGCTGCATCAAACAATTATTATCCGTTCTATTTCAATTGAAATGATTAAGATTTAGATTTCGCATTTAAGGAGATCGGGAAACCGGGTACGAAAATTACCCTTTTCTAATCTATCCTCAACACAACAGGACGCGCCCACCGGAGCCTTTTATTTTTTCATTTTTTTTTTTTTCATTTTCATTGCGTCTTCTTTTAGGCAATAGAGCTGGTAGTAGAGCTTCTTCCACTTCCGTGGTTGAGTGAAAAATAAATAATAATAATCGTATCGAGTCAGATACTCGTGTACGACGAGTGTCTCGTGCGAAAGGCGCTCACGCACGAAACACATTTTGTGTCTTGTAGCGCGGTTCTAGTGGCCGGCCACTAAGTGTCTCCGTCTGAAAGCGCTCAAAGGCGTTTCACACACAATCGCGTGAAACGCTTCCGCGGTGTTCTTTACGATTTCGAACCGAAAATGCACACGCATACGGGGGTCGCCGGGTTCACAAAAACATTTCGAGCAAAAAGGTCGTTTCCGCGCACCCACGCCCTTATCGCGCCCAGCCCCTCCACAATTAACGTAAACTCCGGTTATCATCTCGTAATAATCGGCGAACGCTATGAAATCCGAG